TTCCCCCCCCCCCCCCCCCAGCCAAGGTCTATTCTATGACAAATTTCCAACGCAAGAGTTTATACATGAGATATCTTTGCAAAAGAAAAGCGGATGAGAATGCCAAAGTATACATGCTGCATACAAGAGATATGAAAGGTATACGAAGTAGATATACACACATTCCCCAATACGTAAATCGCACAGGCAGTGGGATATAAATATTCTTTATCTTCAAGGAAGTCTACGAGTCGCCGGGCGTCTGATACGACGCGGAGGTAGAGTAGTTGAAGAGGAGGAAGTGGTTGTTTCGGGATGAACCTGACGTCGACGCTTCGGGTGACGACCGACCGTCTCGTGGGCAGACTCTACTCGGCTTTCTTCAATCTCTTCATCTCGGTGTCGTTTCTTGCCGCGTGTCAGAGGCGATGGCGATCGGCGAATGCGGGTTGACCGGGCGGTACGACGCGGCAAAGCGATAACGCGTTCAGCAGTATTGCTCGAGGATGAGTCCTCATCATCAGCATTATTTTCATCCTCGTTATCCGTATCAGGATCATTACTCAGTTCTTCGTCGCGTTTAGCCATGCGTTGCCGGATGCCTGCATTATAGTCTTCGTTTTCCGTCGCGATTTCGTATCGGCAGGACGGGCAGGTACAACTCGTCTTGAGCCAGGTGGAAATACAGCCTCGATGAAAGAGATGATGGCAGGGCATGCGCAGAATTTCCTCGTCAGGTGGGAGTGGATCCGTAGTAAGGGTGTGGGCGATGAAATCCTCTTGGCAGATGGCGCATAACTTGTGTTTCTCCCGTCTCCGTTCGGATAAGTATATCACTGGTAAGCCGGAAATTGCAATGTCGCTTGCGGGAGGTTGACCTTGCAAATGAGGTGGGTTGGAGTTTAAGCGTTCAAGGAGCATGCTCTGCATTATAGGAAAAGACGATCCGATTAGTAATCGCTAAAGAGGACGGCAACACAGAGATGGCAACATGCCAACCTACCAACAATAGAATGGGAAGATTTCCTGTCCGATCCTCCTCCTCTTCGTTGACTCCACCTTGTCGTGATGCATTGCGTCTTTCCCGTAGGGAGCGTGGCCAAAATAACACCGAATGACCATCCGGTAACCGCCCACCATTTTCCCCCGAGATGTAAAAGGTCAGGGTAAAGGTATGGGGTTGATCCGCTGGAACCTGCCCTGTCTCGTCCGAAGCGCGGGGTTCACCGGTAGGTGTAGTACTGCTTTCGTTTGGATTGCTCTCATTGTTGGAGGTGCCCTGGTCCGAAAGATGGAGATGAAAGTCGAAAGTTGGTATGTTATCAGGGGCTGTTTCTTGAGGGTTTACTGCGGAAAGCTCAGGCGGAATAGGCGGAAAATCTGGTGGCAGATTTCGCAGTGTTTCCCGACGGCTGGCTCTTTGGGCTCTGGCGCTAGCAGCTGGGTTGCTACGGGCAGTTCCATCTTCCGTCATTGCACCACTCAGAGCGCCCAATCCCGAAAGGCGTGGAATAGGATGAAAAAGGACGCGAGAGCGAGGCGCTATGGAAATACCGCTGCCAAACGATGTTCTGGAAGGATGTGGACCAGATGTGTTTACCGGAGCATCTCCCTCGGCATCCTCAATTTCCCCCCACAAGCGTGCTCTTTCCAACGGCCTACTTGGATTCTCAGAACCTGAGGTGCTGCTGTTACTGCTGTCGTGATTGTTATCTATATTGTTTACGTGGTTGTTATCCGACATTTGCGTGCGTGCGTGTGAGTGTGATGAAATGCGAGATTTGATAAGAAACCAAACAAGAGGAATTCCCAAAGAGAATCCTTTCAAGTTATGTGAAAATGAGAAAGATGGAATGAGACAGAGATGAAAGGGCCGAAGTGGAAGAGCAACCTGCTTTTACGTGAGGATTAAACTGGTGAGCAGTTGGCCAATGGGGGGAGCTTTGACTGTTAAAAAGGGCTTCCCGGGTTATCTCCGCCGTCCCCCCCCCACTGTCAAACTCCCCAACCACGACACATGACTGCGCCGCCAACATCACGTAATGCACACATTCGTCAGCCATGCTGCGCCACATGACTGCGCAATTGATTTTGAGATGGATTTTGGAAGGTCTGATTGGGAAGACAGATCTTGATGTGCTTTACCACATAGGTACCTGCTGGACGTTAGGGATTCTGCTTAGAAATGCCCGTTTTCCTGACGGAAGCCATCAGGTATGGCGCTCATCAAGCTTTTTAAATGGAAAATTGTAAGTAATCTATTCTAATGCGCTCAAGGTCCATCCGTCGGTTCCTCCCTCCAACAATCTGTTCAAACTTTCATCGCACGGCCTAGCTAGCGTGACTTCCTGGAAAACCTCTGACACTGTCACCTCGTGAAACCCAAGTTTGTCTTTAAACAATACAAGACTTGGTGTATTATTTAATGAGATCTTTGCTGTGAATGTCGTGACATGCAACGAAGTAATAGCTGCAAAAGAGGATTAGATGCGTTGAGACAGTTTACATTCACGTATTTGCAGCCTACCGTATCGCATCATTAGCATGGCCGCTTCTATGCCCAGCCCTTGTCTACGCGCAGATGGTTCTGTCGGGTGTCGTTAGACGACGGGCGAGATCGGCGGAGATGGGGCTTGGCACTCACCAGCAACCATCAATTCCAGCTCCGCACTTTGGGGATCATCGTGGTCGTTAAAGAAAAGGTTGACATCTCCTACCATACCTGAACCATCACAAAAGATTGGGTTACATGTTTGAATGATTGAAACTTGTGAAATCCATGGAACAGACCACCCCATATGCCAGTGCTTCCAACACGGTTGCCCTCAAACACTGGTGAAAGCAAGATAAAGGTGCATTCTAACGGAAAGATATAAACGGAGGCGTTGATATAGATTTCAAACTCGCTAGCCAAATACCATATAAAACCCACCAAACTACCCACTTTTTTCATCTTCAAACCAAGACTTTTGCATATCATACTCTTCTTCCAAAGTCAGAGGTTCTGATGCCGTCATCTCTGTGTCCTATTTCAGTCAATGCGCGCTCTTATGGCGAGATGCATGGGGCAGCACCCCCTCTCACCTTGCAGAAAAGGATCCGTCATCCATGTGTGGTAGATCTCCACATGCTCAGGTTTGTATGGAACGAGAACAACTTTTTGGCCTACGTGACGACGAGTGTGGCATTGTTGTATGTGCTGTTGCAAGAGCGATGCAGTGGAAGGAAAAGAAAGGATTACCTTTTATGACCACATTGCTGTTTGCCTTCATGCTTTGGGTCGCAAGACGGTGCCGATCGCGTCGCGCGATCTGGGGCTCTTTGACCACTGCTCTGTCCTTTCACACTCTGCGGATTTTCCACCGTTTTTCATGCTGCGAATCTTGTTTTCGAGGCGAGCATTTCTATCTCCTGGAATTCGATATACTGCCCACACGTACCAGCCAAGCCTACGCAGCAGCATGTCAAGTCCACCCATCCACCACCCAGAAATTGCCGCCATGCGGATAAACTACACCCAACCAACACTAACAGAATCCCAGCTCGATCCCAACCCAATTACTCAGTTTGAACGGTGGTTCAACGAGGTCAAATCCTCTGGAACAATCCGCGAACCCAACGCAATGGCCCTTGCGACATCGTGTCCGACAACAGGTCGTCCATCCTGTCGTATGGTGCTGTTCAAAGACGTTGACGAGACTGGGTTGGTCTTTTACACCAATTATGAGTCTCGCAAGGCACGGGAATTGGATGCCAACCCTTTTGCTGCTTGTACGTTCTGGTGGGGTGAGCGATCGGTGCGTGTAGAGGGTAAAGTAGAGAGAACATCAGCCGACGAGAGTGATACCTATTATAATTCTAGACCAAGGGGCAGTCGACTGGGAGCGTGGGCGTCCCCGCAAAGTAAAGTGCTAACTGGCGGACGGGCAGAATTGGAGCAACATGAGAAGGACATACAGGAACGGTTCAAGGATGTAGAGGATGTGCCACGACCGGAACATTGGGGTGGTTATAGAGTGATACCGGATAGAATCGAGTTTTGGGCAGGGAGACCTTGTAGGCTACACGATAGAATCGTGTATACAAGACATTCATCCGATTCAGAATGGTCGGTCCTTAGATTAGCTCCCTAGTGGGAGAGTTTTCTGGATAGTCAATAGTGTCTGTCGTGAAGGACAGTAATATATATGCCCTTGCAATGCACATGTGTATCTCTTAAACACAAATAAGAATCGAAGATTATGAAGGTAGAACACCCTCAAAGCAATGAAAGACTGGACATGGATGACATGGATCTCACAAAGATTAGTCGGCACCTCGATGCAGATTTGGACAAACGTGCCTGGAACGGACCACAGGTGTACGCTACAAGTCCCTTTCCATTAATTTGCAGTTATATGATCGAAAAGGACGCTCTCGAACAGGCCACAGTAGCGCAGGCGAACCTGACATGCCGACAACAAACTTGTTCGCTATTGACAACGGGCACCACGAGATGAAATGACCAACTGTAACACTGGTGTTCTCCTGCTCTCCCGCGTACTTTGCAGACGGCGGTCACTGCCGGCAAGGGAACAGACCAAGTTGACTGCCCCATATCACACGGCCACTTGCAACGCAAGGGATAGGGAAGTTGCATGGATCTGATAGGGACGGACTCTGTAGCCAATGGCAGCTCTGCTGCGGGAATTACAAAGATGGATTTGTACAATAGATCCATCATGGCCTGGACATGGCAGCAGCGCAGCTTCACAGGCACCAAAAGATAAAAGGCGGGCTTCATTTTTCGAGGGCTACGAAGCAATCAGATCGGTGGAGAGCAACAAAGCCACCAGGGGCGTTTGCCAAACCCCGTACTTCATGCTAATGGAAGAGTCGTTAGGGACAATCAACGGTTGTTGTCGTGTTCCGCTCCTGTGGGGGTTTCAAGAGAACTAGGAACAGTTTGGTTACAATCCTCGTAAAAATAGAAAATGCTGTCAACAACACACACTAGCAACCACGCTAGCAAATAAACACAAGAGCCTTCTTGACCAAATTCTCATTGCAAAACATCACTAAAATACGCCATTGTAAACCTTTTCACTTCATCTAAAACCAGACATACAAAAAAAAAATCAATACCCCATTCAAAGGAAATACTCGAACAAATGGCCAAAACTCACCATCAATATCCACCAAAGTGGCATCACTTTTCGGAAACACCATAAATAACTCTCTATCCTCTGATCGTCGTCCAATCACCCACGCATCCGACGCGGTCTTGATACATAGTTCGTTCGGGTGACCGGCATGCGAGCTGCAATATTGTGTGTTTGGACTGTAATCCGTTTTTAAGAATAATGGGGTTTGTTCGGTGACTTACCTCATGAAATCGTCGTGCATCCTGTCGACGCATGTTATTAGGTCAGGTGTTAAGATGGTGGATTTATACGCTCCAATAGAGGTTTTGAATGCGAGGTTCATGGAGTTGTAGTAGAGGTACCGAAAGTGTTGGTCCGCAAATTCACTGTAAAGTGTTAGATGAATGTGCAGTTGACGGGTGCCCTGAAAATGGGATGGGTATTTACCCTAGATGTCGGGCATTTGTCCATCCCTCCGACAGGACGCCTGATAGGGATCGCAGCCGGTCATCAAGAAACCCTGCTAAATGGACATAAAACTCTCCGTTCCGGATATCAGTTTCTGGTGGTTTTTTGTCGGTTGGGTTGACATCTACTGTTGATGATGGGGGTATGAGAAAGACCAATGTGCACTCCTCTTCAAACTAGATTGTAAATGTTTGTTACTACAAAATGGGAGCCGAGTTGTGAACGAGTCGCTTACCTGATACACAACAAGAAAATGCTCAACAGCGTGGTGTCCAATATACACGCTCCTCATTTCAACGTTTACGCCAGCCATACTGGGATTCGTTGGTCCCACCAAGTACCCAGAAAACCGCTGTCCTTTTCTCCCTAGCGCCATCTTTGGCTGACGCGGAGCCCGAAGGCCCATTCGACGTGTAGCTATCACGGGCTGAAAAGGGCGTATCATCAGGATCTCTAAACGCCAAAAAACATCACAACAAAGATGTGCTACGGACCTCGCCTTTTCGTTTGACTTGATTGACAATCGGGTCATACACCCGGCCCGTTTCGGGATCTGTCAAAAAATCGTAGACGCTTTTTAAATCTTGAAAGCTTTCGAGCCCGCTCCACACGAGTTGATCGTGCCAGAGGAAGCAAACATGACGCAGGATGGGAAACTGGGATTGGAGATCATGGATAAAGGAGGATATCTGTAGGTACGAAGATTTGTCTAGCGATGCAAAATGGATACCTTGAAGAAAAGATGAAGATCAGATACGGGGTTTCCAAAGACGGTCAGTTACGAAATCATACCACATAGGGCATTGACCAAGTCCAGTGATGCAACATCTATTCGTGGTATATAGCTTGTAAAAAACTCTTCCAGAGTCTTTTTGAGTATGATGATGGATTGGGTTTGAGCGACATGATCGAACCCCTTGTAAAGAAACTTTGGAAAAAGAAACCAGTTCTTTAGCCACATCCTACAGCATACGAATAACGCATAACATCACTACACCTTGAAAAACTCATAACTCCGCTCCAAAACTCTTTTCAAAATACTATCCTGCAGCTCACTGTCCAAATACTCGATTTTGCTCAGTCGTGCTGATCTCGTCCGCGTTCCAAGTCTTACTTTCTTCCGACAAAGAAGGATTTAGACAGTATACGAAATGGTGAAGACGGGTGGAGAAGAGAGTACCAATAACATCCAGTATCCGGGCTCGGGTTCGTAAAGAATGACACGGTGTTTACGGGTGTGGACGGTCTCGCAGGGGTGGGATGGTGAAAAGGTTCTAACGAGGAATTTGCCGAGGTGTTAGCGGTTGTGAAATTAAATGAGACGGCATTCCAGCCCCGCCCAGGTACCACCAAAAAAACAGGCAATGTTGGCGAGAACACACCTCGTAAACTGCACCAAGGCCTGTGCGAGTCCAACCTGACGAGACTTTTCATTGAGTGACGTTGATGCTGGATGGAAGAAGCAAATTTGGTCTGCTGATGTTTTCTCTGTTTGTCCAAAGGTGGGGTTGAAGACTGCAAAGTAGACAAGAGATGCAGGACGGGTTTTGGTCGTATCCATGTTTAGACTATGGTCCAGCCCGTCGCGGGATCTTGGACTAAGGGACGTTTGCAGTGCGCGTTTTGGTTCACAAGGACTGGTACAGAGTCCAAATGACCAAATAACGAGAAGGGAATGTGCTTTTGGAAATGCCAAAGGCAACTCCAACGCGCTACCGTTTAGACTTATGCAGCTGGCAAGTGCATCAAAAAGTCGAACAGTCCGCCTTGTAGAGACAGCGGTGGACCAGAATGGAGCGCACCACCATGAGCAGCACAGATCTCGTCCATTTAACCATCACCCTGCGACATACTGGACGCAAACCACACCACACAACGACAACACATCTCTCGCCCTCATGAACTTTATCTCTTACTGTTCTGTTCCATTCCGAAATATCCCACTCCCTTGCAAAGATCCATAAACGATCGCCCCAACAACGGCTGTCAAGACAGCAGAACTTTGTTCTCCTGCGCACTTGCACAATAACGATCTGAATTGCAACGCAAGGGAAGGACGACACATACAAGCCATGTCATCCCAGTCCCCAATAGCCAAAAAGAAAACAGCCATTGCACATACACACAAATGTCCCAGTTGTTTTCTTCCTTGCAATAAAAGTGCTGGCGACAGCTCGGAAAAAGGGAGCCCAGTCTACCAGCCCAAAAAGCCAAAAATTATGCTGCCGATATGTTCTTGATAGCCATACCGCAACGGTAAAAGCTCTTGAGACTTTTCCGTTGTCCCATTTCCAACAATGGAGGGGAGCAACCCTTTTAAAGAAGAAGACGAAGAAGAAGCAAGTTGCTTTTTATACGCTTTCCCTAATGTGGCTGGATGACGCATCCACATGCTAACCTCGTCCCGGCTCCTTCCGTTTCCCGTTTTTATAAAAACCAAGCAGATTGCTCAACAAAACAATCTCCATCTTTTCAACCCTCTAAACACACACTTTTCAAACATGGTATTTATTCTGTGCACAATCACGAAAAAAGGTCATCATCATCATGTCTTTGGTTCACAGGTCAAAGTCGCAGTCCTCGGAGCCGCTGGCGGTATCGGCCAACCCCTTTCCCTCCTCCTCAAGGCCAACACAACCATCACAGAGCTAGCTCTCTTTGATATTGCCAACACAGCCGGAGTGGCGGCAGATCTCTCGCACATTAACACGCCCGCAAAGGTGACTGGATACAAGGGTGATGAGCAATTGGAGGGTGCGCTCAAGGGTGCGGATGTAGTGGTTATTCCCGCTGGTGTGCCTCGGAAGCCTGGTATGACCCGTGACGATTTGTTCAAGATCAATGCCGGGATTGTAAAGAACCTTGCTACGGCTGCTGCAAAGTAAGTGATTTCGTAGGCGACGTTTTCAAAAGTTGTTGTAGATATGTTGTATTGATGGAATGAAAATAGGCACTGCCCCAAGGCATTCATGGCCATCATTTCCAACCCTGTCAACTCGACCGTTCCCATTGTTGCTGAGGTCTTCAAGGCCCACGGTGTTTACGATGCCAAGAGGTGAGAAAGGGATTATCATGAAACCTCTCGCAGGTGCTAATGTGTTTTATTCTGTCCAGGATCTTTGGAGTGACAACATTGGACATTGTCCGTGCCAACACGTTTGTCTCTGAATTGAAAAACACGGAACCCCAGAGCACCAATGTCCCAGTCATTGGTGGACACTCTGGTGTGACCATTATCCCCGTTCTCTCTGCGGTATGGTATAAAGTCTTTGTCAGCACCGTGAAAACAAACTAATGTCCTTTATAGACTGGCCACTCTTTCACGGACGAGCAAGTCGAGCGCCTCACGCAGCGCATCCAGTACGGTGGTGACGAAGTTGTCAAGGCCAAGGACGGCGCCGGTTCCGCGACGCTCTCCATGGCCTATGCTGGAGCCCGGTTCGTCAACTCCCTCCTCGAAGCGAGTGTCTTGAAAAAGACGGGCGTGACGGAATGCACATATGTCAAGAGCGACGTCGCTGAAGGCCTCGAGTACTTTTCGACCGTGGTTGAACTTGGACCTGAGGGTGTGAGCAAGATTCACCCCATTCCATCCTTGAATGCCCATGAGAAAAAGTTGCTGGATGCCGCTGTACCGGAATTGAAGGCGAACATTCAAAAGGGGGTGGACTTTGTCAAGAATGCGTAAGTATGGATTTTGCATTGCTGAAAACCGTGTGAACTATCAATGACGTTTTGCTTTTTGTTTGTAATTTGCTTTCTGCGTTTTTCTGTGTTTTGGGTAGTTAAGTACGTCGCGTTTGTAATAGATTATCATCAATATGGAATAGTGTGTGGGTTGACGACGAATTGCCTGCTACCTATGTGCTGCTTATTGACTTACTTCTGACATCCTGCATAATTTACCGACGACTCGACCATCCCAACTTGTCCACTTGCCCCAAATTCCATGACCATGAAATATCCGACATGCAGATCATCCATCCTTGCTGTACAAATCCTCCTCAAATACATACACATCCACCGTCACGAAACACCGACTTTAGATAATGACACACTCCTTTCCAAAGTCCGCAACTGCACCACACCCTGGGAAATCAACATTGAAATCTTTTCCTATACAAAAAAGGCAACAAAAACCAGATAAACAAACATGCCCCCCATATTCAAAAATCGAGTACGTTGGCAGTATCTTTTAATAAAACAAAACAACTTACATACCGAATCAACTTCATACCGATACCGCTCAAAATCCGATCTAGCCCAATCTCTTATAAATTTCTTATTTTCCGGATCCAAATCTAAATAGTTCATTATTAGAACTCCATCCCATCACCATTACTTGCTTTTATTTGGGAAACGTACGACGGGTAAGACGAAGTATGGACCGATAAAGTCCCAACGCTTTTTGACGGGTTAAAAACTATATGTGCGTTAATAATGCTTCTATGGTTATTTGCTTGTCGTTTGGGATGGACTTACTTGTGCGAGGGAGGGTGTTGATGGGTGCAGTGGCATGAACGTAGGTGCGAATGCAGAAACCAAAAAGGGTTGTGTGTTGGCAAGAAACGGAGGATGAAGCGCTTTGAACAAGACCACGTATATCACGTGACTACACGTGGTCAACGGACTGAACTGCATCGAAAGCGGAGACCCAAAAGGGTTGTTCACGGTTATTATTTTGAGTAGTTGATTTAACAGATTAAAACATGTGGTTAACGGATACGCAAAGTGAGTTTTTTCTAATGGAATACAGACGTAGTGATTTGTACTTACTCGTTTTTTAGAGATTGGGGTGGGGTTAACGGCGTTTGGGGTATTGTTCATGTTATTGGGCGTCATGTTGTTTTTTGATGGAGGATTACTAGCAATCGGAAACGTAAGTCCTTTGAAATCACAACATTCCACATGACGTTGGTAACTAATGGTTGAGACAGATTTTATTTATAGGCGGTTTAACACTCATTATCGGTCTCTCGAAAACAATTGCATTCTTTGCAAGACCGGAAAAGATGCGGGGAACCATTTGTTTTTTGGGTGGGGTTTGTTTGGTTTTTGCGAGGTGGGCGGTTGTGGGGATTGTGGTTGAGGCGATTGGGTTTGTGAATTTGTTTGGGTAAGGTTTTTTTTTGTGTTTGTCGAAATATGTTGAAAGTTTTTTTTGTTAATGGTTGGTTTTGGACGATAGGGATTTCTTTCCGGTTGTGATTGGGTTTCTACGAAAGATGCCCGTTATTGGGTCCGTGTTGAATACGCCGGGGATATCACATGTATGTATTGACCATGTCGTTTTTTCATTCTAGTTGTGATTTGGTGGTCTAATGTTGGTCTAATACTAGGTCATTGATAAACTCATGGGCTCAAAATTACCCGTATAATAACTATTTGCATTTATGAATGCTTTTTTTGTTGTGTATCGCAAAAGGAGAGAAGACAATACCCCCCCAATTATTATATTATTGTATTTTATACTACAAGTTGTGTAATGGCGTAAGGATGTGGTACGAATATATATGTACAAAAAGCAAAAAAAGAGCATTGCTTTTTTCAATCTGAATCGGTGGAAGGGTGGTAGCCGTTTGTGAGGCCGTTGGGTATACCGTTTGTCGAAGGTAGCGTAGAATCGCCAGCAGATTCAGATCCAGATTCACCATCGTCATCCTCATTGTCTTGTTGTTCCGCACTGTCATCATCACCATCATCTTCATTATCATCAACGGACCCGTCCTCATCGTCATCACACGATACATCCGCCCCATTTTCAAACATGTGCGCAAACTCTTCCATACTGAGTGTACGTATCGCCCGCTCATACGTCGGCGTAAGATCTAAATCACCATCAACACATGCATGACTCTGGACACACACACAGAAAATCCCACCTTTCAAATACGCAACAACATCCTCCCGCTCCTCTTCATCCGCAACCTCAATCGGCTACCCATCAAAAATTAGATACAGATCCAATCCCCAAACTCGACAACGCACAACATACCAACTTCCCCTCCCCATTCCGTCTCTCAACATCCGCACCAAGCTCCACCAAACATTTCGCAACAGCCGCTGTTTCACAGACATGTAACGGTGTATCCCCGTCATCGTCCACGATATCGATTTGGGCGTGATAGGTGGTGACCAGGAGATGTATGAGGGGAATATGTGCATACGCAGCCGCAGCATGTCTAAAACAAGATAATGTGATCAATATATGAGTAACTGAGTTTTAATATGAAGTGTGGTGGGGAACGTACAGAGGGGTGTACCCGGTATCATCCTTTACATTGGGATCCAAAGGAGTTCCACCCGGTCCACCGTGTTTAAGAAAGTGTTCAACAAGGTCCATACGGCCATCTGAGCATGCTAGCCAGATATTCGTTTCGGCTAGACCGGGGAGTTCCGTCCCAGGCATCCTCAAACAAAAAGATTTCGTTAAAATGGTTTGGGGATAATTTAGAGTTGCGAAGAGCGCAAATGCTGCAAAAGCGAGAGGTGAGAATGAGTCATTTCACGTGCCAGCCTTGACAACCTGCGCCATGTCGCTTACGGCATTTCCTTGTCCAGCACGCGTTTTGTCCAAATGGTTTTTGGTTTACGGGTTTTTTGCGTATTGGGGGTCATTTTGCTATTACAAAAATGTCGGCACCTACATCCCTCCATCTCTACACGCATCTCCAACCCCCATCACGCACAGAAGACCAATGGACACGAACCCTTTTTAGCCGGTCAACAGCCTACATGGCCCACCAAACCCCTTCGTCACCATCCCCCCCTCTTCCCACACCGACACCAAGCACACCACCTTCACCACCTGCGAAATGGACTGCATTGCCTACGAGTCTTCAACGACCGCTTTCGAGGGAAGAGTTTATGAAAGTTCTTTCGGAGCATGTTTCGAGGAAACGGTCTTTGGAGGATGGGGAACGGGAGGAAGGGTTGGAGAAGCGGTTAAAGGTGTTGAGTGAGCGGGTTGTTACAGGTATAAAAAAATTGGTTTTTTTTTATCAACCAACCGACGTTTTCATTTAACAAAATCTATAATAGAAACGACTACTCTTCTTACCACCCACACCCAAACCCTAACAACCCTCCTCGAATCCCATAAAACAAGCCTAGACACAACCCGCGAACAAACCAAAACTCTCACAACCCTCCTGCAATCCGAGAAAACCCTACACTCGTCACTCGTCTCCCAAAACGATACACTAGCAACATTGTCCAATCGATTAAATACCTTGCAAGCCAAACTCTCTACCCTACCCAACACCCCGCATGACGATCATGATGATGATGATGAATCGACACTTCCGGACCGGTTACAACAGACAAATGAGCGGATATCGCAGTTGATGCGGATTCGAGATGATGTACTTCGAGACCGGATGCAACGGGAAGCTAAATGTAGGCAGGTCCTTGAAGCGTGTGTGGGCGGGTGGGAATGGAGTGAGGAGGGTGTGAATGAGGTTTTAGAGTGTCTGGAGGTAGATTAGATATTTTTTATGGGGGTTTTTTTTTGTTGGAATAGAGTGGGTTGATGCACTCCACTTGTTTTGGCCAAGTTCATCTTTGTGGATTCGGAGTAAAGTGAAAATGCGAACCAAAAGATGCCCAAGAACAACAATGTCGCATTCAATTGTGCAGCAATGTCAAAACAATTACACCCCGAGCAACGGAAGATGGCGCATATGCAGCATTGCCACATCCCAAAAAAACTTGCACACCAACTGCAAAGCAACAGCGGTATAAGACTCCACACACCAAAATAAACCCGCCAACAACACAATCTCTATATACAAAATAAACAAAAGACGAAAACCATTCCAAAAGCGAGCGCCCTACTTGATCGGCCCCAAAATATCTACGTCCACCAACACAAAAAAATCGTTAGACGGCTTACCCCCAAGCACACACATGTATTAAAAAAATACGCACCTAACCCCTCCAAATGCGTATTCGTCAATTTTATCCGCTTATGACTCCTTCGTTTGGATTCCTTTGGCTTATCCTATCCAAAAAAGACAAATCAGCACATTGGGTTAGAGTTCTGGGTATGATGCGTACGGAAACGTACGGTGGGTTTAGGTGCTACAAAGACTTCCATGGATTTGAGGCCGGCTATTGCGAGTGTGTGAGTCACAAAAAAAGGGAAAAGGTCAAGAGGAAAGAGATGTACTGACCTCGTTCGAGTTCTTTGGCAAGATCGGATTCTTTTGGGAGTTGGATTTCGTGCCAGTAGTTTTGGAATTCTGTAAGCAATAGGGTTTTGTTAATGCATGATCCAACGCACACTTTTGTCCCATCCATCCACTACGCACACACACACACACACACACAAACTAGCAAGAATTGCTCCCCACCGCTCACTATTGTATCTACCTATTCGCTCCCAACTCACCTTTTGACATTTCCAAATTCAAACTCTTATCATTCCAATACACAATCCTCGGTTTCTGGTCTTTTGTTTTCAGCACGAGCACATGTCCCTCCTTTTCCAGCTCTTGAACGGCACCCAAAAGTCCACTCCAGGAATCCAAGAGTTCTTTGATTTCCATTCCGCCTTGGGAGGCATGGGATTGGAGGAGGGTGATGAGGTCTTCTTTGGAGCGTATAGTGTATTTTGGCTAGTGATTAGAGTAGAGGTAAGTTGAGGCCACCGGTACACATTTCCTTTTGGCTCGGTAGTCCTCTGCCCGGGCCCAATCCAAACTCTAACAACCTCGCTTATACTCGCTACTGCTCAGCCAACTCACCTTGTAACGATAAGTCTTGTCTTGCGGAATAAACTCAATCTTTAAATTATTCCTCAAAATCTCTCTCAACCCAGGCGTGCCTCCAATATGAACAGCCGTCAATCTCATAATCTCCTTTTCCGACAATGCCTCGCCCTTTTCTCGCAGTGCGTTAATGATTGTGTATACTTTGGTGTTTGTTGCCACGTCTGCGTGGATGGCTGGAGGTGGAGGAGCGAGGGCGGGGGGGAGCTTTCTCTTGGCTTGTGATTGTGGTGGTGGTGGGTGAGATGCGGTAATGTGTTGTTTTGTGATGGTGGGCGTGGCCAACATGCGCTTTTTGAGCGCTGCCTAACAATATAAAGAGGGCATTGAGCAAGTCTAGTCCCGAGTATCCATGTGTAAGTGCGTATGCATGCCTTTGATTCCTCCATTGTCAACAAGGTGATGCAATCCAACCCAGTGCGAAATGACAAGATTCTCCATTGAACTTTCCCACACTCTTTCATCATCAATGTCACGTGACCAAACATCTGAATATGTGAATGCCAAATGGAACACTATCATGCAAAAAGAGAGTTGCTATGATGGCTAATGCTCATATCTAATGCAAATGCAAATGCCTAGATGTCGAGTGTAATGAATGTAAATGATGCATCGTATAATAACCATTCACAAAAAGCAACATAAATGCCATGTAGAATTCGATAATAAGCGTTCCTCATGGCAATTCCCCTCCTCCCCATAGTAGAATCCGCAAGTAGAAATCTCACTCTCCCCCTCCAATCCATCAGATATCCTTCTCTCGTCCTTCTAGAAGGAATCTTTCAATTAATCCATAAATAGTATATTATACACGTGATATAATCATCTTAATAGAGAGTGGCGTAGTGGCGTTGGCCGCTGTTATTATTTTCTAATAATCTTTTTTCTCCCACGCAATACGATCACGTGATAATTCATGCACACATAGTCACGTGAACATATTACTTAATGTATTGCAAATAGTTTCAATGCATTGTTTCATTCCTAGTTATTAGGTTTTTTTTATTTTTTATTTTATTCTTGAGGATGTGTTCTTTTGGCTGAAGAGGTTTTTGTTCTTCTGCGTTTTTATTCTTTTACGCAGGATTTCTTTTGCATGTCCCATATGTGTGTGTGTGTATAGGCCATGCATGTCCCTCGACCACGACTCGTTCTCTTGTTTTTCATCCTAATCCATCTTGTATGTACAGTAGATGGTATTGCATAACTCTTCATTATCCTCATCCCAACGTTTGTTTGTAATAGGTCCTGGGAATCGTTCTCGTCGTGGGATTCCATCACGATAGTGCTACATGGGCTACCATCGCTTTAGGGGTCTTGTTTGGGATCCTTTGTGTGGTTGGGGCTTTAGGGATTTGGAAGAGATCAAGGGCCCTGTTGATTTTGGTATGTATTTGGAGTTGGGGTTCGCGTTAGGGTTTTAGGGTTCGGGTTGGGATTGGGATTGGGGTTGGGCTTAGGGTTAGGGTTGGGATTGGGATTGGGTTGGGGTTGGGGTTCGGGTTAGCGTGTGGGTTCAAGTTGGGTTCGTCTTCGCGTTCAGTTAGGGTTCGGGTTGCGATTAGCGTGTGGGTTTAGGTTGGGATTGGGTTGGGATCAGGGTCATGACTCGCGAATGCTCGTCAAGGAGATCTGGGGGAGAGTGACATGGAAAGGCAGGACTGTGGGCCATGGCTCGCGTACGTTCGTCATGGAGTGCACGCTGGCAGAGCCAGACGTCTTGAAAACTGGATTGCATTCCTTGATCAAGAATCCATTCATCTCATTGACGTTTTCTTACCTTCTTTACACTCTTTTATCACACTAGTATGCATGTCTGGGAACAGTCTCTGTCGCATTGGGCATCGTCCACCTGTTGATGATCACAAACGTCTTTTATCCCTCGGTCATCGATCAAGTCCAGCCCGATCGCGTTCTAATCGTTGGCAAGACAGTGTGTGGGTACTATGCTGACCAAGGGTATTCGGCTTGGTATTCGAGTGCGCATGGGAATAGTACATCCATGTCGGGCGGGAATACGACATCCACGTTGCGGCCTCCGATCATTGCCAAAAGACAGGCAAACAACGGTACCACGATACCTGGGACCAATGCAACCAGCGGGACACCAAACACCAATGCCACGACCACCGCGACACTGGGAAAACCAATGGAAATGCAAGTCGGTATCCCACTCTATGCCGCAAATGTGGCCTTTATCGGTATCGGTATCCTAGGCGCAACCTTTCTCCCCATCTCGCGCCGCCTGATTCGCTCGTCAAACCTCTTTCACTCGGACCCAGAAGCCAACCACCTCACATCAACTCTCGGATCAGTGGCGGCATCATCGACACCAGGAACACTCCAAAAACCCAAGAATGCGGACTCGTTGAAACGTAAACCAACGAGCATGACGTCTATTCCAAGTTATTACCATAAAGCTGGGACAAAGGACCTTGAACCCAATCTCCGCGTTACGGCTGTTGGTAAAGTTCCGCCTCCCGTCTCATCCAATTCTAGCCGTCAACCCACATCCCCTCAACAACAATCCCCTCAACAACAACAACAACAACAACAACTTACTGTACAAACCTCTTCCCGTCCCACCTCACCATCCACCGCACCTCAAACCCGAAAACCAATGAAATCCATTCACAACATTTACACCATCCAATGTAAAACCTGCTCCCAAACCCTCCCGCTCACACTCGCATCGTCCCATACCTGCCCCCCCTCTCCCTCCCCTTCTTCTCCGACGTTATCCTCAGCTTCACCCACAAGCACAACATTCGGCTCTTTGGAACCCCTCTACACCCAACGCGCGAAAAGACCCTACGTCCCCGTTCTTTCTGATGAAATCCGATTGGAAAGGAATGAACTTGTTCGTGTGTATGAGGTGTATGAGGATGGGTGGGGGGTGGGTGAGAATGAGAGTGGGGAGATGGGTGCGTTTCCGTTGGGGTGTTTGGACTCGAATCAGATTCGGGATCGGAGGGAGAGTTTACGGTAAGAACGAGGTGGATGGAAGGTATTATCTCTTTTTTTTTTTTTGGTGCGGTTTTATTATCAAAAACTGTTTTGTAAATACATGTATAGCTTTTTTTGTGTTTGGCATAGTCTTAATACATTTCTGTATTTCTTTATCTTTTATAAACTTTTTCCCGATTTAAGTTGGCATAAGCAAAAGTTGAGGATATCCCCAAACGCTCAACAGTGCTTGTAACCTTTATCCACACTTTTCCTACTTGATAAATAAGAAATGCCATCGTTGAGTTTAACCAGTTGCATAGTCGACAATGACTGTTCTTCCATCCTTTTCGTAAAGCAACCCCGTACATTTGGCAGACCACTAGATGATCATTCAAAACAAACGTACTCACGTGACACCACAAAAGCCCCCATTCCGCCCAGCAATTCCAACATACCTCCCTTTTGCCCATTCTTCAACCATGCCTTCAGGTAACCCTGCACCTGAACACACACACACAGAACAAAGGAAATGCCGTAACTGACATTGTTACCCAATTAGCACCCGACATTTATGCACAGAAAACAACCGTCGTCGCAACAGCGCATGACGTGCAAGCCACCAATGTGATTATCGCCGCAAGTGTAAACGAGGAGCCAAAGACAGTTGTATCGACGGACGCTGCGAATTTATCAGAGATTACTATGGTGGGTTGTCTTTTTTATGCGTGTTGTGGAATGGGGAATGTAATGTACATTTTTGGGACTTTTTAGGCGACAATGTTGGGTGCAAGTGCAGGCTTTGCAACCAAAAAGATGGCAAAAACGGGGGGTTTGGTCATCGGGATTGGGTTTATGGGAATACAAGTACGTACCTTATCACCCTCTTCCCAAACAGAAACATATTAAAGCTATTGTTAAAGGCCCTCGTACATGCCGATATCCTCAAAGTCAACTGGCCCCGCGTAGAATCCCTTCTTATCGGTAAAATCGACCAAGACGGGGACGGAAAATTCACGCATAAAGATATTCAGATTGGTGCTACGAGGATGTTACGGAATCTTACGACGGATTTACCGTCTAGTGCGGGGTTTGCTGCGGCTTTTGCGGTTGGGTTTCGGTATGGGTGATTGTTGGAATGTTTGTTTTTTTGGATGGGGTAAAAGTTCGATTAGGGTTTGAACAAGCGTGGATTTTTGGAACAATGAATAGAAGGAGTGTTGTGAGATTTATTTTCTTAACGATGCGGGTGATGGAATAGATGGTAGGGATGTTGTGTCATGTACTCTGTAGCTCATACAATAGAAAATCAGATGAGATTTACTAGTGTCACTGATGGGCTTTCGATGCATTGTCTCTACTACCAAGGGATGCCACCATCAGCCAGGCGGATCATCGGTCGTTATCGGCAAAAACTCAAATCATCCCGAGAATGGACACACACATCTTGGGGTTTAGGAATGTGGCATTTAGTAAAGTAGCCAGGCTATGAGTGACAAGAGCCGCATCTTTTGTTTTGTTGCACGCCATGATGATTTTGAAAAAAATATCGTATACACTCTATCAATCCTAGCCTTCCACCATAACACCCATTCCACAACACACACACAATAGCCATTCCCATAGATTTCATAGAAAAAGCAAAACCGTACGTACTACCGCATAATAATTTCAATCTACAAAAAAATAAACGAAAACCATTATAACAAAACATTAATACCCAACCCAAAATATCAACATACATGTAATAACCCTGTTCGCTTCGGATCCTACAAAAAAAAAACATCAGAATCAACAAAAAACATGGCATCAAAAAACATACGAAAAACGTAAAAACACTAACCACAATCGTCACACCAACAGGCTCATAAACCCTCGTATTCTCATCCTGGATAAACGCCGCCAATTTCTTGAACGCCTACAAAAACGAAAAACAAATAGTTTCAAATGCCAACATAACCAATATACGAATTCGCATTTCCAAAGTACATACCATCCGATACCGCCCATTAGGAAAAAAACTCTCCAAACACCACCCAGTAAGACAACTCCCAACCGTAAAACACACTTGCGAAATTGTTAGTCTATCCGCATCAAGCAAGATTGTATTTATTGTTTGGATTGTTTTTTCAAATGTTGCTGGTTGGATTCTTGTTGCCAGTTCGGAGGGACATGTTGTGTTGAATTGTGGTGTGTCGCTGTGCGTGTAGGTTCGGGAAATGTGGAGGGTTGTTGTTGGGGGGGTTTGGTGGAGGGTGTATGGGGGGTAGGCTTCGGGCATCTTTGTTGTTGTTATGGGTGCATGGATGGAAATGTCAAAAGTGTGTAAGTGCTTTGGGGCTTACGTTGGGTTGAGGTGTGGGTCACGTGGAATGGGCAACATGGCAAAAGCCGATACGAGATGCATATGGTATTTTCATGGGCTAAACCGTTGGGTTTTTTGCAATGATGCGTTCAAGACACGATTTGCAATGCAAGTCGAAGCATTTGAAAAGGGAAAACCAATACGATGGACGGACGCAGCCAAAAACTTTTTTATTTACAAAGAAGGACCCAACAATGTTGAAAAAAGCAAGTTATGCTATCACAACTCGATTTAAAGCACTCGAGGACCCTACACAAAAAAAACAAAACACTCACATCAATAAAACAACACCAAAAAACCATCACAAGAAATCAAAACACACACACCTTCAAATGCGACTCTGCCCGTTCTGCTTTCTGCACATCCCCTTTATGCAAAGCCCCCTCAGCCTTTAAGCGATGCCCAGTCTGCGTACCGGGCATCGAATGTCCCAATGCGCGTTCAGCTTCACCTTCAAGATACGACCCAGTCGTCACACTCGAATGCACACCATGGTCCATGTGGGATTCAGCTTTTTCGGCTTTAACTTCGTTTCCTTTTTTACGGGCTCCATCGGCTTTGAGTTGGTGGCCCAAGTCTGTGCCGGGGAGCATGTGTCCCATCGTGCGTTCGACTGTGCCTGCGATCCGCTCGCCCGTGGTTGGGAGGTGTCCGCCTGGAGCGACACCTGCTGCTCCGGGTGCTCCGGTTCCGGCTGTGGTGTTGTACCCAGGAGTGTTGTAAGCTTGCGAAGACATTTGTGTTTTTTAATAAAAGTAGAGTATTTGAAATTCCCGCTTGTTTTAATTTCTCTCAAGACTGTTAAGCAGGGGGCAATTTCGTCTTCCTCTGCCCTTTTTTATATCTCCCCTCCACTTGTCGCATTCCGCGCCTTCCACATTACAAAATACAAAAAATGACATAACATCCCACTTTATAACATGCCCATGACGACATAAAAGGGACCAACAAAATATTTGGGCGTCATTACTTGGCATCCTCTTGCAAACAAAGAAGGCTTGAAAATAGAAAAAGAAAAGTTCCATTTCAAAGATATGTCACGCTGTCCCGTTTCCCTTTTCACACCCCGCCCGTCCTTGGATAAGCCACAGTTGATTATGTAATAGTGATGATGTCATGAGTCGCTTGAAGGCAGTAGGGCCAAGTCCAAATGGGGCATTGTATTGCATGCAATGACGGATTTCCAGAGTGAGGTTTTTATAGATGTCAAATGACAGTGCAAGCATTAAAGCATTGAAAAAGAATATCAATGATACATTTAGTATTTCAACGATCCAAAATGTAAAAAAAAAAATCCAAAAAAGTAAAAAGCACACAGATAAAAAAAAATATAAGCATCCATCCAATCTACCCACCAACACCCACAAACTCCCCATACAAATGCCCAACAACAATCGGAACACAAGAGACAACCAACGGCCCCAAAACCAATCCCAAGGGAAACCCAAACTGGTAATACCCAAGCCAAAACGCTAAACCCGTCAACAACAAATTCGGACCTGTACTCGACACATGATGAGAATCAACAAGATGCCCCATCTCTTCCTCCAATATCGCAGGATCAATCACCCACGCTACAATCAAGTGGACCATCAAGAGTCCCCCACCTTCCACTACACCCCACCACCCACTCATACGCGTCCATAGGCGGATCGCGGCTGGAATGGCGAAATAGTACGAGGGGACAATGGGGATGAGTGTTGCGAGGCCTGTAATGAATGTAGGGATATAAACGAGGTCGAGGTGGGTGATGGAGTGGGTGAGGTAGGTAGAGAGCATATGGTAGAGCGTGAGTTTGAGGTTCACGATCAGAGCGGATTGAACGGCATGTTCAAGAGCGTGCCTGTTTTTTGATTTCCTTCATCAGTATTTTCTTTTTCCAAATAATGTTTGTCAAAATACAAAACATACCGCAACTTTTGTTTCGGATCCACCAACCCAATCACCCGCCCCGCATGTCCAACCACCCCAACATGCCCCGCAACAAAAGCATACAAACTCGCCAAAAACAAAATCCACTGAAAGAGGACATCAAATGCATATGTGACGCCCACAACAAAGAGGACCACCAATGCTACCGCCGCTCCACCCAGGAATTGAGCGGTACGCGCCGCAAATGTCCCCAAAGATGCCGGCATAGCATTTGCATTCGACAATGTATTCGCATCTTTATCTAATAGTCGGAGAACTGTGTCGAGGAGGTTGAGACCGTGGGATCGGAGTTCGTCGGTTGCGGGGGGAAGCTGGTCCGCCAAGGACGTCAAATTAAAATTTCCGCGGAAAACTTGGAGTAAAAGGTCCCCCGTCTGTGGTAACATGTCAAAAATACCACGTTCGGCAGGTGTCGTCCTCGTGGGTGTCGGTCTAGGTTTTTTTTTTCCATCTACAACAGCGTCCGTATCCTTCCTCACCAATGCCAAGTAGTCTATACTCTTGTGGATCATATCGAATAACTCTTGGGCGGTTAGGTCAGATGGGTTGGCGCTGCTCTTATCGCGTTCCAAATAGGCCACGGTTCGAGCTTCGAGATCAGAGACGAAGCGGAGGGCTTGCTCCCGTAGTTCGTCGTTGGCGAGAACAGAGCGGTTGACGAAGCGGATCGTGTCGTCTATGATGAGACCTGTTTCCTGTCCGACCTGGAAAGAAAGGAATTTTAACACCTTCATCATAGAAGAACGAGTGCAATAAAATGCACGTACCTTGAACAAGAGAAACCCACCCCCACCGAATGCAGCCACCAGCGTTGAAATAATCAACAGTCCAGATAATAACCCATTCAAGTTCCTTCGTAACCACCGCTTGCTTCCCACCCGACATTTTTGATAACACCATCCCAACCCCCACTGTATGCTCCCAATAGCCTGACGGCACAATCCCGTTTGTACAATCCCCGTCGTATCCCGAACCTTTTTCTGCTCTCGGTCATTCACAACGACATACCGACGATAAGCCCCTAACCCAACATGCCACACAAAATAACAAACACCCCCACACACAACACCCATCCCAATCGCCGAAAACGCTTTCAAACTCGCCTCCCATCTCTCAACAACAAATCGAAATAAAGCGTACCGAACCACCCATAAAAACAAAACTTGGAGGTACTGCCCCTTGGGCGCTGTCGTGAACCCCGGTGTACGAATCCCGAGTGCAGCTGGTAATGACTGTGAAAAAGATCGTTTCCGGGATACCGCTCTCGTACTATCGGGTCTACGAAACGAGACGGGGTGTCGGAGGGTGGCATGTGGTCGTTGCAAGGGTACATCCTCATCGCTCGCTTCCGATTCCAAGAGAATCATACTGGAGAGTTCGCGTGAGAATTTTTGGAGAGGTTCCAAAATGGGTTCGTCGCCGGATGTCGTTGACGATGGTGAGGTATCTACCCCATTCCATCGGGTATGGATATCACTTTCGGAAACAGATCGAAAACGCATTCCTTTCCGTCCTTTTCGACGGCGCACGGTCGTGTGTTTTCGACCCCTTAAAGACTCGTGCTCGGTTTTGGAAAGCGAGGGTGAAGGTTCTGTAGGCTTGGGCTTTTCTCTTTGCTTACGATTATGTGGTGTCGATATACGGTGGATGAGACGGATACAAACGGTAAACATGGCGGAAAGGAGGTGCCAGAATATACCTAGAATCATCTAACCCAAAGTCCATGAGCCTTTTTCTGTTACATATATAACTTGTGTGGACGTTACCTTGGTTGGCACTCCTACCATCCACCAAACCACATTCCTCCATCCCAACCCAGAGCCCGTCGTCCCACCCTCTTGATCATCCTTTAAAAACACTTGCATCCGTTCTGTTAGCGAGACTTTGATCCCATGCAACGGCACCGAAAGAACAGCAGCATAAAAAAACGGATTAAAGTACGGTCGAATCAACACTATAAGAAACACAACATTAACCTTAAATAATGATGGTTCCTTCCGACTCGCCCACAAAACTTACCATAATTCAAATAAACAAGTCCCAAAGCCCCCAACCCCAAGCACCACACCGTAAACCCAATCACCGCTTCCCTCGTCCTTGTCATCACCCATTGCCGACCCTCTCTGTCATCTACATCCAAAAAACCCCCAGTCAACACTTGAATGCACAAAACTCGACGACATCGTTTCCATACCATGCGTGACGCCACCGACGAGGGACTTTTCGGAATTGGGAACGGGATAGTGAGGAGGCATGTATGTATATCGGTAACATAGAAACGTTTCGTTTGGAACTAGGTGGTATAACGGGTTGGAGCGAGTAAATGCTCCTTTTTGCTTGCTTTTTCGTTGGAATGCGACGACGAGTGTGGAAAGGTCGGGGATCAAGATGACATATGCCAGGAAACAAACGCGTTCGATCAGATGAATGTCTGGCAAGCGATGCTCAACGGGTTTATGGAAGGGTTAAAAGTCAAAGCAGCCAGAAGAGAGGGATGCAATTGTAAAGGTTAAGAAAGGAGCAGGCACTGGGCTACTGAATCGTCATGCCTGTAAGATATCTTGTTCGGGTCCGCCAATGTCTACTGCAAATGAGATGGAATATCGATAGGCAAATGTCAGTTGAACTGCAGCCCCACGAGCCGTATACAAGAACCAGCACTCTCTCGAGTGATTTGGTGGATGGTACGTGCAATAACGGTGGATATCACCGCAGGAAAAAGGGCTGGTTCTTGTGTTTTCAAACTATTTCACCTGGTAAATGGTGGATTGCTTCCCTTGCAGCAATGTCGGGGCATATGAGCAGCTACTTTCTCGATACTAGACGTCTATCCAGCAAAGCTATAGACACTTCATGATGGATGGCTTTATGCGCTAACCTCGTCCATCACGGTTCTCGAATACAAAGGACATTATCAAGGACTATGAATGTTCAAACTATATGTGCATTCTCTGGATATATTCGTTGTCGACCCTACGCCAACTGCATAAAGACGGCCAAACCAGACAAACAAGTAACACTACTTTTAGGACTAGACTTAAGGCGGTATAACATCAAGTATGCCCCAAATGGGTAACCCCATCAAGGCATCATCTTCCCCTTCACTGCAAACGACTGTCTTCGATCACTAATGGGTGCAGATCTCATGACTGACTCTTGCGGCGTTGCATCCTTTTCTACCGTTTTGCCCATCGGCCAGCAACCCAGGAAATCCTTTGCGCAACGCGCCCATCGGTTATCGAGGACAATAAAAAGAACAGGGTTGAAAGCTGAGCTGTTTTTGAGGGTGGTATTAGCATGTGTGGTGGTGAGTACAACAAGTGTTTGCAAACAACTTACTTTACTATCGCACCCAAGAAGGCTAGACAATCTAATAGCATGGGGACTTGGACACTGCCAATCATGGACCAAAGGAAATTGATATCGTAAAGCAACCAGTTGAACGCAAAGACCAGTACGAGGATTAAACTCTTCTTAGCGAGTTTAGCTTCTAATGCATCCATTTTTCGTGTGGATGCTGAATTGGGTCGTGTGGAATCGACCACTGGTGGACTAGACATTGATGACGACTCTTCTCCAGTACCTGCTTGGACGTGGGCCCATTTCTTGCTGGCCAAGCGGACTTCTCGGTTAATGAAATAGTATGCGACGCCAAACGCTCCAAGGGCGATAGTGACGGTCGCGAGACACATGACGGTGAAAAAGATGGTCCCTGGCCTTTTACCGGACCAGTCACCAGTCTGTAAAAAACATGTTAGTCAGGCAGTTGGGTAAAAAGGAAAATAGCCCAAATACCTACACAATACCTGTCATTAAACACAAAAGATATTAGCATATTGTGGACAACGTGCCATGAACCAGTCTATACTCACAGAAATGAACTTTGCAATCGATACGCATCCCCTTTCACCATGTACGGTATCGCGCACAGCACCCCACTATATATCCATGTTGCGGCCACGGCCATCATCGCTTGTCTCATTGTCAAAGGCCGGCGCTTAACGACTGCCATGTACCGTTCCATGCCGAGGGCCGTGAGACCTAGGAGGGATTGAGACTGGGAGATGGTGAGTCGGTTGTAATGAACGTTTGTGAATGGAACATATACCGTACCGAAAACATTACAGTAAAATTCCCATCCAACTACCAAACCAAAAAGCCCATTGTTTAGTTCATGCGCACACATCCCCCAACGAACGATGCAAAACACAACACTTACAACACATCCAAGCTTGCCTGTGGCATATCCCCCCTTCGACAAGTGAATCGATATCAAACTAAGTCTCTGGACCCCAATACACAAATCTGTAAAAGACAAACTAAAGACCAAGGCATTTGCGGCGTTTCGGAGGTATCTGTATCTTGCAAACAGGATAAGAATAAACAGGTTTCCTGCGATGATGGCTACGGTGATGATGACGAGGACAATGGCGGTGCCGTATGCGAGAGGGGGAAACGGGATCGTTTGTGAAAGGTCGAGGTCGCGGGCTTCCATTTGGTGAAAAACTCTATTATGTACTCTAGATCGGTTTTGTCAAAAGAAGGAAATCGTCCTTTTGGTTTTCTTTTTTTTTTCCGTAATATTCTTCCTTTTTGGAGATGATTTATTCAGAACTGCTGGTGCACTGGGGTACGGCACCAAACACACATTTTGTTAAATAAGCGTTTCTCCTTCCTTCCATGTTGTCCCCTCCGGCCCGCCCGCCTCCAACAAATACCCTAAACCCTAGGCACAATGACCCAAGAATAGTCGAAAGATTATCATCAGTAACTCACCTTGACCCCGGCTCACGTTCTGAAAAAAGGCGGCATATGCATTGCCACAGCGGAGGGTTGCCCCTTCCGGTACCGAACTAAAGAAAGCAAAACATTCGTAGAATGGGTTATTTTTATAACTGGCAGGAATGTGGTATTTGTTGTTTTAATGTGTGTCCCATTATGAGGCCCGCAATGCCCTAGCAATACGGAGAGTCAAATCCTTCTAGGTGAATCTCGCCCCTCATCGTATTGCCACCATTTTGCAGGTAATTAATCGAGGGATTTTGGGGACCCCCATTTTCAGTTGCCATCATTGCTCTTCCTTGGCAAGGGGTTTAACTATTCCGAGAGCACAATGGCTCGCATGACAGACACACGATGATAAGGGTTATGTGCTTTCGGGGGCCACCATCCTGATGAATTCAAATATCCGCAATTGTTATCCCTTCACCGAAACGCTATGCTACCAAGTAATGGTAAGCATGTCATTCCACGCCAGTTTCCTAGAGCTGTTAACAAGTAGAAACCACGCTGGCGTGTTTACATGTAGATAACTTGAACCTAATGCACTTCCCTTTAACTGCACACAATTTTACATTCAACTACCCTGCTTTTATCGGAGGTCTGCATAATGTGACGATGTCAACAATACCATATGTTTGGACAATCGCCAGACCCCAAGGCCACGGCTTGGTATGGAAGCCACATCTGGGCCTATCGCTAACGTATCTTACTAGATGAGCTCATGGCTGATCCTTGAAGTGCCAAAAGTGTGTAAAGTCATTTACCGTAGCGTGAAACCCCCCTAAATGCCACACTATCCAAAAATAACAAGCGTCGGTCTTACCGCCCATGTATTACACATGATGGATGGGACGAGGGTTCCCGCTCTATCCATAACCATATACCCTACAATCTCAACGTCACCAATGTCTCTGACTTAGGACAGTGGCCAGCCAAGCTTTAACAGTTACCCACAAGAGTCTACATCCCTCATCCTGACAAGGCCAACACTTTGTTCTGCATGCAACTAAACAGCCACAGCCACTTTACCTAGGCATCTAACGAAAAAGTGCATACGGTGGAGTTTATCAGATTGGATTTTTCGTCCTGTTGATGCATCAGATGCGTTGCTATGTTTTCAAATGGACAGAGGTTATGCATCCTTTGGTCCTTACCGGTTGATCACGCAAACAGCGTTACTCCTAGGCAGCAGGTATCTGGCCACTTTGGGGATGAAGCAAAAAATGGGGATCTTGGTCCTTTCTCGTAGGATGTCTCTACTGAAACCTGTGCCCAAAACGTCCCCAACAACATGCCTTAAGTGTTGAAAAAATCATTGATCGTTTTATAGACCATGTAACCTCTTGCCAGCCTAGTTTAATCAGAACATATCTGTAATGAGACGATGGTGTCCACACTGACGGTCCGAACAATATTCTCACAGCTCGACTCCAAAAAAAAATAGCAGGTGCGTACATGGCCTCGCCCATAAACTACTCTGCTTTCACCCAAACGGCACAGCTTTCGTTGGTACGGAATGCCAACTCCACCAAACCCCCATTGCTCTATGAGGATATCATGAGGGTTACATGGAGAGTTTGTTGAGGGTACGAACGGTGGGTGATAGGGTCGTCGAGACTGAATATTGCAGTGAGGGTTTTTACCATGACATCAAATGTGAAGGATCACAATGTGGGGATCAGTTTATTTGAATATCCTATTCTCATCCCTTGAGCAGCGTCAGATGCCTGCACCCAGGAAAGACATTTGTGTATGCATCAAGTGTCGTTCATGTACTTCCATCCCGGGAATGGGTGTTGTTCGAATGGATACATTCTTGGAATATAACATCTGCATGCGAGCTCAGAATAAGAATCCCTTGGGGTCGGTATGAGTTATTAGAGGTCCAGCCAATACTGCATACACCATCCACATATTGGACACAGCCTGTCACTCTACTTTCCCATCCACAAATTCCACAACGACTCGTCCCAAACCCCATCTACCGTCCTCCCACACTCTCCCCCCTTTTGAATATGCTAATTTATAAATATCGGTCTTGAGACGTCTGTTTGCGCGAATATGGAGAACGAGACCGACGGTTGCGCCGAGGAGGGTCGCCAAGACTGTAAAGGCTGCTAGAAGGGGGACGCTAAATGTACGGATCAGAATGATGAATTGGGACAGGAAGGAAAACGAGCAGGGAAAGACGTACCCAACCACTCCCACACTCGAACATCCATGACTCCGTCCTTCTTTTAAATCCTTATTCCATTTGTAGCATTCACCCACAGCATACTCCCTATCGACTCTACATTTCTCACGCTCCGCATCCTCCCTTTTCACGCACTCGGTATATGCTTTAGCACGCTCATCCAAACACTCGTACACCATTCCACAATCTCGCTGAAGTATACCGGTACAGCCTGGTCCGTCGCAGGTCGTTTCGTAGATACTGCAGTTTTGGGGACCGGTGGTCGTGGGAGGGAGGTAGGTTGTTGGACAGTTTGGCTGCGTGGGTCCCAGGTGACCGGTTGTGTGAAGGACAGAGAGGACGAGGGCGAGGACGAGGAAAAATATGGCGGGTAGGAGAAGGATGGATTTCGGCTGGATGTGCGGTGTGATCGAGGGTGAGAGCTGTGGTCGTATGTGTGTTTTAGTGCACTGTGCTCCAGATATGCCAGATATGGTGCAAGGCCCCTTCATACCTTGGTTCCTTTCTCCACAATCACACTTCCATGATGAAACCAGCGTCGATGGAATACGTATCGCATCGTATACATTTTATGAGGTTTTTATCTTGTTTTACTGACGATAATGCAGTGGGGAGGGCAGTGAGCAGAAAAAGAAAAAAGCCCATAGCATAGCTTGTACATGCCGTCTAACCAAAAATTGTGGGTAGTTTTTACAACGCGTTTTGAACACTTTTTGGCAGCTGAACACTTTTGGCATTTCTTTACTTTTTGAAAACCACCAGAAACCCCCTGCAGGACAAAAGATGAATATGGAATGGGCCAGGTTGGAGCTCACCATCCTTTTCAGCATCCAATCTTGTCCTATGACACTCTTTGTAGATTCTATGCCCGGATGGAACACCCATAACATTGCACACCCCATCCAACGACACTGCAATGCCTTCTAGTCGTGATGTCTTCCCATGAAAAGACTATCTCGCTAACCGTCGATTTGATTACCATGTTCATCAGAAGCAGCCTGATGATTCTTGATGGAGATCAGCGTGGTTTCCGTCATAAATGATAGCTTGGAAGTTGAAAGTTTTCATTATTTCCGACCACAATCATTGCATTTCTATAAGCGTAGAGAAGCTGGCTTCAGACCATAAAGTGGCATACCCTGGCCAGACGCACTTGACCACCTGTTCAAGTCGCCCCCAACATTGCTTTTGAGTTCACAGCCGCTTCTTTAGCGATTTGCCTTTAGCAATTGCCCCTGTTGCCTTTCCTTCTCCTTTGTCTTGGGGCAAATGCAAGTGCATCTATTAATGACTAATGGATCGGGCAGTTACCGTCCTTCACATGTTGAAGAGCTGAGCACCGTCGAATCTTGTTTACATATTAATATAGCAATGGCCGAGCGGTCAACTTTATAGGATGTTTCTGCTATCCTCGAGGATATATGTATCAGTTGTTTACTGAACCTGTTCTTTACATTTTGGTATTCATGTCGTCCATCAGCAATTTGGATAGCAACCGCGGGTAGCAACAGTATGACGCAACCTTGCGCTTCGCACTGATGACACATCCATGCATCGCTCGGCGGACTTGCCAGCGCTCACTGAACACTCGGTCCCATCTGCTGCACAATGTGTGTGATATTCTTCACTTTGGGACATCCAAAGTACAAGCTGTAAGTCTTCCTGCAAGATCGTTCTCTACTGTAGGGCTCTCGTCTGACCAAATATCCCTACTAGCATAATAGCAGGCAACCGAGACGAGTTTATTGACCGTGTAGCCCAACGTGCGCACTTCTGGTCCGAAATAGGCGCGCCCAATGTCCTCGCCGGAACCGATCAAGGCAAAATCCATGTGGGAGTTCCATTGGTTCAATCACCTGACCCTGATGCAGACAAAGTGGGAAAGGTACTAGAGTATTCAGGTGCCAAATACGAAAGGGAAACCATTACGAAAGCGACTCCCCAAGTTGCCGCGGAGACGTCGGGCGTTGATCAATCGGATGAAACGAATATAAATAGTAGTTCTGAAGCGCTACCACTTTCCTCCCCAGACCCATCTAGCGCTCCGCTTCAAACACATGGCACCTGGATGGGTATAAACAAAGCCACTGGACATCTTGGATTCATTACAAATTTTCGGGAACACCCTTCGCTAGTTAATCCAACTGCTCTAACCAGAGGTTATCTCGTTCGCGATTTCCTTCTTTCATGCGCGGATCCACAGACGTATGCGGAAACAGTAGCCTCACAGCAATATCGATACAATGGCTTCAATCTCGTTCTTGGCGCCGTCAATCCAGGAGGGAATGAAGATGTGGTCGGGTGGTATTGTGGAAATAGGGGTCCTGTGCGGGATGAACCTCCCACATTGTTGAAAAAGGGTGTTATATACGGCATGTCAAACGGTGTGTTGATGGAAAAACGATCAGATTGGCCAAAAGTTGAGAGGGGGAAAGAGTTACTTGAGCATCTGCTGTCAAATCCGCCGGATGACCACGAAACTCTGATAAACAGTCTTCTTGATGTGCTCCGAGATAAAACCACCTACCCCGACTCTGACCTCCCTTCTAACATGTTCAACTACGATTTAGAAAGATCACTATGTCCCATTTGTATTGACAGACACCGGGCGAAAGGGGGGTATGGAACACGCACACATACCGTGCTGCTGGTGGATAACGAAAATCGAGGGCGTTTTGTAGAAGTAGATAGGTATCGGCTAGTTGATGGATCATCGGGTAAAAAGGAGGTGGAAGAAAAAGATGATAGGGTTGATTTTAGCTTCATACTTGGCTCTTAGTGCTATGGACTCATGTCTAGGTGGAGATAGTTTTGCTATCTGACTTTTTTCTTGCGTAAGGGTCTCTATTAATTTAATCAATAACTCCCTATTTTCTTGTCCCATTGGGTGCATAGTCCCGGTTTGAGCCCACGGGTTCCAATATATTCGCTCTGATAACTAACAAATGCAGGATCCAAACCAGGTGACTGCATATCTGATCGGAGTTGAAGGCCCCTACGAAATTTTCAGGGAGCTTCCACAATTCGGACATTTTCCTGTCGACTATAACCGCCAAGTGAATCGGACGATTTGGAATATGCGATCATTCCCTCCGAATCCAAAAATAAACAACCACCATCCAACCTTTTGCCCATTTTGATTCTCCCTGCGTTTGGAAAATCAAAACGTTAACTTGCGTCGATGAGTCCAGCCGCCCGATCTCCCAGCCATAAGAAGACCGATAAAATGGTTAAAAAGACCAGTGGGAGTAAAAAGAAGGCTCATGGGATAGGATCGCTTAGACCAAAGAAGGCAGCGTCGATGCCAGAGCTTGGAGAATGTAGCGGAAATATCAGATCGGGACGAATTTTGAACCTACCAAAAATGTAATTCAGCTTGGGATGTCTGCCTTTTGATCTTTTGATATCCTAAAATCGTGTCATGGTGGTTGCGACATGTGAGGTTTACCGCTACGGGAGTGGGTGCAGGATGATCAGCTTGGGATTTGATGTATCGTTGAGACTAAACTCACTCCTTTCCCTTTCCACAAGCTCAAAGAGCCGAGAAAACTTTTCGTCAAGTGTTAGCCAATCCATCCCAATCACCAATTCGACGACAGGACTCTCATCGCCAGGATGCCTGCGCATTCTCGAAAAATTGTCGGAGCTGATAACTAATCCGTGGTCACCCTCACATCCAAATGGTCTACCACCTAGACCTCCTTCATCGACTTCGTCCCGCAGTTCCGCTTCTACAAAAACGGAAACCGCATCCGTTCGTCGAGCAAGTGACCCGCCATTCACATCAGCCCGATGGAAACACGATAAGCGTAAAACCAGGAGTTACCCAAATGTTGGCCTGGCACGACGAGGAAGTGACGGGAGTTTGCCCGAGTTGTCGATTGGAAGGCACGGTGTCAGGAGAAGGTCCGGCTCGAGATCGGGTGATGATGAAACTGGTGTAGAGGTAGGAGGTTCGAGACTCCGGGACGGCAGTGGTCCGGTGGATGGTCCGCGAAGTGCACCAGGAACACCACCCATTTCTGCTGACGTGCGGAATAAGATTGGAAAACAGTTCTTGGCCCTGAAGCGTTTGATGGACAAGGAGGGCGTTCATGCCGGTAAGCTACTCCTGCGTAGCATATAATTTTTGAAGCCTATCACCTCATCATCTCATCCCCAAAAGATTCACCGCTCCAAAAGACTCTGTTTTCAAAGTCATCCCCAAATATCAGTTTGCTGGTCAAATGCCTTCGGGTCAGTGAGAAGTTGCATCACCTCGCAACTGAAGGTCCTTGTTAAAAGTTCCACCGACAGATCCTTCTGGATGTAGACATATGTATCATTATAACCAACCTACTGATCCGTCTCACAACGACAACTGACAGCAACGCAAACAACACAGCGTTCATGGCCAAGAAAGGACTGGCCGTTGCACTATTAAAGTGCTTGCAGAGCCTGCATGGAGAGTACTTGAGCGGTGATATTGGGGTTGGTCCACCAAATCATCATCAGAGAGTGGATGAATTGATGGGAAACCTATTTGTGCTGGTGGTGAGGGTTGCAAAGTATGGTGAGTGTCGGCTTGTGATCTTGTTCATTTGTAGGCAACAGAGTTTGAACCCCATGCTCTGCTAAATCTTAATCGTTGTTTTAGATACCAAGATACCCCTTTTGGCACGGTAAAGCATCTTCATACATATGCATATTTTCCAGCAAATTACAATTCTGAAGTGTTCATTGCGCATTGACAGTCTACACGGTGCTGTTCCAACCACCATTATGACCATTCGACGCTGGAACGAGCGCAAAGAGTATGGCCTAATGATGCATGGATTTCAGGCTCTTCGGATATACGCTACCAAGAACGGTATGTGAAAGTTGAACACAAACATACAATTGAGCGTCCCTGACATATATCTAGAAAACAATGTTGTGACAATCATCAAGAGCAACATTGCGACCCTCATGGCTACAATGATCAAAAGCCCAACGAGTCCAATAAAGTTGGACTGTCTGCTGGACTTGTTGACGATACTAGCTAAATCAAGTATGGACTTTGTTTTGCATCTTACTCCAAGGGAACAAACTGATAAATGACAACTGTTCTTGAACAGAACCGGGTGCCATTCAAATTTTGTCTTCCTTTACAATTGCCCATCTCATATCGCTTTTCAAGAACGCATCAACCGACGCGGTCCAACGTGCCGTATTGAAGCTACTGAAGGCAATTGTTGAGACGGGTGTGTTGGGTGTATGTGGTTGGTCAAAAGGGGCCTATGCTTGAAAAATGCTTGCTAACATCATTTGGCAAATCAGATGAAGGCAAGAAGGCTTTTGTGGAGGATAATGGTATTGCTGTTCTGACGGAGGCATTGGATGGGGTCATTCAAGGTATCCCCAACTCTTGTTCTCCCGTCACAAAACGTTTACTGACGCTTCTTTCACTGCTAGCATCCGAATCCTCCCCCAGCCAAATTCCAACAGGCCAAAACACCATCCCGACATTACTCGTAACTCTCCTCCGCTCCGCCGTGTCCCAAACTGATCTACCTTTCCTGGAGCGCTACCAGTATCTCAGCTTCCCGCTGCCACTAGCTGCAGAAGAAAACGGCGACAACGCAGAGGCAAAAACAGATGTTGATGACGATGAGAGTACATCGCTTCGACAGTTCTGTCCCGAGCTTGAGCTCCATGACGGAATACCGTCAATGACCCCATTGCCCATGGGAAACATCCAAGTGCGACATGTCCAGCCGATGAGTGGGCGGCACCTTGTGTCGAGCAAATGCGTAGCGGAAACCGAGGGAACCTACAAGAGACCTATGAATCTAGTTAGGTAGGCTGGTAATGAGTCCAACTTGTGCTCATTGCAAATAATATTAACTGCTTTTGATCGGATTCTGATTTGCAGGAAGTCCGTTTACGACCAAATGACTCGGGTGCTCCATCCTAATGCTTCCCAAAATCAACTGATATATGATGTAATGGATGAGACCATTGCAGCGGGTATATCGGGCAAGTATGTACAATGCATCTGCTACCGCCCAATCAACCCAAACATTGATAGCTTTATATGTAATAGCACACTCCAATTTGAGTCTCGTTTCGAGAGCGGTAATCTACAAATGGCGGTTAAGGTATGGCGCAACGTTATTTCCTTTGACTTCTCATGTTCTTACTTTGCAGCCGGTTGTAATATATTTTGGTATAGATATCCGACTACGAGTATGATCTCTTGCTTCAAACAGATATCAACAGTTCACCAGGGAAGCATAACCAGGTAAACGTCAGAACCTATTCCACTTGTGAAGACCCTACTAATGTTCATCACCTCGCAGTGGTTTTATTTTTGCGTTCAACGCATGGTCCCAAATACGCCGTATAAATTTAACATTGTAAATATGAGTAAACCAAATAGTCAGTTCAATCAAGGTAGGGATCGACCAAATCTAGACTATAGTCACTTACACCAACATAAAGAAACTTAACCGTTTGTCTTTCCCAACTTTAGGAATGCAACCTGTCATGTTCTCCCGTGAGGAAGGTTGCTGGAGACGTGTCGGGGACGCTATCTATTATTACAAGTGAGGAACTCTTCAATTACGCACCCATCACTGACCAGGTTGCTAAACTATTCTTATTCTTAGAAACCATTATGCATTTCCCACACAATACGAGTCAGAATATACATTCGCTACCCTGACATTCACCATAACGTTCTCATATGCAGGGGACAGCTGTTATTTTGCATATCACTATCCATACACTTATTCAGACCTTCAGGTAATTAACTTTTTCACTACAAGAGGCATTGTGAAGCGGAGCTGATTTGGTTGTGCGCAGCGGTCCCTGTTCCATCTTCAGCTCTCCTCGACCTTTGGCGAGCGATGCAGGAGACAAACCTTGTGCAGAACATTGGGTGGGAATGAGTGTCCTCTGCTTACTGTTACAGATTTTAGCCCTGGTATGTTTTCATTTGGTTGCTTTGGAGCATCATGGGCGTCCCTCATTCATTTTCATGTAGCTTCCACGGCAACAAACCCAATATCAGAGCGAGTATATGTTCTCCTCAGTGCACGGGTAAGACGCAATGCGTGTTCGTATACGTCAATTCAACTGTAGTCCAACCTGATCATCTTCAGGTCCACCCCGGCGAATCCAACTCCTCCCATATAATGCACGGCTTACTAAACTACCTGCTGTCCGATGCGGAAACGGCGATCGACTTGCGAAAACGCTGCGTGTTCAAGATTGTTCCCATGCTGAATCCAGATGGGGTTGTCAATGGAAGGTAGGCCACAATATATTTTGACCAAAAGAATATGCTGTTTTTGAGATAATGATGGTATCCTTTTCTTCAATAGTCACCGATGCTCGCTTGCGGGAGTAGATCTGAATCGCCAATGGAAACGTCCAGACCGGAGGAGGGCGCCAACTATCTGGTGGGTAAAAAGGCTGTGGAAGTTCTTGGTAGATGAAGGAAAGCGGGTTTTGGTAAGTGCAAGCGTTTTCTCGATTCGTCAATCCAAGTTCCAGGATTGGAGGACTGGAAGATTGGAAGATTGGAAGAATGGAGTGCACTATGGCCGTCATTCTTATCAAAGCTCTCCTACTCAACAGCTTACGTGCGACTTTCACGGTCACTCGCGGCGCAAAAATATGTTTATCTTTGGCTGCGAAAATACTCCAGGCAGCGACGTGGAAAATCTGGAAAAGGTACAATAGAGCGTAATCCGAGTCATCTGTAAATATGCGAGTACGCTTATACCTTTCCCGCGGGCGCCCGCAATAGACCTTCCCAACTCTGCTCTCGACGTTATCACCAACGTTTGATATGTCACTCACTCGCTTTGATGTGACACCGTCCAAGGAAACCACAGCTCGAGTGGTTCTGTGGCGCGAAATGGGCATCTTAAACTCGTTCACATTGGAGAGTAGTTATTGCGGGGGGGATTTCGGCGAGAAAAAGGTAAATCAACAGATCCACTGAGTTACCCCTCAATTTAGCATCACCTTTTCTCATGGTGCTTTTTGCAGGGACTCCAATTTCAACCCGCCGATCTGCGTCAAGCCGGAATAGATTTCTGTCGAGCATTACGGGCTTTTCTTGATATTCCTCCTTGGAACTCTAGCTCTCCGTTCCCGACCGCAGCGCCTTTGGTACCTTCTGTCCGCTCTGCATCGGCTAGTGTAGTTAAAACTTCTGTCGTTGTAGAGTCTGAAGTAGGGCAGGTGGAAGCTGAGGTCCACCTAGAGGTTTCCGCGGAGATATCCGTGGGAGAAGAACAAGGAAATACGCTTGCATAATCTACTCCGTCTTTGACTGCAGCAATTTAAAGGAATTGTAAATAGTTGATCTTTGTCGATATAATAAAGCTGAAATATTTAACGACCTAACCGTCCATGGCGCGCTCTAATATATTACAGGTCTTAACAAAAGCCAATCTATCTACATAAAAGTCGAACGACCAATCCTATTCTGCCAAAGAGAGGGTACCTCGCTTAAGCTGCTGCTTCAATTCCCATACGTCCGCACGATGTTTGGGTGGGGATGATGAGGTATTCATAAGAAAATCGAGATAATTGATGGCAGAGGAATCCGTTGGCCATGGAGATACTGTTGCATCAGACAGTTAATTGAATTCACTACTGGTTAAACATGCGTGACTATTATCATACTAACACTTTCGAGACTGCCTCGATTTGATCTTGACTGTTGCGTCCAGGTTTTGGCTGCTATCTTCTTGGTCCAATTTGAACCGAACGTGTTTCTGCAGGTTCTGAGGCCGTGAGTGTGTTCCGGGACGTTGTAAGATAGACGGTGGGGATGTTGAATTGGGACACAACGATGGAGGCGGTAGGGTCATCGCTCCAAATGTAGGGTTTGGAGAACTTGATTCTGTGACATCGCTCACATTACTGCTATCACTGCTACTAGATTCAGAATCCAATAGCCTAAACTTGGCAGGTCCCACTCGTGACAAGACGACAACGTTCTCTGATCGAACATGAATAGGCAGGAATTCGCTCTGATCCTCCAGATCCACATCATCTGTGGGCACTTTGATTCTTTCCCAGCTTTCCCATAGCGAGGTCGCAGACCCATGAGGCGGCAATGGAGGCAGAGCTGGCAGAGAAACTCGAGAGTCCTCCTCTTGTTCATTCGATGAGAGCATAATTTGTTGCGAAGACTTTGGATTATTCGAGCCGACAAACGACGACCCCCACCACCAGAAACCACCTACACAGTCGGAAAACAGCATAATGAGGTCAAGAATTTAGAATGAAATTGGGGGGAAGATGAGGAAAGACGACGGCGGAAATGCCAAGGTGGAAGGCGGCTAAATTGGAGGGAAGGAAAGCAACCTGTCGAAAATCCATGCAGCGGGCTCTTTTAAGGTGCCCTCCACAAGTCTCCGAATGCAGTACACATGTGAAAATTGCGATACTAGATATTATTTCTTTATCCTCCCCTATCTGATAGATGTCCTTTGGGGGGTTATTTTCCATCACAATCCTTTAAACCTTGCTCTCGTGCTCTCCACAAAACTGGCTGCGCACGGGCTTTTCCCCCCTACCCCTCTATGGCCGCGTGCAACTAGGCGTGTGCAGGGCGATAACTCATTCACGTGACTATAAGTTGATGAACAGCTCCCCATGCACAGACTACAGCATTAAAGTGCTTTCAACTTTATAAAATGATGTGCAATTCCACGTGCGTAAGATGGGCATGCGATAAACTCAAAGGCTGGAAGGTTCTCCCGGCAAGAGCTCGAGCATTCCTCCATGGGTTTGACTCCTACATATCCTTGCCCGCGAGCAGCGGTCCACAAGCATGTGCCTTGGACAAATTTAATTTCCATAGTACGGAGCCGGTGGGTATTGGCACTAGTACATAGATTCCAATCAATTTAATCATAATTTTACTCGATTTAGACTTATGGTTCAATGCACAAAAGATGCACCACCCATTGAAAAACGGGTCCAATATGTGCGGCATCTATGAGGATTGAGGAATTTTCGCAGTTGCGGCGAGTGAGTTGCCACATTTCTATATAAACCCCTCCACTATCGTTCTCTCCCTGCCCATTTTCCCAGGCTTTCATCTTTTCCCACAGATATCATCATGCCACCAAAGAAGCAAAGGCTCGAAAAACTCGACAAACCCACCTTAGTGACCTTACACACCTGCAACAAGACGTCCTTTGCAAAAGCTTTCCTGCCAAACGAGATCTACCACCAACGGCTTCTAGATTACATCGCCATCATTCATGAACTTGCTGACCACGCTTCCCACGCTCTCAAATTCTACATCCTATCTGCACCATCCTTTCCCATGGTAGATCAAGATACAATCGAAGCGATTCTCTATCTTCTCAACAAGGGGGAGGCTTGGCATCCAAGAAAGGAAGCAAAGAAGGCATGGCGGGATTGTTTGCTGCCATATGTTCAACGGTACTGCCAAATCGTCGGCTTTGTTCACCCCAATCTACGAGGCGAGCAGCAATCAGTCAATTACCTGACAGCGAGTATGATGACGAACCTGAAAGTCAACATTCAAGAACATTTCATGACGATGCTGCTCCGCTATATCAATCTACGGCTCGACGTGAGGGGACGGAAAGGGCCTCCAAAGAGTGAAGCACGGAAAGCTTTCTTTGCTCGGCTACGCTACTTGAAGTCAATTTTCCTTTTCGATATCGTGCCCGAATTGCTGGATGACTTGACTGCTGAAGAGAGTGAACTTCTAGAAGAGATTTGGTCACTCGATCGGCCTTTTCTTGTTGACAATCCACTCGCCTACGCAGTTGTCGTCAATCCAATGTCCTTTTTCCCTGCGTACTGTCGGTTGTCAAGCCTATATGAAAAGCATGGATTTCGACAGTTCAGCGCGATACCTCTGCGCCGCTCTCTCATCCAAAGCCATGTGCGGATCGACACCATCATTCTCTACCAGCATATCCTTTGCATCGCACGAAGAGAAGCGGAAACTGTTGAAAAGGTCGATTTATGGTTGCGCGTCTGTAATCTGCGGAACAAGGCTTTTAGATCTCGTCGTGGAATGTGTTTTGAAGGCTCGATCACGACGGACGGTACCTCGGTGTCAGTTTACTTGAAACATCCTGAAGCCGACAAGTATGGAAAGCGTGGCGGTGGGAAAAAGTCGGCAAAGACCTTAGAAGCTGAGGTGAAGGCAGTATATGTGGAGAACAACTTGCCTGCTTGTCGAGCAGCAGAGAACTTTGTCGTTATCGACCCAAACAAGCGCGATCTTCTCTACTGCCAAGACAACAAGGGCACCATCTTCCGTTACACCGCCAATCAACGCTGCAAGGAGACTGGAAGCCGTCGATTTGCAAAAGAGCGGCAGCGGATGAAAGCTGGCGGTATTGACCTCATAGAATCACGTATCCCAAGCCACAAGACGATGAACCTCATGGACTTTACTCGCTACCTTCTTGTTCGCCGCGCAGATTCGGATCGTCGCAAGGAATTCTACTCCCACCCTGCCCACACGCGATGGAAATGGCACGCATTCATAAACCGTCAGAAGAGCGAATCAGACCTCATATCCAACATGCACAACAAGTTTGGGAACTTTACCATTGTGATGGGAGATTGGAGCGATGCCGGTCGAACTGCGAGATTTCAGACCTCATCAAAGACGAAAGGCTGGCGCACCCTCTTTAAGCGCAACAGGATCAACTGCTTCCTTCTCGACGAGTACAAGACCTCATCTGTTTGCCCTTGCTGTTCCTCTGACGTTGAAAAAGGCTTCCAAACACGACCTCATTCAAGACCTTATCGACGACGAGAAGGCAAGATTGAAAAAGTCCACGGATTGCTGGGTTGTACCAACCCTAACTGTTTGCAGCAAGCCTGGACATCGGGAATGCGCTACTGGAATCGAGATACGCTGTCAACCTGCAACATGCTGATGATCGTGCAATCAATGTTGGATGGACATGGTAGACCAGAGGTGTTCAGCAGGAGCCGTAGCGTAGCGTAGATTGGTTAGATTAGGTTTTCCGAACCGGTTGTCGCGCGGTTCAATCCCTGGTGCGGGTGCTAGTGCCAATACCCACCGGCTCCGCACTATCAATATAAAGGTAATTAGAATTTACTATCTACAGAAATATCTACTTTTTTTCATGGTCCCCCTCGAGGATCCGGCGTTTTCTACGGGGATACCGATCAAGTACGGTAACGCCCGCTGTCTTTTTTGGGCGCCTCGGCTGTGGGGCCTCCTCACGTTTACCCTCTAGCACAATATTCGACTTGTTCTCTACAGATGATACCAATCGATGTTCAAATTGGCGCAGGTCGGCGGTAAATAGCACCTGCGTGCGCTGATGAGTACATGACAGCAAAGGTTCCATTTTCAAAGTCACTTACTGAATGCGCCCATCCAGCGTGTGTCCCAAAGATCGTTCGAAAGCGATCCCCGATCGCTAAGTAGTTCTTTTGCGTGAGAGTTTTTGAAGCGAGGCCGGACAACTTGTAGTCTCTTTTCGCAATCTAGTGCGCAACTGTAATGTTTAGCTTCTGTCTCAAACTAATATCGACCCAAGATCACATTGCATACCTGCCATACATGCGTATCAACGGGTATCGCTCCTGGCTTATCCATGCTATACGTATCTATCAACAAATGCAGACTACGAAACAAATATTCAAACCTCCGCATATACCTCATTAAACAGACACAGTCTGCAACCTTTGGTCCCACTAAATAAAATTTCAAATTCAAGAATAGTTATTGTCCATCATCTACCTGTAAGCTCGACTCGACTACTGCTTAGCTTACCACCAGCCAGCTTCAACAACTCATCCCTGCATTCTTCATATGGCAAATTTCTCAATCCTCTTAACCAGGTTTCGTCATGGTGCTCCATGATGTACCTCGCCGTTTGCGATATGTATTTTGCACGGTAGCCGAAACCAAGCTGCCGCAACTCGTTTTCCACATTTTCTTGTGCAAGACGCGCCACCGTCGGAAAGCTATAGAAGGGCTTCGATATCTCATCAACAGTACCGATCTCGGTTCCATAATGTTGACATAGTTTGCTAACCTAAAGATGGCACATAAATGACGGGAAGCTTTATGAAAGGGAAAACTGGCTATTGTAATACCATTGTAGTGATTCGCTGAATGTTGTTGTTTGAGGTACAAATGAACGTGAACAAATTTTCTACCGGATCTTGCCTTCAAGCGAAAGCATGTCAAAATATATATATATATTTGTGGCGAGAATCGGATGTCGAGGTCTGCATACCTTAATATCCGGATGCCCATAAACCGTCCCGCCTTTTTCTCAAAGTTGGCATCCGTCCGCCATTGTTTATACAGTTCCCCAAGATCTACATCAAGCTGAAAATAGTCTCTCAATAACTCCGCAACATCGCCGACATTATCGCCCGGTGTGCGATACAATATGTCGTCATCTACCTTGTCTCACTGGTCAATACATGCAGAAACTGCCTGCCTATTTCTCGAAACGACAATATGCTCACCAGTCTGACGCAACGTTATTATGCGCCCCGACAATACACTCGTCCACTGATTATCTCCTGTGTTCACCCATCGGAAGCTTTGCCCACAGTTGAGGGTCGTGTCAAGACGGAGCTCTTCTGGTTTTACAGAAAGGCAATGCCAGGTGGTCATGGGGCGTACCGACAGACTGCGAGCAAGCCACGGCTTCAGACAATAAAGTGTAGGGCGAAAATGAGCCACGGTAGGAAGTCACACTGATACAATCCTGAACGAAAATGGTGGATCGCTGGAAGTCATCGCTTGAAGCCCTGCATCTGTTGGTAGCACGTGATGCTTCAATTTATCTTTTTCCGGTTAAATTGCGTTCGGACCTCCTCCGACCACCGATTTTCCCAAGCTCTCAACGCAGCGACCACGACGGGCCGAGACAACGAGAAAGGAAGGAAAAGCAGCACTGGATCGAGATAGATAGCCAAATCTCTGGTGCATGCGATTTTTAGAATCTTCCAAAGGGTACGTGTGTTCTGAATGACACGGTCATGTTCAACATAAAACTGAGGAACTTTTTTCGATATCGGGCTTTTGGCTGGAACAGGCTTTTGGTACCCTTTCTTGAGCCTTTTCGTTCGCCAATAGTCTGACCTGACCATGCCAAATCCACGCGATATCGGGTTCAAACAACTGGTCCTTGACTTTTCGGCAAAACCAGGGAAGATGCCGCCTTCCTCTGAGAACGAAAAGAAGCAAGAAAAGAAGCAATCTCCACTTTCATCTTCGTCTTCCCTGGTGGACAGGACGGCTGCCTCCCCAACGTCTCGCTTTTCTCCATATGTGTCAAGGATACCCCCAACTATCTCTGGAGGTGCATTGGAGCACCGCGGACGAAATGCTTCTCTGGGCTTGAAGAAAAGCGCGAGTGGGTCAAAAATGGTCATTGATTTAACGGGCGATGAAAATCGGCATACAGATCCTCTGCTTTCTGTGCAGTACAGCAGCAACATTCCAGGAGAGGGTGCTGGGACTCTCGTTAATTTAACGACTGAAGGACTGACAGCTTCCGTCATTCCATCAAAGCCAGATTTGGCTGCATACAAATATGCACCCTCAAACGCTACATCTATGTCCTCCGGGTGGTCGCAATCAACTTCAACCACCGTAGCTAGCACGACAATGACCCGTCTTATTGGTGCGAGCACTGCTGCCTCCTCGTCATCGAGATTCAAGCACCGCGAAGTAGAGCTCTCAAAGCATTTTTTAAAGAATACATTGGGTCAGGATGGTAGGACCAGATTAAACGTGGCATCAACAGCAAAGAGCACGATCCAGTTGTCAGAGGAGCAGGAAAATGTGGCGAAGCTGGTAGTTGATGGCCAAGAGAGTATATTCTTTACAGGGAGTGCCGGTAAGTGACTTAATATAGTTAAACGTTTTGAAAGATGTTCAACCTTCAAGGGCAATGACACAATTGATGATGCAGGAACGGGGAAGAGTGTACTGCTTCGAGAATTGATAAAACGTCTGCAGAGTAAATACGCAAAGGAGGAAATAGCAATTACAGGTGACAGTAACAGGTACACCAGTTCTCGCATTCTCTTGCTGACCCAATTGTAGCCTCTACAGGGATCGCTGCTTGCAACATTGGTGGCATTACCTTGCATTCCTTTTCTGGTTGTGGTATAGCAAAAGGTATACACGCACTGTCGTCACTGGATGAATCAAACCACCCATTCTCTTCTCTGCATCCAGAGACGGCAGCAGTGCTCGCACAACGTGTCATAGCCAATAATCGGTCCAGTACACGGTGGCGAAGCACCAAGGTTCTAATAATCGATGAGGGTGAGGACTAGAAACATATTTGGTTTTATTCGTGATGAAGCGTGTTCTTTGTCTCGAACTAATGATTATGATGTAGTATCGATGGTTGAAGGAGACTTTTTTGATAAACTGGAATACGTTGCCCGCTCAGTACGTCGCAGTCAGAAGCCATTTGGAGGAGTCCAGGTAGATAACATGGCCACTCAGCTACAACTCATCAACGACGGTGGCTTTGCTCACATCGCTTCAGCTTGTTATTTGTGGGGATTTCCTGCAACTTCCTCCAGGTGCGTTGAATGGTTATTGGCGCCCTTGATTTCCATTGCCCAATGCAGGCAGCACTCATATCCCCACATAGTCTCCAAAAACGCTAGATACGCTTTTGAAGCCACGAGCTGGGGAAACTGCGTAAAGCGAACAATACAGGTAGCTTAACTGCGGCAAGAAACTCTATCATCGCAGCTAACATGTAAGGCTCGCTAAATAGCTGAACCACGTGTTTCGGCAACGGGATTCCACCTTTGTCAATCTCTTAAACGAGATGCGCATCGGAGTAGTATCACCAGAATCAGAAAAGGTGTTGAGGAACCTATCCAGGGAGTTGAGATTTGAAGACGGATTGGAGGCAACCCAATTGTAAGTCAATTGGCTGATATGGTGTCCTGTACAAGAAAACATTCTCTGACATGCATCTGCTCGCTTAAGGTTTGCGCTCCGCAATCAAGTCGACCAGGCGAACGCTGCCCGCTTAGCCAACCTCCCTGGTCAAAGCAAGATATTCAAAGCTCAGGACCATGCCAAAACTGAGGCGGACCGAGCAAAGTTAAAAGATTTCATGGCGCCCGCCGTCCTCGAACTCAAACTAGGCGCCCAAGTGATGTTAATCAAAAATCTTGATGAAAAGCTTGTCAATGGATCGTTGGGCCGTGTCGCCTCGTTTGAAGAGAAGACTGGATATCCGGTGATTGAGTTCATAATCAACGGGAGCCCCAAGTACATGGAGATTACGAATGATGACTGGACGCTGGAGGTACCGGGTCAAGGTGTTGTGGCATCTCGAAACCAGGTACCCTTAATTTTGGCCTATAGTATGAGTATACATAAGAGTCAAGGGCAAACGCTTGAGAGGGTCAAGGTGGACTTGGGCAGAGTGTTTGAAAATGGGCAGGCTTATGTTGCCCTTTCGAGGGCTACCAGTTTGGAGGGATTGCAGGTTTTGAACTACTCCCGAAATAAAGTCAGGGTTGATCGGAGGGTTGTAGAATTTCATAAAAAGTTAGGAACGGTTTAGAGGTTCAAGACCTGTCCACTTAATAGGAATATTAGAGTCACTTGCTTTGTTGTTTCTCAAATTATTCTTATTTAGACATTGTCTTTGCTAGATCATTATGAACAGTAACGGCATTATTATTAAATCAATTGTAGTATCATAATCATATTTTGCAATGCAACGTTGTCTGATGTCACTCATATGCCCTCCTTGGTGGAGTCGGTCCAATGACTTCTTCTTCATCCCTAAAAGGAGTTGCCGAGACATGGGTCACGTCTCCGGTCGAAGGTGCGTGAATTCCTCTGCGCTGAGGCTGTGGAGAAGATGGCAAGACTTCATCGTCGTCATCGGCGTCAGGTTCTTGTGTTGGATGCGACTGCTGTTGTTGGGTTGGATATTGCTGTGAGGGTATGGCTTGCTGTGACGTTCGCATTGATGCGCCACCACTCGTTCCCAAGTCGTCGTCTTCTTCATCGGGAGGACGGAGAGAGGCCAGGACAAAGTCGGCAGTGAATACATCCGGAGGCTGGGTTATGGTGAATATGATTGGGCTAGCGCATATACTACGCGTGAGTATCGTTCGTTCTTCCACGTCCACAAGACTGGGTTGCTTACCTTCCAGCATGATCAAAATACGCCGAGACTGGTTGATTCATTGCATCAGCAAAGGACAAGACTGTCTACATGAATCATTCATCAGTCTCGTATAACCTGTACCACTAGGAGTGCCTACCTTAAAGTCCTTGAGGCTGATAGTAAGATGCACATCATGCTGAACGGAAAAAAGGTCAAAATCGTTTGTATCCACTTGAAGTTCGGTTTGAAGGGATCGGGATGTTGGGTCTAACCACATCATATGCATAGCAGGAGGCGATTGATACATAACAGGCCCGAATAAAACGAACTTCAAAGCACACTCTTACCTTCAGCTTGAGCGTCCTCTGAGAAGCTTTTCAAACGCATATAATCACGTCCACAGCCCAGGGTAATCTCTTCCAATCTATGCCAGAAGCAATTTACCCAATCATGAGACAATTTCGACGAAATGGTCCATTTGTTTCTACAAGCGTTCTTTGTATACAGGGCGGTCAGAGGATCGGTCGGTGCGTAATGAAGCTTGTGAGTTTTAGTAATGCCGTGTTTACAATGCAGGGTAATGATAAGACGGTCCTGGTCAGTCGCTGTAGATGTGATGGCTGTGGGAAGACTTAGGCGACAGCTTTCAATAGTCGTTGTGCTCGCTTTGGCGCGGAAGATGTTCAAGAGCGGCTAGTAAACCAGGATGCATAAGACATACAAAACGAAGAAGAGGCATTCGATAATTGTCCCTATACTGACCTTTAGTAACACATGGCACCTGATAGGTCCCTGATCGTCCGCATTTCGCTTGGCAGAGTATGAGTCGAAGAAGGCTGGCTGGAGAGTGACGAGAACAAATGCGGAACGGGAGGCGTTGACTGTCGAAAGAACCAACTGGTTTGCACGAGTGAGAATGTGTTGTAAGTTGGCTGCCCCGTACACTGCCTACCTTGTTAACCCGGGCTTGTATGTAGAGGTCTTCACCAACTTTGTTCAACGTTTGAAGGATTTTTGCAAATGCTGCAGACGCGATGTTTCTGAAAGCGTTAGAGAGATGGTCTTCTGCATGCTGCGGTTAAAAAAGCAAGGAATGAATACGTACGTTTGAGTGCAGCTGCGGACAGGATGGCCTCCATCGGTGGACGAGCGAGCAAAATGCTGGCAGCTAGGGCTAGCACATCCATTAACCCCAAATGAGACAAATGAGATCGAACACGTGATACTCCAACGTATGTAATTGGCAAGGTTTGCCAACGATCAGCAAGTTTAACTTGCTTTCCATCCAACAACGAGAGATCCTACGTTATGCAAGCACTAACCCTCGCTAAGCCAGTGACGTCGACGTCTCCGAAATATGATCCTCTTGAATTGAAAACTCTCCCTGTGCCGACTCCCAGTGCTTCAGAAACCCTCGTCCGCATTCACGCGGCCGCATTAAATCATCGAGATGTGTTTATCCGCCAGGGATTATATCCGAAGATAAAGTATGGAAGCATTCTGGGGAGCGACGGAGCGGGTGTTGAAGTTGAGAGCGGGAAGAGGGTTTTGGTATGGTATCGGGCTCTCATTCAGTCTTTGCTTTTCGAGCACTTTCGTTGAGCATACTAGTGTGTCTTTTGTAGATCAACCCCTCCATGAATTGGGCGTCAGACCCGAGGGGTCCTGAACAACCTGAAAAGTATGGAATGCTCGGCCTTTTACCTTTTCCAGGTACACCTGCAGTTACTGCGAGTCCACACTTCTTTGGTTTAATATCGATGGGAATTGCTATCAGGAACATTTGCGGAATACATATGCATACCAAAAACTCAAGTCCATCCGATTCCTGCACATTTGACTTTTACTCAGGCAGCAGCCCTTCCTCTAGCGGGCCTAACCGCTTGGCGAGCCACTATGACTAAGGGTCAAGTGCAACCCCACTCCACGGTATTGATTACCGGGGTTGGAGGCGGTGTGGCCCTTTTTGCAATGCAATTTGCTGTGGCAGCTGGAGCAAAGGTATTCGTTACAAGCTCCGACCCCGCCAAGATTGAGAAGGCAATCGAAATGGGGGCAACGGGAGGCGTCAATTATCGTGAAGGTGGGCAGATGGCTTAAATTGAAGCAGCCGTCCTTGCGCAACGCGCTTATCCTCATATTTTACATTCCGCGGTATTCTCAGAGAATTGGGCGAAAACCCTTCTAACCCTCACCGGAGGGCAAGTTGACACAGTCATCGACAGCGCGGGTGGAGAAGCTTCTCTAGCGGCATATCTGAAGCTTCTTTGCGTAGGCGGCAAGCTCGTAACTTATGGCGCAACGGTCTCGCCCACAGCTTCCCTCCTATTACCCACTGTTTTTCTAAAACAGATTTCCATACTCGGCACTACAATGGGCAACCAGGACGAATTCAAAGCGATGTTGGAATTTGTGGAACGTCATCGAATCGTACCAGTCGTAAGCGACGTGTGGGAGGGCTTGTCGGAAGGGGAGGGCGCGTTTGAGTGTATGAGGTAAGAGGAAGCATCTCGAGTTGAGTCTTATTGACCAACTTAAGTAAGATACTTCTTTGTCGATTTTCAGAAAAGCAAAGCAATTTGGAAAGCTCGTTATACGCGTCCGTCCGGACGATGATTCCAATGGGCCAAAGCTTTGAGCTGCCAAAGCAGCAGGAATTGTATCCTTCTGCAGAGTTTGTCACCATCAAAGATCCTTAATTGTCTCCCGTTAGTAGAGCATCGTGGAGTATAGATGTTGGCAGCAAGACATCCAAATTATGGCATCAATTATATTATTGGAGTGAAACCTGTTATGAGATTGGGTATTCGCCCTTAAAACTATTTGGAGCATTACTTTAGTGCATGCTACAAGGAAAAACTGTCAATTACAATAGTGGTATAGTCAATACTGGTATACGAGTGAAAACCCAGTGAGGTAAAAACAGGGTCGATCTCCAACCACTTCGTGACGCTGCGTGGTGGTGAGTAGATCACGTGCTTAGGACACTCAGGGAACAGGTTGGCAAGATCAGTTCTTGCCAATCTTCCAACATCTGCAAGTACCATCCTCTATCGCTGGACTTTCCTACAATGGCCACTTCTTCTAGCAAGCCTGCTGTTGAAAAACGGCCCTCGGACCAAGAAATTGTTGCTCAGGTGGGTTTGCGTGATATGAGAGCAAAGGCTGGACCTAATTGGATTGGCTTACGTGCACCTAATAACGACCTTGTAGATCAACAGTATGAAGCAAGAAATGAACGCCATCGCCCAAAAACTCGGTGAACTTGAAATGGAAAAGGACGAGCACCAGTAAGTTGCTCGCTTCTCGCTCCAGTTTAGCGCAGGCCCGCAGTCGATGAAAAGCTGCGACCTATTAGGCTTGTTGTGGATACAATCAGTCCACTGGAACCCGAACGTAAATGCTTTAGACTTGTCGGAGGAGTATTGGTGGAGCGAACAGTTCAGGACGTGCTACCAGCTGTGAAGACGAATATGGACGGGGTGAGTGAGATAAGGAACGCAGGTCCACGCAGCCCTTCTCTAGTATAACCCCTACATATTTCCCATCACGCAAGATCCAAAATATCATTCAACAACTCGTTGCCCAATACAAGAAGAAGGAGCAGGATATGGAGGCATATCAAAAGAAGTGGAATGTACAGATCCGGGACCAATAGACGAGGTTTTTTGTGAGGGTCATTTCCATCGCGCTGTGGTGTGATTTGCGCAAATAGCATTGCGAGAGGTCACCCGGCGCAGGCTGCATCTCAGCTTTAGTGTATTGATACTTGTCGCGATCAACTAATATAGTGTATATATGGTACTTGCCGTCCTTAATTGCGGCTTGCCTTGTGCGTTCTGTATACCATGTGCATTCAGCAATGCCGTAATATGAACCAGTGTCCAAATCTCCTACTGCAATTGATCAAGAAGGAGACATTCAATCTATTTACAATTAATAGCGCCGGGCACAAGGAGATATGTCCATCATGACAAATCCATGGCTTCTACGCGACGCTCGCTTAATTCGTCCTCCATGAGGACACCTTCTTCCTCTTCTTCCTGTACAGATGGTGTAGGAGCTTCTTCGTTTAGCTTCTCTTCCATAGCCCTTTCTTCCTCTTCTTCATGATCTTCCGTAATGGTATCTTGAAGCTCGTGAATCGCCGTAATGATAGTCAAGAGCTGCTTTCTGCGGAGATCACGTTTTATCCGTGTGCTCTGCGTATCCGCTTTCAATCGCTCGATTTTAGTCCGTAGTTTCAACGCATTTCTGAACCATTAGGTTCAACAAAGTGACGACGTTTTGTTGTTGCGTGTGAAAAAACCAACTCACTCTATACTTCTATTACGTGAAGGCAACTCGTTGATCTTTTGTGCTACCTCATCGTATTCCAACTTGTTGGCGCGAATTCTCTGGACTTCCATGAGCCGCGCTTTCAGCAAGACTATTTCCTCTCTGCCTTTTCCAATTTCTTGCTCTGATCAAAAATAATGTGAGGCTCCGGCAGATATCAGATTCTAAACCAATGTATCTACCAATACGTGTCTTTTCCTCTTCATACAGCTGGATCTCTCGATTATTCATATCATGTATCAGCTGGTGTTTCTGTAAGCCGACTTCGAGTTGCGACAGGTCCGTGAGCACCTGATTACTGGATGGAGCGGTTTAGAGGAGCCGAACAAGGGCAATCGCTCAAGCTGGATTCTTACACTTCGCTGTCCTTGCCAGATGCATTTTGCGAAACATAGCGGAGAAAGCACTTTTTGAATGCCCGGTTGTCGAGCAGAATACGATTTCGTACTATGGTGTCTGAGGAAAGCAGATCAGCTGTCAGTCATGACAACTCACAGATAAAAACATGTTACCAAAGCAGTAAGACCATACCTTCTGAGACGGTGGTCATGATAGATCCAGTTGACGAGCTTTCGTCAACGTTGTCGCTGAGAGGCTTAGTGCATCCACCTGGCGATGTGGCGTGGATGTGGCTGCCTGCGCTTACATACAGCACCAAGCGACATTTAATGTCAGCCAGCCGTCTTTTGGCACTATCGTAACATGATATTATCCACTGCTCTAACACACATAAGGCTTTGTTATGATATGCCAGAGCGTCAAACGAGCTGACTACGTAATTTCTGAACATCGTTCAGGACGGTCCCAAAGTTGCTGCGAGCAAAGGTACGAGCTCAAATCTCTCAACTGGCGTGTGCTGAGCTCGTCAACATTGGGCGATGGTCTTTTATGGTTCAGCTGGCCCTTCTGTAAATAATCATTTATATCGTTGTTACTGGCATCTGCTCACAGTCCAATGCTGATGTGGCTGGTACAGGATGAACAGGTGACATCTTTTCTGTGCTTAGTCGCGCGGTTGTGGTTGACGCTCGATCGCCCACCTTTCTTCCTACAGTGTGGGCCATGTCATTCACCCCCGTTGCATTCCCACCAGAGATTGACACTATCCTCCGAGCGAATTACTCTGATGCAACATGGATAGCAATCTGCAAAGCATTAGCTGTACCACCCCGCACTACTTTTTGTCGCGTTAATACGCTACGTTGCACCAGAGAGCAGGCTAGAGAACAACTGCAGGACTTTGTTGACATGGTACGAAATTACAGAAATTACTGCTGATTCACATATATCCTTCTCTGTTTCTAAAAATCTTCATTTTTTGCCAATTCCAAAAGCAATGTAAGCAGAAAAACTGGCCGCAATGGATTGTGTATGAGCACCCTGTTGTGCCTGATGTCCTATATATGGACGTGCAAGGACCGCTTCACGTGGATCCTGTGCAAAAAGGTGAGACTGATACTCACCGTCGCCTTCTTAATGAGTACTTACTTGCTTGCAATAGAGGTAATCATAGATACGATGTGTGGTAACGCTGTTTTGCGCGGTGCGGATATTTTTGCGGTAAGTCGAATCTTCATCTTATGGAGACCGGAAGTTGAGCATCTATGCCATTTCTTCAGACGGGTGTTCTAGCGGCCGAATCTGCCAGTAAGCACCACCTCTTGGGCCATGAATGCTACGGGATCGCTGTGATCTGAACTACCAATGGTTTTCGATAGCGAAGCCGGGAGATAAAGTGGCGGTATATGTCGATCTTGATGGGGCATGCTTGCGTGGCCAATCGAAGAAGTACACGGGAAGGAAGGCTTTTGTCGGAAATGGCATTGCCATGATGGTATGTGCACAGTAATGCAATGCGATGCTGACACAATGTTAACTTGGATTCCAATTCCAAGGGCCGAGAAACCCTTTACACATGCTCTGCAAAGCAACTGCGAGGAAAAGGTGTTGGCGTACAAATGGTGGAGCCAATATATAAGTCGCCATCACTGGGAGATATGTTTGCGAAAGGGGTCATTCTGCAAAATCTACCAAGTGTGCTTGTTGGACACGTTTTGGCACCACGGCCTGGAGAGTTGGTGTTGGATATGTGTGCAGGTAGGCCCCGTCACTTATGCGACGCTAGGAATACACGTAACATGGGACGTCTTTGGCAGCACCGGGGGGCAAAACGACACATTTAGCTGCGCTTATGCGGGATCAAGTGAGTGGTTTATTTAAATCCACATTTTATCACCATTACCAATTATAGGAGATTAGGGAACAATCATTGCGTTGGACCGTTCGCATCAGAAGGTAGACCGCTTGGTAAATTACATCCGTGAGCAAGAACTGGTCTCGGTAAAGGCATATTGTTGTGACGCCACAAGCTGCGTCATGTCGGAACAAGAGACCAAGGAATTTCTAGCTACTCCCGTTTGGTGGTCACCAGGAAGCAAAATTCAGGCTCTTCCGCGCGAATGTTTTGATCGAGTACTTTTGGACGGGCCATGTTCTGCCATGGGTACGTACATCGCCACATCTCATAGTCTATAGTTTCAAATAGCCCTTTAACCTCCTTCGCATGATGTGCCTCGATCCAAAAGGTCAGCGACCAAACTTCAAGCCAGATATAACTGTCGGCGTTCTTCATCATTATCCAGCCTATCAGCGCTCCCTTCTGCACGCCGCTCATAAGCTCCTTCGTCCAGGAGGTGTTCTCGTTTACAGTACTTGTACAATTAACGCCGCCGAGAACGAGCACAATGTAGCCTACGCACTTGCCACATTCCCGGACCTGGAGATCATGGCAATACCGCCAGAATTCGAGGGGTTGAGCCAGGCAGGATTGACCGGTGTGGAAGCGCTGACCGAGGTGGCCAGACAACGATGTTATCGGTTTGAACCAGGTCAGATGTGTGGGGTAGGAGTGGATGGCAAGGTGCTAGAAAGTATTGGGTTCTTTTTTGCAGCTTTTCGAAAAAAAGAGGCAAACAGCCATTAAGTATTTCTGGAACTGCCACAGATGACTTGAGTTTACTCAACCTTTTTCGGTTGCAAACTTTTTCCTGTGTGAGTTGGACTATGTTAGATTGCAATGTAGAAGGGACGACAGGATCAAGTCTTTACCCATATCAGGACTGCAAAGATCAGGCTTACTTACAGTCAGTCTGCTCCAGTTGACGATCAGTTGATAGGCTATTATTGTATTTCATAAAGCTGGCGAGATATCTATGTGATTTTTGGTTGAACGCAACTATAGAGAATAGCAGGTGCTGTCAACCCTCAAGACATTAAGTCTTCCTGGTCCACATTAGGAAGAACTATCACCACAGTTTAGTACGTCTGGAGGATCAAGCGACATAACTCAGGAATTTAGATGTTAAGACTTGGTTATTTCTCCAAATAAAGTTTGGTTATCATATGACTTACGATGATCCTCCTGTTCTCCATCAATTAAAAAGGCCCTTTTGTGAAAACTTCACGAACCCCCCCCCCCCCCCCCACACACACACACACACACACACTGGATTTCCTGTAGTTAATAAGAATAGGGTATCTCCTGCTAGGAGCAAAGCATATTGTAGTCCCTTATGTTTGTGTCTGGTTGTTCTGGTTGATCTTCGTTCATTGTCACATCTTGGTACATCAATATGTAAGTTTTGCCCGTTCATGAGGTTTAGTGAGATGCATCTCGGTATCGGTGAAAAGGGAAACATCATGACGATCCACTCCTGGTAGGTCTATACTCTCGCTTTTAGTGAAAAGCCAATTTGACATTTACATGGAGATATTTTGGCTGACAGCGATGCATTTACATCCGTGTTCTTCTCTCCTTCTTCTTTTAGGATTCTGTCTGGCTCTCTCTCTCGATGCAAATCTCAAACCTCAGTCTTCGAGGACCACAAAAGTGGTCAAGTGCATGTGCAAAGATTCCGAAAGCCTCTTATGCATATGGCAGACATTCAACTGTTGGTGATAAGCAGTTCACAGGTACGGACCTTAATATCACAAAATTTGGTTGATATACCATTGTTGTCTGGAGCTACCACTGCCTAGAGCTTACCGTCAACGAATTGCTGAACTCTGACATAATCTTGAAATACCGATACTATAACGACAGTTGCAACAGATACATCGATATTCCCTGTTGCCCGCAGGGATGGATAATGCTACCGGGCCCCACGATTTGCAGCGGTACACTGGGGGAATCCTTCTTATATGCTCTGTCAGTTCCCCTTTTTCTGCAGAAACCCTTCATTTACCTTACTGCTGATAGTGGAGCACATCTTCCTTCAATTCAGCTTCTATTGCCTGGACGGCATTTTCTACAGGCTAGAGTTTCTATGTATTGGCATCTCAAGTGCAGTTTGATTGATCTGAATACCAGTTCAAAAGCACCGGAATACTTTTCTTTTCGCTGGAAGCAACTGTAATGAACAGTCTTTATTTTCTAACATTTGCCGGATTTGCGGGTTGCAATGCTATTTGGATAGTTTCTTGCACATTCGTTCTCGTCAAAGTATACCCCTATGACGACTCCTCCACTATTCAAATCAGAAATGAGATACTTCCCGGAGAAGTTGGTATCATCTGTATTTTTATACCCTGTTGAGGCCGCTAATGTCTACTTTCGTTCCAAGACAAGCATCGACAAACATCGCGACGGGATTGATAACGTAAGCAGACGGACCACTTGTCGCTTTCCCTCAACCCGATTTCTATTCTTCCGTAACACTAGTCAATCCCCACATTTTTCCCCGCAAACGCACTGATACACCCATGTCACCAGCACGGCCTACACATCCCATAGACAGCACAGCATCCCAGCATAGCATATCCACTGAGAACGATCCCAACCGACGTCTGTCGTATGCTTCCACCTCCTCCACCAGCTCCATAATGCAACGCAATTCCAGACAAGTATCCGATCTGAATGTCGAAGGAGTCTCAGAGGGTGGGCCAAAATTTGCCAAAGCTCTATACGACTTTGCTGCGAATGAACGTGACGAGCTCATGTTGGAAGAGGAGGACATCGTCCAGCTTCTGAAAGGGGATGCGAAGGGAGGGTGGCTATTTGGATTGAAGAATGGTGTCTGGGGGTGGTTTCCTGCGAATTTTGTAAGAATTCTAACTGACGAAGAGGCTATTGCTGAGGGATTGTTGGATACAGCAGAATCGTCTACGGTTGAGCTATCAGACGCCGACTCAAGCAAAGCACAGTATATCCCACTAAAATCTGCCACCCCGTCATCTGTATCACACAATGAGGATGCTGGAGCCAACCTACCACCAGGCACCCGCAATTGGGCGGCTAAATACAAAACCATGCCGCGGTACTCTAAACGTGTCTCTGGAACAGGTTTAGATGAACTGGAAGCAGCAATCGGGACTCATATTCGGGAAGCCCTTGCCAGACCAAAAGCGGAGCCTGCCCCTGTTCTCGAAGAGGTTAGTTCGGACAAAAAGGAAGCTCGTCGAGCAGGGTCTTTTCGAAAGAAGGATATCAAATCTGGAAGCACTGTTGAGCGAAGAGCAACAGTTTCAATTGTGGGTGTTCCGCATGTGACACGGCAGCGGTGGGTGGAGACGATGGGCGGAGTGGAAGAGGTTACAAAGATGGGATTGAGCAAAAAGGAAGTGCAAAGACAAGAAGTTATCCATGAGATTCAAGCGACTGAAAAGGATTATGTGGAAGATTTGGAAATCATCATTAACGTAAGATATAGCGTTGCTTTCTGTGTACGGGGGATAGGATACAGATGACATTTTTTCCTATTCTCTATGCTGCAGTTGTACATGAACCAAATCAAGAAGAACAAGCTGCTGCCACCTAAGGATATGGCGATTGTTTTTTCGAATGTGGAGCAATTGTTACCCGTCAACCAGGTACGGCCAACGATCTGCGTAAGTAATGCAGGGGTAACACTCAACATTGCTCTAGCAATTGATGAAATGGCTAGAAGATCGCACATCACAGCACCCTGTGGTGGAGCAGATTGGAGATATATTTATACGTGTGGTATGTTTTCACGCTCTGCTGATGCTTCTGTAGCATGCAAACCTCCAACATATTTGTGAAGAGCGACTTCCTGAAAATGTACACAATGTACTGCCGGAATCATCCTTTCGCACTAATGAAACTCCAAGCTGTTCGACAAAACAAATCAGTTGCCAAGTTTTTGGATGTATGTGATATTGGATACATCATGAATACCATTGCTTGGATCTCACATTTGCTGTCAATAGCAATGTGCCATGATGCCCGAAAGTCGCAATCTTAACTTGGCAAATTTCCTGTGAGTATGGGACGATACTTTATTCTGGACAGAAGAAAGATTAACAATTCTTTGGCAGCATCAAACCTGTTCAGCGGATTTGTAAATATCCGCTCCTCATTCGGGTACGAACAAGATAACTTGAGATTCGCTAATAGTAGCACTGAGATGATCCTTTCATGTTTTTGTCGGGATTGACACAACAGGAAGTAATGAAGAACACCGAACCGAGTCACCCCGATTTCCAAAATCTTGAGAAGGCTCTTCTAAAGATTGAAACCGTTGTGACAATTGTCAATGAGGGAGCTAGGCAAGCTGAGGCGGTGCAAAAAATGTTGGAACTTCAAGGCAGGTTCACAACCGTGAGTGCGAGTACTGTCGTCACATCCCAGTTTGGGCTATTGAATGGGCACATCATGACACCATGCTGGCATAGAAAATGAACATTGTAGCGCCCTGGCGTCAACTTTTGAGATCAGCTTCCATGGACCTCGTCAAATCCAATAACGAACGAAAGCGTCGTGAGATATTCTTGTTCAATGATATGCTACTTTTAGCCAAATCCCTCGGAGATGACCAAAGGCTCAAGCTAGTGGATATGGTTCCCTTTGACATGATTCTGATCAATATCCCTTCAGGTGGGAAAGCCTAGCACTTTATTATGTATAGCGTGTGCTGTTAAGAGTGTAACATCGTACTTTCGCAGTCGGAACGGACCATCTCATGGAAATTGTTCACATCAATACGGCAAGATATACCGTGGCATGCGACACTGCTGACACAAAGCAACTGTGGATTGACTCCCTCAAAGAAGCGACCAAAACTTGGATGGCCCAAAAGAACCGAGGAAGTCCTGGTGTTGCCAATCTCCCACCTCAAACAAACTCAGGCGATACAATGGGAGGTTCCGGAACGTCGCTCTCTCATGAAGCATTGCCTCAAATGGACGCAATTGCCGAGGCATCGGCAAAGCTGGTTCAACCAACGGTCGATGAATCTAGTTTGGCTGATGCAGCATTAGTTGAAGATGAGGTCGTCGTAAAAGACGATGTATCTGATGAGCAAGCAGCGCCTCCTGCACAAGCACTGAAATCGTTTCAGAATCAAAGTAGAGTGACCATAAGCGCTTTACGTACCGTAACCAGCGGTTTGCGGCACGTAGAGTCCAAGGTCAAAAGCAATGAGAATATTGCAGAGAACGATGGCTCTAGCTTGACAGGAAGGGTTGCGTCAAATGAGCAGTTGGATAGCACAAAGAAGAAAAGCACCTCCAAAGAGACGCTTATGGTTCTCCCACCTCTGCCCAAAAAGGTTTCGCCAGGTGCCCCAGAAAGCGCTGTAAAGTCGGAACCAGTCGCATCAAGCCGAACTTCTACTGGGATAAATCATGCGCCGCGCAATGTTTCCGTCCGTTTTGCATCGAATCCCTTTATAGTGCAAGATCAAACAGCGGATCAGGTCCCTCGCCAGCGATCAGCAACCGCGGAACCTCCAGGGGCGGGGACTGTTTCTAGTGCAAATGTGGCCAAAACCAACGACCAAAGCGATGCTGGCAAAGCCGATGCACCCGGGCGACGAGCTAGCCACTTGGGCGTTTCACTTGCGGGTCGCGATGCTCATCCCACCCAGCCGCCACCAAAACTCCCACAGACTCTCTCTGGTGCTCCACATCCCTCCGCCAACATAGAAGCAGGTCCTGAAAAGAAAACATCACAATCCGTGGCCTCAGATCGAAAAACTTCAATCACAGAGGAGAAAGCAACATCAGGACCTCAGTCTAAATCGGCCAGCAGCAGCAGTATATCCTCCCTTCAGGAAGAGGTTGGCACTATCAAAACTGTCCAGCGCCAAGCGCAGCCACTTAACCGCGCAAAATCCGGCACCATTTTCAACAAACCCGTTCGGAAGGCAACAATAGTCGACGTAATCCGACAGCAGACTTCCGCAGCCAGCCGATCCGCAACCGGGAAGGATTACGTGTATCTCATCGACGTCTTCCACGTTGGAGTATCCGACGATCAGCACATGACCATTCGGCATACATATGACGATTTCTTTGATTTCCACATGCAACTCATTGGCCATTTCCCTGAAGAAGCGGGAGTAAGGGTTGGGCTGATGCAAAAGGATTCAACCGGTGAATTAGAATCCATGCCCGGAGCTTGGTCGGAAGGTCCCAGAAGAATCATACCCGAGCTGCCAGGACAAATGATGTTCGTGAGTGAGGCAGCTGCGAAAGGAAGAATGGCTCAACTGCAGGATTATATCCAGGTATGTTGTCTTTAAAGAGCTTGCGATATTCGTCTTCAGCCCATAGTGACAACCACGCTGCACGACGATAGTGTATCCTTGCCCTTCCTTCGAAGATCTCGAGATCACCTGTTACGATGAACTTTTTCCGTAACGATGGCAAGCACGTTATTGCACTAATCTCGTCAACTGACGCGAATGAAACTTCACGGTAGCATGTATAAAACAAGCAGAGGGGAGAACTAGTGATTGTAGGTTTAGGAAACAATAGTCAATGGTTATTGTGGTGGTTTTTGCGGTACATGTTCAGGGGGTGTACGAGGTTGATCGCAGTGAGGATGACCGTTGCAATACCCAACCGATATATATTTATATGTCAACACGAAAACAACCAAACGGCATCTAATGATCTACTTATATAACACAGTATTCTTCCTCATGGCCTATTTGTGTGTCGGAAACAACATCGTCCCATAACAGCTCAAATTCTGGTGTTGATGGGAATGAACGTGACATACCAGGGAGAATGGCCACCCGTGTATGAACGCTGGTAAAAGGATCCGTACTTTCCCTGGATGGCGTTGGTGTAAATGGCGGCGCTTCGAAGAGTGTCGTCGAAACATCGGGATAGGTTATCGGTACAGCTGCGACAAAGTTTGGGTCGGCTGCAGTCGTAGGAGATTCAGGTACAGCTGATTCCTCGTCCGCTATGGATAGAATATCATGCTCAGAACGATCTTCCTGTGTGCCGTCAGAATGCCCATCCTTCTCCGATACATGCTCCATGACACTTGCATAGTCATATACCGGATCAAAAACTTCATCCAGCAAAACCCGAAGAACTCTCCACTTTGCGCCTTCGACACTTCTTCTAATGCATTCAACCTCCCCTTTCAAGTCAACTCCGTATTTGAGCAACAGCCGCAGTACATCGTCGTGACCGGCGGCACATGCTTCGAGAGCTGCTGAAGTAAGAATCGACTGTGGTGCTGGTGGAAGATTAGCGAGGAGAACAGTGAGGAGGGACATGTTGTGCATGCGAGACGCCCAGGCCAATGGATTGAAGGGCGCGGAAGCTAGGCGGGCTCCGCTGGCTAATAGATAGGAGGTTATCGATGGGTTTTCAGCTGAAAAGTACTGTAAAATCAGTATAAACAACCTCCCAGGCAAGCCGTCCAAAATTTTACTTACCGACAACAGCAACAAAAACAGCACAATTGTCCGCGGCCTGAACATCCGCTCCGGCTTCCACCAGTGCCTTCACTACACTCTCGTGTCCGTGAGCGCATGCGGCAGTAAGAGGCGTCAACCGCAAGTTCTTTAAACAAGCTGCAGGGAGTCCGAGGGCATCCCAATGCCCAGCCCATGGGCGAGTTGCGTTGATTGGGGCTTTCTTTTCGAGTAAAAACCTAAAAAGTAAGATATTAGCATTAGTCCGTGACTCCTCTCCAATCTACTGAACCACATCTCACCTAACGGCTTTTACATCCCCGTCCCCACACGCATCTATTAGCAAATCTTCAAGACTCCCTTCTCGGCCAGGTAAAGGTATAGGAGATCCGCCCGTGCTCGCCAGAGGCCGCTTTTCTGTATGCTCCTCTACTGCGATCTTGTATCCGTTTTTTCCCTGACCTGGTTCCTCATGCAGCGCAATGGACGTCATCGAAGAAGACCGAGGTGTTATGAGAGGCCTACGCTTATCAGAGTCCGTGATGGACTTGCACGGTCGATGAGACCAGGAAAAGAAGTTGTATGATGACAAGGCCAGCATGGTTTCTCTCTAAAAAGGACAATGTCCTGCCAAATATAAACCTTTCGACGAGGTCCCAGTGCCATTTTATGGCCCTTGGAAACGGGCAAAGTCCGCATGACGTCCCTGCTTACGTCACGGCGCGAGGCCCCAAGAGATACGGGGTGGACAGAGCATCTGTGGAGATTTGGTACCAACGGAGCAGGAAAAGGTCCTTCAGGCGCTTTTCAGGGTATGTTTTTTAGAAGGATACGGTATAGCTAATTCCTACTTTCGCATATTTCAATACATGTTATGTCGAGATATTCAAGCTACTGCTACTGCCACATTTTTGCATTTTAATGAGATTTTGAAGCATTTGCTGCAACTTAACATCGCATGAACAGTTGACTTTAGTAGACCTGTTGCACCAAGATCGCATACGGCCGGATATCTTTGGGTTTGACGGTAACGGCGTTATAATTAAGCTGGCAGCAGCTCGGATGGACCCTGTTTTGGAGGACGACTCGCCAAGTGCGACCTCCGCTAACAAAAAACCCCTTTTGAGAATAACTGTGCGTCACGGCGATGTCCATCGTGGACCACACCCATCCGTCATGGCTGGCGCGGTAGCCTTTTTGAACGATGCTCGCAATGTTGGTGTATGATGTCCCATGGTAAGTCACGATCCTAGAGAGAGAATACCAATCAGATATGGGATATTTCAAAGATGGGGGTGCTGTTGTTGTTTACCATTCCCCTTCGCTGGACTCATTCCTTGGACCGGGGGCTCCAAGCCACATGTCATCTTCATATTTGCCCTTCACTTTTAATCCAAATCGTAGCCAACCAGTGGGCCGAACATAGCAATGTCCACCCCGCAAGCCCACAATTTGGTTATCTCCACACTTAGAGTAATCACGATCCCAGCCCGGCTCCAGGTACTTAGCTGGCGGGAAGAAACTCAAAAACTGTGCAGAATCAGGTAGGAGAGTGAGCCGCGCCTCATGGTATAAGCTATATGTGGAGAGGGTGTGGTGATCTTCAAGTTCTGTACGTTCGAAGGCGATGCGTGGCCAGGTGTTAGACTTGGTGGTATTTTTAAGCACTTCTTTGAGCCTCCGGACTTTGGCATCTCTCCTCACTAAGTGTCTTCTTCGTTATTCAGCAGTTAGGGGATAGAATAAAGACAGCATACACACCTTTGACGAGGATTGGCTTCGATTTCGGATCGGATTGAAAGTGGATATGAACCATCTCAATCATAACCTCAGCTCTTGATTTGGTTGACTTAATAGACTTGACAGAACTGGTAGATTTAGTGGACTTGATTGAGCTGGTAGATTTAATGGACTTGATTGAACTGGTAGAGGCTTTCTCGGTGTGAGAGGGGCCCAACATTCAAAATGGCAACCAATTAGCAGTGCAACACATATTAGAAAGTGCAGTAGGTTCGGGGAAGCACTACTCACCGTCCTCCACAGTTATAACAACAATAGTATCAATGTCCGTTGCCTCTTGGTCTATGACAGTCGCAGAAATTGAGAAGCCACAAAAATGGGCACACAAGTTGAATAAGCGCACGTACCAGCTTCCGCACCAGTTTCTCTACCGGCTTCCGTACCGTCTTCTGCCAACTGGTGAGGCCCTGAATCGGACTTCTCAACAGTTTTACAAAAAGGGCGGAAGATAGGAAGCAGGCACTCTCGCAGGAGCCTATGGCATAGCTTGAACATTTTGCAAAGAAGGTAGTCTTCACTGTAGTATTTTGTACCTGCTGAAATCACCGGCGATATAAAGCAACAGTAAATGTTATGAACATCTGATGGAAGCTTTAACATGATAGAATGATGATTTGTCGTTTCTTCATGCCAACTCATCCTATCAAGCCACCGTCTTGACCGGGACCCCCTTTTACAACGAAGATTGATATGTATGTCTGTTGGATAGCGGGGGTTGAGATTCCTTAGCGCGGCTTTTGCACCTTGTTGTCATATAGCATCACCTTTTGAAGGCAGAACGTGGCCTGAATTGCTTTATTATAAACAAAAGGTCAGCCGGATCAGGAATCCTAACCCCCAGTATTTGACCATCACGACCATAAACGAAATGGAACTTTGAATTACCACGGAGAAAGCTTACACTTTTTTGCAGAAACAATTCGAGAACGTAATACTATAAACATGAAGATAATAAAATACGTACATAAAAAAAGTTTGCCAATGATTTGCAGAATAATCCCACGTTTCAGCCCCCAAAAAGATCTAACCGACGTCGTCTACCCTCTCAAGTGCATCGGATTTCCCCATCACACAATTTCTTCCTGAGCATCCGCCAATACATAAAAGATTAAGCCGTTGGTCCAATTCGCAGGGTGATGTATCCCACACTTTCCGATCTTTATGCAGTTGCATCTGTTGGGAAACCACGGTATGGCGCCAAGTCCTCTGTAGATTCCTTCGTCTCGTCAACAGCGTCGAATCTATTATTCTGCTGCAACTCCAAAACATTCCCTCCAAAGGCCTCTAAAGCCCAAGCCAGCGTTTCAATCTTGAACGGTTTCCCAATGTGCCCATCCATCCCTGCAGCAAGGCATTGATCGCGATCTGACGCCATGGCATTGGCTGTCAGGGCGATGATAGCCGGACCGCCATCCGCAATACCTCCGCGTTCCTTTCTAATTACTCTCGTAGCTTCTATACCGCTCATTCTAGGCATTTGTACATCCATCAGAATGACGTGGTAAGGTGTTCGGCGCGACATTTCTACCGCTTCGACCCCGTTGTTGGCAATATCGATGGCAGAGTTATATCCCAGTTGCGCAAGTAAGCGTATTGATACTTTTTGATTGATCTTTGTGGTTGTTGCGTTACAGAGATGTGCATTCAAGTACGTCAGCTGTCTGCACGCATTGAACTCTCCCAAATATGACACCTACCAGGTTATCCTCAGCCAGCAGTATCTTAACTGGCACTTTGTCTGCGATTCGTTTCCATTCCTCCTTCCGCCGTCCGTCTTTCTCATGATCCCATGCGCCAAGTTCCGCTTCGAGCTCGCCTTCATAAACCGGAAATCGTATTCGAAACGAAAAAACACTACCCGCATCCTCGACACTCTCCACTCGTATTCCCTCCCCACCCGGGTCCATCAACTGCACTAACTGTTTTGATATTGCCAAGCCCAATCCAGTTCCACCATATTGTCGACTGGTTGAGGCGTCAACCTGAGAGAATGGTTGAAAGAGACGGCAGAGACGGGTTGCAGGGATGCCGATGCCAGTGTCGCGGACTTCAAAGTGTACCAAAGCGGTGAGCGACGTTGGCGAGGATGTGGGAGTGCGAGTAAGAAAGTGGGTTGGTCGGCGAGGTTTCTCCGGTTTTTCCCGTCTCTCGTCTATCTCTGGTATCTCTGGTTTCTCTGCATTTGTGTTGGTGTTCGGACTGCTTTTGTCCGTGAATGTGAAGCGTCGTTGTTCAAAATGTCGGCCAGAATCATCCACAGTCCACGCTCTTATTGATACTCCCCCCGACTTTGTAAATTTAACGGCATTTCCAACAAGGTTGATAAGAACCTGTCGAAGACGATTCCCATCACCAATAACGATGGAAGGTACGGCAGAGTCAACCACAGTTGTTAAACCTATTTGCTTTTCCTTCGCTTTTAAATTTAGTACGGAGACAGCGTTGGTGATACAGGTGCGTAGGTCGAACGGTCGATTTTCCAAACTCATTTTTCCTGCATCAATCTTTGAAAAGTCCAGCTGAAATTGATCAACGGGATTCATTGTCACTTTGAGTAGAGTAAGGTCACGTTGGAAAGAATTCATACTGACCACATCATTTACAATAAGTAACAATCCATCAGAGCATTCTCGTATCGATTTCAGCAAATCCCGCTGCTCAGCGTTAAGTTGAGTATCCCACAACACTTCACCTAGCCCGACAATACCATTCAACGGTGTCCTAATGCCCCGCGTAGTATGAGCACTGTAGTCCACCTACAAACTCTCACTAATGCATTCTCACCTAAATTCGTGTGAAATATTTGCGAGGAACTTTTCGCATGGTCAACATTAGCCACAAGTGCGATCGTATAACAAAAACATAACTCTTGCATGTCACGTAATACTCACTTCCGCCTTCAATTGTACAGCCAAATCCAACTCTCGGTTCTTTTCATCCAGTTGCCGATTTTTCTCGTCCAGCAACTGATTCTTTTCATCCAGCTGCTTCGTCTTCTGCTCTAGCGCGAATTCAACTGCTTTCCTGTCGCTCACATCTATATGTGCGCCAACCTGTCATACAATACAGAGTTTTATATAGATGGAACTCGGACGATCAAAGTTGTCTGCTTACCAACTTGGTGGGCTTTCCATCAGCATCACGAGCAAGAATCTTCCCCCTACACTAAGGATATGAGGATATGCTCCTTTACTAGCGTTGTACATTTGTGGTTACTGACCGGTTTAATAGCCATATGTAACTGCCACTCTTGGTCAAAAGTCGGCGCTCCATTTGAAAATTATCGAGCTGATGTTTGCCGCTCAGTATGTCCATCGTGACATTATTCATTCTTGATCGATCTATAGAGCAGTTCCAAAATTAATGTTTTGCCCCTCAAATACGAGGGAGGGACAAATAGACACACCAGCAGGATGCACAGCGTTCTGATACCCTTCTACGGTGCCGTATATTGCGCGGTACTCATCTTCATCGTAGCCAAGATACCTTTTGCAGGACCACAAATGTCCAGTAAGCCACGATTCCAAAACAGGACGGTAATCATTCCACCACCCCCACCACCAAGTGTGCAAAAAACACTGTACCTGGCAAGACGGTGGCTAAATCTGAAGTCATCATTTGGAATATCCCACTCCCAGACGCCTAGAGAGAGTCGCACATTAGTCTTGCAATGTGACTACCAAAAATGGCAGGAAAATGCACCATCTGTTGCAGCATCCATAATTGTCTCTAATCTCTTCTCGCTCTCTCGTAATGCTTCCATCGCCCTACGTTCTTCAGAGCAATCACGTAGCATCAACAAGTATGAGGAGCATCCATTCGTTGTTGAAGGACCCAAATAGACGGCGCGCACAACAAGTGTTGTGGTTCCTTCTGGCTTTCCATCTTGATTCCCCATATACAAATTCGGATACTCTTGTTCCCACTCCACCACCCTTCCTGTTCTCCGGGCTTCCTCGCAATGGCGCCCACAGTAATCTACGGCTTCGGTAGGACGACCCAAATCACTCCTAGCCCATTTTCCTAGAATGCGCGATGCCTCTACACCATAAATCTTCACCGCACCGCGATTAAGTTTCACGGCGCGATAATCATAATGCCAGGAACGAGTGCGGTCTTGAAATCCACTTGATTTACGTTCAGCATCTATCTCATCGTCGGACATTCGTCGCTTCATAACATCGATGATAGCCACTAATGCAACATGATGTTATTTTGATGAGATTCAGAGAAAAACACAGCCAAACCTTACTGTAGGAAGGATTATCCTCGAACGCTGTCCGATATGTCGAGAGCTCGGCTTCAATCTCACCCACGTGGCTTGTAAGAAGGGCAACCTTTCCTTCCTCAGTATACCGCCGCCCAGTTTCAAGTGCAATCGACAAAAGCAGAGTTGTAAATGCCAGGCCTAACGCATCTTCAGCAAGTAGGTTGAATTGATGGAACAGGACACCAACAGCAATGATAGGGACCAGCGACGGCAAACCAAGCAAAAACGCCGATAGGCGTGCAGACGAAGGGGATATGTATTCGAAGAGAAGGATGTGAAACATGCCTTTTTTCAAGGGCTGCTGATCAGAGGAGAAACGGCCGAATAAAATACAAAATAAGAAGGTAACACCCTAACGACAAAGTCACAAGCATCATGTCACTCAGCAGCGCAGGACTTACTTCAGTCGTTGAAAGAGAGGAGCGGGCGATATCGTCGTTGGAGTCCGCGGGACTTGGTAAATGGCTGCTTTCCCGAGGTACCTCCTCTACGTTCTCCCACATTCTGTGTACGACTCCCGTATACTTGCGTTAGTATGCCGACATGACTTGCTATGCCTTGCCGCATGGATTTTCCGACCCTTGGCCAGAACCTCCAAAACGTTCCTGTACCCTCGTCCACCCATCACTACGCAATGATTTCCACGCCTGAGTCACCCGTGTGTTTTTCATGGACCGATTCAAATCCGCCCATCGCGGCTGGTCGTCTCGAACTCTCGATCGCTCCTTCTTTGAGCTTTCTGGCTGGAGTTCCAAAGCAACTTGAATGGCAATGGGTCATTGGGAGGTTCTGCCTCTGCCTATTCATAACCTATTCACCAGGCACCAGCTGAGCATGTCCATAGGTTATCTTTGTGTCATTTGTGTCAAGTGCACGCACACGTTCAAACTAGTTATAGTACAAGGCGTTTGTAGAGCATGCAACTGTTGATTACCCGCTTCATGTCTTCCAAAACTCAATTAAACAATGTAGCAACGGATACCAAATGGTCAGATTCATAAAGTTTAGCTTAAAGGACCATCTTCGGTCGATGCCGATCATCGAGGATGATCGGTAAACCTGATCCGCACTCAAACACCGAAAGGGATCGACACCCGACAAACAAAGTCTACCAGTAGGGCCGCGATAGTTTTATGTGGGATTCACCATACTCCCAGCTCAATGCAATCGCGCGAAACTGGAACATGATGCCATTGTGTTTAGATCCTCTTTCAATATGGTGTTGCCCGGTCATACAAAAAGAAGTGGAATTGTCACTGTTGATACCCATGAGTTTCCTATCTTGCTACTATATGTGGTAGTCAGCGTTGGCTTTATGTGCTGGCAGCTAAAAGCGTTGCAGATCTACAGGTATCAGTTGCCACTAACCCCTCGTTTATTAATTGATATCCATGTCTTGCAAACGGTTAGGCATAAGGTGCGTGGACACTCGGTCTCGGGTACACTTGGCGAATGCATCTGGACCTTGTACGCTAGCCAAAGGAGTGAAGTCTGCTAGCTTGCCTTGCAGCATTAACTCTGACAATGGAAGTTGGGAGCCATTCTAAATGCCAGCAAGATAACTTCGTGCCTTCCAATTGAATCCAGAGTTGCCTTGCTCCTAGAAGCGTTCAGGTCACAACCTTTCATACGGACACATACTTTTAACCAGCCCGATGTAAAATACTAGAAGTTTTCGTTCTCAATCATCTCAGAGGAAGCCCCTCTTCAGACATTTGGGGACTAGCTCTTTCTCACAAATCTCAAATTATGCGCTCTACCTTTTGACACTTGTGGCCACAATGGCTTCAAGCATTGGAAAGGATTTCGAAAAGCACATGAAATGAGGTAAATATCCAGTCCTTTGCTGATCGATGACGCTGAGCATGAGGACTTTTCCAAAATGCCCATTCTGCGTGTTATAACAGCAGTTATTTTCAATATCCAATTTGAAATCTGAAAATGCGTTTGAGACGAATGCGATATCCATTATCTCCGTCCCTACAGGTCAGATGTCTTGATTTCGTGATGTGAAATTGTGCGATGGCGGGTCAAAGTGACACTGGAACCAGTCGGGTTGTAATTTGTCGAAATCGGCCTGCAAAAACACTTGGCATTTCGACAGCAATCATCAGTAGAAAACCTCATCGTCCCCCCCGCACCAACTGAGCCCCCTGTTATCGCACACTTCTTGTCGAGTCGTTACTTTTCTCATTTTAAAAAGCATCTCAAAATGGATCAAATCCAGCCGTACCTCCAGCAGTTTGATAACTACCTCGGAAAGTTCAGAACCTTGAACAGAATTGAAAAGGCTACAGGAGTGCCAAAGGTAGCGTTGGAGCACCGAAGCATCAGCACCTGGTCGTGAATATTAACCGCCATTTCTTGTGCAAACCCCGCTAGACCTACTTCACGTTGGCCGTTTACGCCCTTACTTCGATTTCCGTTTTCTTCAACATCTTTGCTGGTCTCACCACCAATCTTCTTGCTATCATCTACCCTACATACCGCGCATTTGAGGCATCCTACAAGGAGGATACGGCGGCATTGAAAGTCTGGGCGACCTACTTCTGGGCTATTGGCATCGTGAACATTGTGGAATTGGGCATTACTACCATCTTGGCGTGGTTCCCGTTCTACTACGTTGTCAAAGTTGTGTTTGTCTTTTGGCTCTTCCTGCCTCAGTACTTTGTAAGTTGCTGTAGAGGAATGTGACTTTTCTGCATTTCCTTAACTGACCATCTCTTTACCTGCGTTCTTATCGCATAGGGAGCAAAACTTATCCATGACGCGGTTTTGCCTCAGTTGACTCCTTTCTTCAAGCGTGCTGAGGCCGAGCAGGCTCAAACCAAACTCGAGTAACTAGTAGATAATTCATAGTATAGGGTAACTGGTACATAATGATACAAATAACGGGCCCACTTAAATGGTTCCATATACCTCCGATTTCATTCCCCCCCCCCCCCCCCCCCCAATATTTGATAGGTTATGACATGGTTGATATCGCGCCAACAACACAAGTATTTAAGAGGACGTGTTGGCATCTCGAGCTCTAGATAATAACTCCTCACCGATATCTCCTATGACACATGCCGCCAGTAATATATTATGCATGGTGAAATCTGCATCGTATAGAGACTGCGCACTTCGACTAGTAATAGGACGACCATCTTCGATGGTGGACTATGACGCTCCTGAAGCCGATATCATGCTGCCCCACCTGCAGTCAGGTCCGTACCAATTATCCTCTCTGCGCCATAGTCCAACGCATGTCTTCCTCGGTGGGTCTCAAACTCCCTTGTGACCAGTCACCACGGCGCCCCTGTTCCAAGTCATGCACCAAGATGTGACAATTGATAATTTCTCGGGGAGCGTGGGGTTCGATGCCCAAAACCCGTAGGCACATTATGGTCGTGCACGATGCGCGCAAGCGACATTTCAAGTCATTAAATACATAAGCGTCTGCGTACCCTCTGAACACCCCCCTTGCATTATGAATTCCGAGGAATCGTATTGCCAAACTTATCAAATTTCTCGTCGTCGTCCTCCTCCTCCTGCTCGTCCTCTTCTTCGCTCTCGCTTGGCGGCATATCCCTCGGTATTATATTTCCAAAACGATCCACTTCAATGTCGTCCTCGTCCTCCTCTAGTTCGTCTTCCTCGCTTTGGGGCAAATCCCGCCGTATTGTATTACCAAATTTATCAACTTCAGGTTGATCCTCCTCTTCTTCCTCCTCTTCTTCATCGCTCGGTGGCATGTCCAATGATATTGAATTTCCTGTCTCATTCCTTTTTTCACGATGATCTTTGTACTCTTGATTGATCTGTTGGAGATACTCGTTTTGGGTTTCTACTACCTCAGCAGAGGATCTGCAGGATTTGTACTTCTCAAAAAGGGCGCTGTATGGATGACAAGGGTATATGACCACCAGAGTCGCATTCTTCATTGACGGCGTGTTACATACCCGTTGATTTCCCAGAAAGCATGACCCCATTTGAATTTGGAAAGAAGTGTATGACCATGCTCATCTAGGCCTACGAAAAATGGAGGGTTAGACTTTTCTTTTTTCCAAAAATACACTGATTTGATCTTATTTTCAGAATCTACTGACCTGTGATAAAAAAGCAGGCGGCAAGCGCTTCAACGCAGTTCAATTTAAATGGTTTACCATAATTGACGGGATTAGCCGCTACCAAATAAGGCACTGTAATCAAAACTATCATGAGTAATGAGCGACCGACCCGGAAGTTCCAGTATCTTACTGACGCAGTCGCTCATGAGGTGATCTGATCTTTTCAAATGGAACTTCCTCTATTCTCGCCCATGAACAGTCGACCACACACAATCCAGCCCCTTCAATAATACTTCTATCAGCAGGAGATACACTCTGCGTTCCCTTTGGACTCAGAACAATCCCTTTGAATCGTTGACCGATTTTAAGGGTGCGAATGAGGTGCAAACGGGCGAGCTTTCGACCGCTGCAGCGCTTCGGGTCGCAGTGATCAAAGTCCCACATTGCAAGGGGCACGGGTATGCGGGTACTTGATTCAGATACTTCATCATCCTGTGGCCGTCCTCTGTTACGAGAGTGTTTGCCCATTCTGATTGCTGAGTGGAACAAATTCAGGTCAGGGACCGACTGACTTTTAGATTCATAGTCACGTGGTAGCTGTGATTATGGAGCTGACATGTAGGAGTCATATCCATACGCTGCATTCTACATGCAACTCCTATCAATGTGTTCAACAGCAGATAGAGTGGAAGTATACGTGCAGGTTACGGCAGACCTGAAAAATACACAAGATGCAGTCTATCATCCTATGAAAGTGTACTTGAAATAAACCAGTGGTGTCTGGTGAATAGGTCGACGAGTTGTATTCCCTTGAGATATCTCAGCAACAACTGTTTAAACAGCTCATCCAAACCAAGCGTCGGAGTGCACTCACATGACTATGAGCCGCCCCTGCCCTAAACCAAAATCAAGAAACAAACCCTTTATCAGTTAACTGCATGGCCCACATCAAAGACTTGAGGAACCAGGCGGATGCCTGAACCATAGAAAGATTCGTTCCGCCACCAAAAAAGAACGGAACCACAGGGACAATAGTTCTTCAAGTACAAGTATAAAAGAGAAGACAGCTTTTAGGATTCTCCAGCACTTTATTACGCACGGAACGCCTAAAACCTGCTAAATTCCACCCATAAATTCGTTACATATACACGATGAAGTTCTTCCTTGCCCTCCTCGCTCTCGTCTTCTTTGTTCTTACTCACTGTATGAAGTCTTTACTGTCGTTTACTTTCCGAGCAACTCTTCATACTAACTTTATCCTCATCCCATGCTGCAGTGACAACTGTTAATGCCAAATGCACCATCAGTGCTTGTGAACTTCAGCCCCGGTGCGACTTAGGCAACAATGAGAAAACATGCGTAGATCAAAACGGGAAATCAACATTTACATGCACTGGGGTTACGAAAAGAGTGATGTGCTGCACCAATGACGAGTGCAGTAAGATGGACATCATTCCGTAAAATGGAGGACCGCATCATGTTGATAGCTCGCAGAAACAAGAGCTATCGATTGTAAATTATATAGAAAATGGGGCCAGCGAGTGCAATGCTATCGCATAAAATAAAATGTACACATGTATCTAGAACTTTATACAGCCAAATACAAATAGAAAACTAATGAAGATAAACAAATGATGGAGAGCACGTGAGTTTGTCACATGCGATCTGATTGGTCAACTTGTCAGTGCGATGGATGACTCACAGCCGATCTTTGATATTTGGGGCAGTCCCTTCCGTCTCCGGCTTTACTTTCTTGTTTATCATCTACCTATTGAAGCACAGGGAACTTGCTTTCCTGTAAGTTCGCAACTTTACCTTCAAAGCTTACTTTGACACCCGCATCCCCAACCGTGGCGGCTTTTCGTCTCGGTTGGAGTTGCCCCGCCTTCGGGTCGGTGTCGCCTCGGTCGTTCCAGATGACCGTCGCCGACAACGACCTCGGTGTTGTAGCGTCCTCCGCCTTGGTAGGTGAACAATCTGTAGCATTGGAATTGATGAAGAGATGGATAAATTCTATCAGCATCAACGACCGTTGGGAACTGCCCCCTTAGCTGACAGTTTTCATCGTTTGTCTCTTACTAGAGTGTCGAGGACCTCCACTGCGACGGGAGCCACAAAAGACGACGAAACAGACTCGTACGTCACCGTGCCCAAAAGCGCTATCGTAAAGCAAGCACCACCATACCCAGATCTAGCCCTCCTGCTGCTGAGGACAGCATGGCCTCTCTGTTGGACTTCCCCTCACTGCCGTCACTCAAGGCCCTCGACTCTACCATACTCTCAAGCATGGTCACCTCCGAAGCGTACAAGCATGCGCTTGTGTCTGTTCCGTTGGCCTCATCTGTGCCTTACGTAACAATCTGCCGTTCCATGAACCGCACACATCATTATAAGCCTGCCTCGATCATTCGAAGACGGATAGTCGTTCAACCCCCAAAGTGCAAGAGCAACATGTCAACATTTGCCAAATTGCCTCTAACTTCTCTACGGTTGGCAAGACCAATTGTCGATTTATGCCGCGACAGACGTCGTCGGGTTACCAGCATTAAGCGAAGAACTCCTGTTGTCGCATCCAGGAAGGACATTGCAAAAGATCTCAGTGCTTTGAACAAAGGCGCTGCTAACGCAAATCTGCTCCATTTCGAACCCGTGTGGGCACGATTTTCTTTACCATGGAATCAACAGTGCATTGCACGCGATCGAACTGTTGCATGCGCCGTATCTATTGCTGCATAAGCTCCTTATACTGTCACATATCCCAAAATGACGGTAAGATGGCCTAGATAGTCTCTTCTCTTTCGCATTCGCATGTTCCACCACTCACATAGTCCTGATAGTCGAAACTGAAGCCCACGCTGGAGGAGATTAAGGGCCTTGTGGCTAGGAAAGCGGGAAACATTATTCCTGTCCATCAAGACATTTCCGCTGATTTAATTACACCTGTTTCCGCGTATCTGAGATTGTCGGAAAGCAGTGATTATTCTTTCTTGTTTGAGTCTGTTTCTGGTGGTGAAAAAATCGGTCGTTATTCGTTTTTGGGCGCAGGTATGAGCGAGATTGCGCCTCATGTTTTGGCTGCGAAGGATGCCAGTGATTCACTCCACTTCGTTTCTATCTAGCCCCTTATAAGGTAATTCGTACCGGCGATAACGAAGCGGTGCAAGGCGATCCACTTATTGTGGTTGAAAACGAACTGAAAAATATCAAGTATGTCCACGTACCTGGAATTCCCGAGTTCACTGGTAAGAGAATTATAGCAGGATGTATACCTAAGAACGACGTTAAGCATTATCTGGTTGCAATAGGTGGTGCCATTGGATACATCGCCTATGATTGCGTGCGATATTTTGAGCCCCGCACTGCAAAGAAACTTCGTGACCCCATTGGTATTCCCGATGCAATTTTGATGTTTTGCGACACGATTGTCGTGTTCGATCATCTCCACCACATAATGAAGGTCGTGAGCCATTTCCGAGTCGATAACACGGAAAGTGAAGCATATCAGATTGAGATGGAATACGCTCGGGTTACTGCCGAGATTCAAAAAGTGGTTCAGTTACTGAATAGCGAACACATACCCCTTCCCAAGCAACCTCCAATCGAACTGAATCAACCAAGCGAATCGAACGTCGGGAAAGAAGGATACGAAAATTTTGTGAAAAAGCTTAAGCACCATATCAACGAAGGTGACATCATTCAAGCAGTACCTTCGCAACGATTGAAGAAGCGGACGTCATTGCACCCTTTCAACGCATACCGGCAGTTGCGCAGTGTTAACCCCTCACCGTATATGTTCTACGTGGATGTAAAAGATTTCCAGATTGTCGGTGCCTCTCCGGAGATGTTGATTAAGGTTGAAAACAATATTGTCTACACGCATCCCATTGCCGGTACTCGTAAGCGCGGAAAAACTCCCGAGGAAGATGATGCTCTTGCCGCAGATCTCCTTGGTGATCTGAAAGAGAGATCGGAACATATTATGCTTGTGGATCTCGGCCGGAACGACGTAAACCGCATTTGCCAACCTAGCACGGTGAAAGTTGATTCGCTTATGCACATTGAACGTTACAGTCATGTTATGCACATTGTCAGCAATGTTTCTGGTAAACTACGACCGGACAAAACTGGTTTCGACGCTTTTCGATCGATTTTCCCAGCTGGTACTGTCAGCGGGGCCCCCAAAGTTAAGGCTATGGAGCTCATATATGAACTCGAGGGTGAAAAGCGTGGCATCTACGCTGGAGCTGTGGGTTACTTTGCCTACTCGGGAAGTATGGACACGGCAATCGCTATCCGGACTATGCTGTTCAAGGATGGTTATGTCTATTTGCAAGCTGGAGCAGGCATTGTATACGATTCGGTCCCTGTGAGCGAATGGGAGGAAACCGTCAACAAGCTGAAATCAAATGTCACGGCTATCGAGAATGCCGAAATGTACTATCACAGTCGTAAAATTCAACAGAAGGAAACCCCTCTTCTGGAGCAAATTCTTATCGAACAAGACAACTTCACTGTGTATCCACACTACCACTGAAAGCGTACATCACAATGACTACATTATTGATTGACAATTACGACAGTTTCACCTGGAACGTATACCAGTATCTCTCGGAGCTGGGTGCAGACGTACAGGTGTACCGTAACGATCAGATCACGTTGGAGCAATGTATTGCCATCAACCCCCGGAATGTGGTAATCTCACCCGGGCCAGGACGACCCGCTGATGCAGGGGTATCAAACGATGTCATTCGACACTTTGCAGGGAAGGTCCCAATACTTGGTGTATGTCTTGGTGAGCAATGTATGTACGAGACATACGGTGGAACGGTGACATATGCTGGTGAAATTGTGCACGGTAAAACTTCGCCTGTTCGACATGATGGTCGCGGTTTGTACGAAACGGTTCCGCAAGGTATCGAGGCCACTCGATATCATTCTCTGGCTGGCGATCCCAAGACGTTGCCGGAGTGTTTAGAAATTACGAGCTGGACGGATAGTGGAATCGTGATGGGCATACGGCACAAGACGTTTGTGATGGAAGGAGTACAATATCACCCTGAAAGTATTGCTAGCGAATGCGGCAAGGTGATGTTTGCGAATTTCCTAAAGTGGGAGGGCGGTACATGGGATCGATTGCGGTTGCGGGAAGATTTGGTGAAGAAGCCTGACGGACATGGAGGACCTGCGGTCAATGGTGCCAGCGATGGAAAGCGAGCGGGCACCGGTGACGGCATTCCACTGGCAAAGGTGTCCAAAATTAATTCGACGAGCACTGCAGGTGGAGGGGTGCATAGGGCAGGAGGCAGCTCTCCCGCGATAAGCGGGAAAGGGATGCAATCGACAACTGCTGCCTCCAAAAGCCCTAGCATCCTTCATACCATTTATGAGCAACGTCTCCGTGACGTGCGTGAAGCGCGATCTCGTCCCGGACAATCGGACTATTATTTGCAGCGGTCCATTGCACTTGGTCTTTCGCCATCGAAGATCGACTTCCCAGCTCGTGTGCTCGCTGCAGCAAACCCGGTGGCGGTGATGGCAGAGATCAAACGTGCATCTCCTTCAAAAGGCAACATTGATATCACAGCCCATGCACCTAGCCAAGCATTGGAATATGCTCGCGGTGGAGCGGCAGTCATTTCCGTGCTAACTGAACCTAAATGGTTCAAAGGTAGCTTGGAAGACATGCGCCTTGTCCGCGCCGCGTTAGAAGGAGTCCCTGACCGTCCTGCCGTACTTCGCAAGGATTTCATTGTGGAACGGTATCAAATTCTGGAAGCGCATTTGTACGGAGCGGACACTTTGCTACTTATTGTCGCGATCTTGGATGATGATAAACTGCGGGACCTGTTGGAGTATTCGCGGCAGTTGGGTATGGAGCCCATGGTTGAGGTTGCAAATTCTGCTGAAATGGAACGTGCGGTAGCCATTGGAGCCAAGGTCATTGGTGTCAACAACCGAGACCTGCATACTTTCAACGTGGACATGAACAGGACGAGCGACCTTGCCACGATGGTACCGCAAGGCACCATCTTAGTTGCATTGAGCGGGATCACGGGACGTGCGGATGTGGAAACATACATGAAAGGTGGTGCTAAGGCGGTTTTGGTAGGAGAAGCGTTGATGAGGGCACCCAGTAAGCGGGACTTTATCCAACAACTCTTGGGTAAGGACGTGGAAGAACAGCCAGCGGTCTCGAACCGAACGATGGTCAAGATCTGTGGGGTAACAAATGTAGAGGATGCGCTGGTGGCCGCCAAAGCAGGCGCCGATTTCATTGGCCTGATTTTTGCAGAGTCAGCACGAAAGGTGACCATTGACCGTGCCAAGGAGATTGTCCAAGCAGTGCGCAGAGAGCTAAAAATTTCCGACGAACCTGCGCCCGCTCTTCCCATCCCATCTCCCGACGCGAGTCCATCTACCTGGCTGAACTTGGCCCTCTCGACGATCCGAAGCCCACGCGCTGGCCCCCTCTTTGTAGGGGTGTTTGCAAATCATTCTGTGAGCTTTATCCAGCAGGCCGTTCGTGACACCAAGATCAACCTTGTACAGTTCCACGGGTCAGAACCCTGCCATTTGGCAGCCCTCCTCCCTACTCCCGTCATCAAAGCTTTCCATGTCCTTCCTAACGAGACGCCGTCGCAAGTGATTGATCGCATTGTGGCTCGTGAAACTGTGGGTACGATTTCGGGTGTTTTGCTGGATACCGGTGTGAAATCTGGCCAGCAGGGGGGAACGGGACAAGTTTTTGATTGGGATGTCGCGGTGCATGTGCAGCGTGAGGGGCGTGTGCCGGTTCTGTTAGCGGGTGGGCTAAAACCTGAAAACGTTGCGGAGGCTGTCAGGAAAGTTAGGCCCTGGTGCGTGGATGTGAGTAGCGGCGTGGAGTTGGATACGAAAAAGGGGTTCAAAGATCATGGAAAGGTTGTGGATTTTATCAAGGCAGTTAGGACGGTGGATACATGAATGAGAGGCGGTTTAACGTGGATTGAGTATCATAATCATTATTGCATTTCGTATCCTTAATTTTGCAGTGAGAGCAACATTCTTTTTGTTTTGCGACCAGATATGTTTTTGCCGAAATGAGTAACATTTGCTTTGGGATCCCCCAACCCTAATCAGCCATAAATAAAAAGAAACCCTTCCGAACACAGTACTATATACATCCCCAACAAACAGCTATTGCAAAAAATAAAACCCAAATTCCTTCCATAGGTTGACGCCAAAAACCCGCGAGTCTACTGAGCACCAGCCGCCGTCTCTTCTACAAACTTTAACGCATCATCCCTAGTAATGCTCTGAATCCTCGAGACCTTATTAACAAACGTTACTCCATAACACTTGTCTGCATAGGCCAAAAGTTCGGGTCGGAAGGTCGTGACAATGAATTGGGCTGATGAAGATAGCTCATTGATCATAGCTTTAAAATAAAAAGTCAGATATTTTCAAATAACAAATCAAAAAAAAGGACAATGTAAAGTCGGCTTTAAAGTCCTTACCGGCAACAGCAGTTCGATACTGCGCATCAAGCGCCGCATCAATCTCATCAAACAAATAAAAGGGTGCCGGATCACATCGCTGAATGGCAAAAATAAGGGCAAGAGCCACCAGAGACTTTTGTCCCCCAGAGAGCTGAGGCATACGAAGTCCTTCGTCGGTGGGCGAATTGAATGAGACAGAGATGGAAATGCCAGTGTATTGGTCAATGATGCTATGGGCACGTCCTGCCTTTGAGGTCGTGGAACTACTGGATTCCTCCTGATCTGAGCCGTTTTCGTCATTATCGTCTTGGGTTTGAGAGCTCTATGTTTAAAAAAGAGGTGAGTCATTGGATGTGATGTTTTGGCTTGTTGCAACCTTTCCAGAGCTTACCCCATCTGCTCTTCTCAACATGATCAATTCCCCCCGTCCGGATGGAACAAGTTTGCTCCACACTTCTTGAAAGTACTTGGCCACTTGCCGGAAGGTCCGCTCGATCGCTTCATCTTTCCGCTGATCCAGATTTTTGATCAAGTCCTCTATAGCCTATTACCCATTCTGGATAAGTAGCACATTCAAATCATGCAAAATACATTGCAAAATACAAACCCCGGCAGATTTGTCTAGCTCTTCCTTTCTGACTTCCAACTGGTCGCGTTGTTTTGCAAAATTTCCGTATTGCTCAAAAGCCTTCTTATTCACGTGAGAGTACTTTTTCAGTGCTTCATTGACTTGATGAAGTTTTTTCAGCAGCTGACATCAGAAAAGAAAATGTGTGAGACAACGTCTTGCCTATTAGCGATCAAGGCTTCGGCACTCACCGTCTTCGTAGGGGCGTTTTGATACTTTTCAAATGCTTCCTCAGGAAGAACGCCAAGATCACGAATATTTTTGATGCATTCTTCCTTGCGTTTCAACAAACTGGCCTTTTTCGAAATATACTTCTCAACCACTATTCTTTGGCGCTCCAACACTCTGCGTTCTTGTTGTTGTTCTGTCTAAGTTGGCCATTGGCTTTTCAGCTCGTTTTTGTCAGTCAAGGTTCTGCATTCGGCCACTATACCTACCCTCGCTGTTTCCAGCGCTTGTGTCTGCTCTTGAAGAGTAACAGTTTGCTCTTCCATCTCGGCTTCGATTTCTGTAACATTGGCGAGCGATTAGGATGCTCCGCGGCCGAAACCAAATCACCGATCGGGCACATGTACAAACCTTCAAGTCGTCGTGCCGCTCGCTCAATAGCCTTTTCAACAGTTGCCAACTCTTGCTGTCGGCTGCGAAGCTGCACTCCGACTTCGCCTTCAAAGCTGGCATTTTCAAGCTGCGCAACTGCATCGTCCCGCTTTCGTCGCAGGTTCGTGTTGAGTTCAATTTCGAGAATGGTTTTCCGTGACTCCAACTGTGAAAGACCAAAACGGTTACCCCGACCTGCAATGTTGCGTCACGCACAGCAAAGTCGACTTACACTGGCCCTCCTTTTCGAAGCTTCCCTTAGTTGCTGCTGAAGCTCCTCCACCGCCGCATTAACCTCATCCAATCGAGCTTGCTCTTGATTTGTCAAGGTCTTTGTGAATGGAGTTTTGAGTTCTGCTTCATACGTTTGTAGTTGAGTTGTGAGGTTTCTGACGCTGCCTTGAAGACTTTGCAAAGAGCTCTCCTGATCGAGGCGTAAACAGATCAGATTACATTCTCTGGACCGTGCCATGGGGAACGCCAAACCTTGCGTGCAATCAGCTCCTCCAAAGTGGACTTTTCCCTCAACTTTGCATTGATCTCATTCATTAGAGGCTCTCGAGAATCCATAGTCTGTTTTCGACGCGCATCCAGCTGGGCAAGCTGATCTCGCGTTCGTGTGATTTCTTGTTCAATTTTTGTTATCTCGTCCCGCAGCCTTGAAGCCGCACGTTCATCTTCAGCATATGTTTCTCGGAATTTTTTAAGCTTCTTGATGTTCTCCAAACGGGCACGACGATGATCCATATAACCCCCAGTGAGCGCACCCTTTCGGTCTGCGCGATCCCCTAAAAAGACACAAGGATTTGGAATGTTAGTACAGGTTGTAATGCTTTTCAAGCGGGTGAGGCTTACCATCCAACGTGACAGAATTCAATCCATGCGACCGTGCATATGCAGATGCAATCTCCAATGATGGGCAAATGATTGCCTTGCCGAAAACCTACAAGCACCATTACACAACTTAAGTGCCACACGAGGACGGGGGGAACAGTTGACGCCATGTCTCACTTGGTCAAAGGCTGGTTTAAATGTCCGATCAAACTGCAATTTTTGCACCATGATAACAGCATCCCTCGCATCTGGATACTGAGGGATCCGAGGCTTCAAACGATTCAACGGCATCAAGGTCAGTCGCCCGCATTTCTCACGATTCAACTGTTCTACGATGCGGCTGGCAGTGTCATCGTTATCGACTACTACGTGGAATAGACTTGGGGTAGAGAAACGTTGCGTCAAACGGAATGTGGCATGAATGCAGTGTACTAACAATACCAACCTTCCTCCCGCGATGACTTCAACAGCGGTCTTGTAACGATCATCGATTTCAAAGAGCTCATACAGAGGGCCATATACTCCTTGCAGATTCAGACGCTCGGTTATTCGTTTCAGCGCTCTAAGCGCTTCTCCGGTGACCTGATAATCGATTAGCCAACAACGGAAGTGAGCGCTGCACATCATTGTGCTGGAGAACATCTGGCAATTACCCTATCCATGCTAGAGTAGAGGATTCTTTCACATCGATCCAGTTCCTCTTTGGCGGTCTGAGCGGAGGCACTGTGCTTGCTCTCATCTCGCCAGAGCTCTCTGTTTGTTATGAAGGATGTCAGCATCCCACCAAAATTTAGGCAAAGTGTAACGCTTCGCCTTACCTTCGTCGTTCATCCAACTGATTGCGTTGTCTGCGAAGCTCTAGAATTTGCTGATCTATGTCAGTTAGCTTCTGCTTACGATCCTCCAAATGTTGTCGTGTTTCCTCAATTCCAGTGTCAATCTCCGCTAAGCGACGTCGTGAAACAACCACTTCCTGCTCAAGCTGCGTCACTTGCTGGCTTTGGCTAGTGATAGTGTCTTGCACATTCTTGATTTCTTTTCGGAGGTAGGCATCCCGTTCCGCTTTCGTGCGAAATTGGGCGTTGCGGCCTTGTTTCGAGTACAATGTGTCTCGTTCAAGTTCCGCCGCTTCATATCTAAAAATCCACGAATTGTTGAGGCCATCGGAGGCTATCATTTCTGGCGTCAAAAATACCGATATACCTTTCCTTCAAAGTGGTTTCAAGTGTTAAAGCTTCATTGAACGACGGGCTGACTTCATCTAACTCTCTTTCCTTCTCAGCAATTTTTTCTCGCAAGGTATGAAGGTCTTGGGTTAACCGTTCCTGCAAGGTCCATAAAGATTAGGATATCGAAAGTAACCTTGCTGTACTAGTTGTCTGTGTCTTACTTTGGCTTGAAGGTTTGTCGATACGTTTTCTTCGCTGTCTTTGATGATCAATTCCAAGTGAGCCTTGGCTTTGATTTGCTCATTCCGATCATCGTCAATTTGCTCTCGCTCAACACTCAGCATATCCACCTTCTTCTTAACGTCGCGTATGGTGCGCTCCATATTCTGTTCCAAACTTTAGACTCGTGATGACTGACCATGACTTGACGCCGACCCGCTTACCGTGACGATCCCTTCCCGGTCATTCGACTGACTTTGCCGTTGATTTAACTCGTCAACCTCATTGCGTCTCGCTTCTTCAAGCTCTTCGAGGTTCTCGTTGACTTCTGATTGCTCACGGCTATAAATGGTATACTCAAGACATCGTCGTTCTCTGTCCTGCTCTTGATATTGTTTGAGTTCTTCCTTTTCCTCCTCCAGTTCGGCCAGCCGTTCTTCAATATAATTAAGGAGCTGATCAATCTTGGAACGCTTCGAGTCTGGCATATGGAAGATCAGCATAAGCCGTTGGTGATCACAGCATACACGTGTCTCACCTGTTTCCTCCATAATTTTCAAACTCTCCACGCGACGTTGTTCATATACCCGCGTTCCCGCAACTTCTTTCAGAAGCTGAAGGCGTTCTGCGTCTTTTGCATTTGTGAGCGCTGTGATCTGTCAAAAGCGAGGTCAAGCTTGGCTTCAGGAGTTATGGTCCGGATTCCCCTTACCCTTCCTTGAGGTACAATGTAATACGGATTGGATCGCGAGAATCCCGCGGTTTCAAACAAACTCATGACTTCTGTTTTCCTGTGAGTGTTCCAGAAGACTTGAGCACACCTGTAAGAAATTATTCTTGGTAGACGCTACTTACGTAACGCTCTTCTTGTCCAGTGCATATTCATCTTTCTTTAAGCCGATTGTACGACGCAAGACTACCTCGTCCTTTCCAGTCTGCGGTAGTGCTCAACTTTAGCAACCATGATGAGCTCCTCAGAAGTACAAATAGCCTATACCGGAAATCGCTGGTCTGTGTTGTCAAAAACGACTTCCACAAACGCAGAGAGTGTAGCAGGCCCAGTTCCTTCCTATGCCGGTAATCAGAGACTGTCCAGAAACCTTTAATAGATTGGGGACTTACATGTAGCAAGGACTGGCGCTCCTCGCGGGTCATGTGGCTATATGCATCGTTCAAAGCAAACCGAATAGCTGCAGTAGCAATGAGTGACAATCAAGAGACTGGACGGCACAATTAAATGAGTCGAGTTTGCCGTACCCCAAAAAAAGTTGCTCTTGCCAGAACCATTGCGTCCGACTATCCAATTTTGCAAAAGGTAAGTGCCCGACCAGTCAATACTTGTCCAGCAGTATACGCACCGACGACATTGAGTTTTGGACTAAAGGGTTCCAGTGCCGTCTGATCCTTGTAGGACTTGAACCCTTGAATTATAATCTGCAAACGAACAAGTTAGAACCGGTTGGACAAATTCTGTAAGTCGGTGGGCTCGCACCTGTTTGATGTGCATGATTGGGCAAACCCAAAAAAGCGCCGCGCTTATGAACACCACCCCCCAAAACAGAGAGCCGACGCTGATCAACAAAAGATTCAAATGGGTCGTTGGTGGGTACGGACAATGAGACTTCCGTCCGACAGAGTTATTGTCCATTAGTCCAAATGCAGTCTAATGGACATTTGCCAAATAAGGCTATATTTGCAAGTCATCCAATGAAACTATATATGGATATATAGTATTATGCCAATAAAGGTGAAATGACAAGGGAGGGAAATGATGCCCCTTTTACGTAGCCCCGCGCGCGTATGTTTGTATCCGCAGCAACACGCTTGCAAGCAGCAGCTACAGATGGACGACTTCTTGAAACTCGTAGGAATAAACAAGTCAAAGGGACTTGAGGGTGTGGCAAAAGATGGCCGCTGGACCGCATCCTTTTGAAAGGCTATATATATTGCTAATAAAAAGATGAAATCTCATTTCAACGACTGTATCTGGCATTCAAAGCAACTGAAGACCAGGAGGAGGACGCCAGGGGGGAAAAACGAATCCTGATGGTTTTGCGCAGTGCGTAAAATGACGGCGAGTTGCACAAAACGAAGAGCAAGACAAAGCTCTTTGTTAAAACGTGGGGGCAGAGCAAAAAACTCAAAAAACGTAACATGCATGTGGCATTTCATCACTTCTACAGTCTTTTTGCTAGAAATGACTCTACCGTTGTTCTTGCTCGTTTGCTGTGCTTGTGTTTTTTCTTTTCCTGCGCTGTAGGTTCGTACAAGTGAAAGTCTTTTGCTCGAAGCATAAGCTCCCCCCCTTCCCCCCTCCTCCCCGCGGGAGAGCTTTTGCCAGAGAGTTTATTTAAAGCGAGGCTCTTTCCTCCCTTCCCCCCCTTATTCAACACATCCCCATCCCATCGCTTCCCCTCCCAGCAACACACACACGTTTCCCTCTGCGCATCGCCCTATTCCCGCCATTTTATAAATCTTTGAATCATGCGATACACCTTTATCTACGCTCTTCTTTTGCTTTGCCTCGTTTTCTCTGTCACTGCGCAGAGGCAGCAGGCCGGAAAGCGATCCAATAATGGAAACAAGCAAAACAATGGCAACAATGGTAATAACGGCAACAACGGCAATACCGGCAGCAACGGTAACAACGGCACCACTGCCAACACTGGCAACCAGGCGGGCGTCGGCGGGGCCACTAGTGGTGGTGACATCAACCGCAATGTGGGGCCTTTCCCGGAAACCCAATTTTGCAAGGACACTGGCCTGACGCCCTCGGATGGTACTCAGATCAGGACAGGCGCCTGTTCGTCGACTCCAATGGGTGCCATCCCCGCCGTCGAAAAGATGGTGCGTTTGCAATGTCGCCAATTTCCATTAGTTTTTTGTAGTCTCACAGAGTGTCTTTAAAGGTGTCGAGCATCATCATTGAGCCCGAGAACGGTGCAAGGATCGACGCCAGCAAGGATTTGACCATTACCACCGACTACCGAAACTTGGACACCGGTTTTTTCTCTGGTAGGCTGCGCAACCAGAAGATTTTAAAAATTCGTGCCATGTATACTTATAACATTTTCACAGACCCGCAAACTCAATACTACATTGTCCCCCAGACTCTGAGCGCCCAAGGCATCATTCAGGGCCACTCCCACATTACAATTCAAGAACTCAAGTCAACGCGATCTGCTCCAGACCCACAAGCTTTTGCCTTTTTCAAAGGTCTCAATGACCGTGCCGCTGATGGTCGCACTCTCTCTGTCACCGTTCCCGGAGGAACATTCAAGACCAATGGCCTCTACCGTATCTGCTCCCTTAGCAGCTCGGATGCCCACCAGCCGGTTATCATGCCTGTGGCGCAGCGTGGCGCCCAGGACGATTGCATTCGTATCAACGTGGAAAACGCTGGTACTGGGAAGCAACAAGGAAACAACCGTGACAACAGAAACCAAGGTGGCAACAATGGGCAAGGAAACAACAATGGCGGAAACAAGAGGCAGGCCAGATCAAACATCTTTGGTCGTCACGCGTTAACCGCGGAGCGTCGCATGGCAAGATTGCACGTCTAGATACGTTCCGTCAACCCAAACGCACTCGCGATTCAGATGTTGACATCAAACGCATGCACCGAACACATTTCATAATCCACTTTGTTGTTCTCTGCTTCGGACCACACATACTATCATCAGATAGAGCTTTTAGTGTCCATCCTCCTTGCTTGTACTTTTTACTTTTGTAGTGGAATTTAGCTTAGTTTGGTTGTTGGTTGGTTTTATTACTTCTTGTTCTTGCTTTATGCTTTAGTCTCCCAAAATGTGCATAGTGTGAATATGTTGCCAAGATCTGTCTCGTAAAAGTTTGTATGCTCAGCAATAATCTGAGCTTTTGATTTAGTTTGCACGGCAGCTATGTCCTGTGTTAATCCTCCCATCCTTTCTGGACCACAACCGAATTATGCTCTGCCAATTGGTCACACTGGGATTTTGCGGCTTGCACAAGAGTTTAAAATAGTAACTACCTTCTTACCACCACTTTTGTTAAAATCTTGAGTTTGTTTGGGTGACATGGGACGCAAATGCAAACACTAGAAAAGAATTTGGAAATCTTGTATTTGTATTTAACTATTATTGTGTGCTTTGTCAAAGACTCTTTGCATGTGAACGTCGTTCCGCTTTGTAGAACAAGCTTAATATAGTGCGGAGCCGATGGGTATTGGCACTAGCACCCGCACCAGGGATTGAACCGGCGACAACCAGTTCGGAAAAGGTAATCTAACTAATCTACGCTACGGCTGGAACACCCCTGCTGAACACTTTTGGTCTACCGTGTCCATCTAACATTGATTGCACGATCATCAGCATGTTGCAGGTGCTCAGCGTGTCCCTGTTCCAGTAGCGCATCGTCCAGGCTTGCTGACAGTTAGGGTTGGTACAACCCAGCAATCCATGGACTTTTTCAATCTTGCCTTCGCGACGGCGCCAAGGTCTTGAATGAGGTCGTGTTTTGAAGCCTTTTTCAAGGAAGTCAGCGGATGAGGCCAAACAGTGAGGGCAGACAGATGAGGTCTTGTACTCGTCGAGAAGGAAGCAGTTGATCCTGTTGCGCTTAAAGAGGGTGCGCCAGCCTTTCGTCTTTGATGAGGTCTGAAATCTCGCAGTTCGACCGGCATCGCTCCAATCTCCCATCACAATGGTAAAGTTCCCAAACTTGTTGTGCATGTTGGATATGAGGTCTGATTCGCTCTTCTGACGGTTTATGAATGCGTGCCATTTCCATCGCGTGTGGGCAGGGTGGGAGTAGAATTCCTTGCGACGATCCGAATCTGCGCGGCGAACAAGAAGGTAGCGAGTAAAGTCCATGAGGTTCATCGTCTTGTGGCTTGGGATACGTGATTCTATGAGGTCAATTCCCGCTTCCTTCTTCATCTGCTGTCGTTCCTTTCGCTGCCGACGGCTGCCTGTCTCCATGGCTCGCTGGTTTGCGGTGTAACGGAACGTTGTACCATTGCTGTCTTGGCAGTAGAGAATATCGCGCTTGTTTGGGTCAATGACGACAATGTTTTCTGCTGCCCGACAAGCAGGTAAGTTTTTCTCCATGTATTGCACTTTAACTTCGTCCTCTAAACTCTTTGCTGACTTTCTCGCTCCCTTTCCATACTTGTCTGCTTCTGGGTGCTTTAGGTATACAGACACCGAGGTTCCATCTGTACTGATCGAGCCTTCAAACTGCATACCGCGGCGAGACCGAAAAGCCTTGTTCCGCAGGTTGCACACGCGCAACCATAAATCGACCTTTTCGACAGTTTCCGCTTCTCGTCGTGTGATGCAAAGGATATGCTGGTACAGGATGACGGTGTCGATGCGAATATGGGACTGCATCAGAGACCGACGAAGAGGTATTGCGCTGAACCGACGGAAGCCATGTCGTTCATACAGCACAGAGAGTTTGCAGTAAGCAGGAAAGAAAGCGAGAGGGTCAACAGCAACCGAATATGCGAGCGGCTGGTCAGAAAGGGGAATGAAGGACCACATCTCTTCTAGAAGCTCACTCTCCTCAGCAGTCAAGTCATCCAGTGACTCGGGCATGACATCAAAAAGAAAAATTGACTTCAAGTAGCGAAGACGAGCAAAGAAAGCTTTCCGCGCATCGCTTTTCAGTGGCAGTCGCCCCCGTCCCTTCACGTTGAGCCGCAGATTGATATACCGGAGCAGCATCTGCATGAAATGCTCTTGAATGTTGACTTTCAGGTTTGTCATCATACTCGCTGTCAGGTAATTGATTGACTGCTGCTCGCCTCGTAGATTTGGGTGAATGAAGCCGACGATTTGGCAGTACCGACGAATGTATGGCAACAAGCATCCGCGTAGTGCCTTCTTTGCTTCCTTTCTTGGATGCCAAGCCTCCCCCTTGTTGAGAAGATAGAGAATCGCTTCGATTGTATCTTCATTTACCGTGGGAAAGGTTGGTGCATATAGGATGTAGAATTTGAGAGCGTGGGAAGCATGGTCAGCGAGTTGATGGATGATGGCGATGTAATCTAGAAGACGCTGCCGGTAGGTCTCATTAGGCAAGAAAGCTTTTGCAAAGGAAGTCTTGTTGCAGGTATGTAAGGTGGGTTTGTCGAGTTTTTCAAGCTTTTGCTTCTTTTTTGGTGGCATTGATGATATCTGTGGGAAAAGATGAAAGCCTGGGAAAATGGGCGACGACAACTTATATAGGATTTTTTGGATCAAACCATAGTTCATGAGTCTAAATCGAGTAAAATTATGATTAAATTGGTTGGAATCTATGTACTAGTGCCAATACCAATCGGCTCCGCACTATGGAAGCTGTCACAAGATTACGTCAGCTTCAATCTCCGCTGTTCGCCACGGTTCATGCTCCGCGTACTAAAAATAACAACAATATTATGACTATCTTTCGCAGAGCCCCACGGCTCTGTCAAACGACTAATAGTTTGGCATACTTATGTGGCTTCAAATTACCGGAAGAACTTCGAAACTTCTGTCCGCAAGAGCCTTCCGAGCTTATTCATTCTAACAGTGGCTGGTCTCTGCTCCATGAGCAACTTTTGATTCTTGTTCTGAGCCCAGCAATATTTAGGGCGAACGTCTGAGTCTGTCTGTCGTTAGTGATCCAAAGAGTCTGCATGATCATGTTCAAGTCATCACCGGAAGAACCCCCCGTAACGCTGAAAGCCGTCCTAAGCGGGCAAACCTGCCCGCCTATTAGTTATACTGACTTTGCGCAGTATATGAATCGAGAGGGGCAGGGACAATACATCGAATTTTATGAGGCTGTTCTTGGGTATGTTCTGCTGTACCGACAGTGGTCGGCCGGACAGATTGAGCGGGAACACCAGGCTCGAGTGGCGGAGAGAGCAAGGAAGGAAAAGGAGAACAGAGAGGCTAGAGAACGGGAACGGGAGAAGGAGAAAGGGAAGGACACGGAGTGTCTCAGCGAAGAAGGCAGATTGTGTGCTTTGACGGAAAGTGACGTGGAGAACGCAAGCGGTGAAAAGCCCAGCTCGTCAAATACGTTGCCAGCGGCTCAAAGTAATATCGCTTTGGAGCAATCAGATTGGGGTACCTATATGAATGTTATTCAAGGTCGACGCTCAACTTCAGCTGGAACCGACCAAACCGCCGTCCGTGGTCCGTTCCCTTCAAAGACCGAGAAGAAAGAGAGCATCAAGCTAGAGAACATGCCGATCGACTCCTTACACGAAGCTCTCGACACAAAAGCTCGACTAATCTTTGACACCTTTTTACGACAAGATAGCCCCAGTGTTGTTCCTATCCCAGAGGAACTCCGGACGTTCCTTCAATCCCACATTTGCGTACCGCCTCCCACGTACCAGCCCCACTCGCCCTCTCTTCTTCACCCAACCTTCAACCACGTTATAACGCAACTATCCCAAACGCACTTTCCAAAATTCCTTCACCAGGCAACACGTTACAATCTCTCATCTGGCGGCATCGCCCGTCGCATCCTCCTCTTTTGTACCTCCGCATTTATCACTGTCGCATCCCTGCTCATTAACATCTATTTGAAGCATTCACCGTATCTGCGGCTGCTCATGGCTATACCGATCTATTTTATGATTATTGGCGTCTGGCAGGCAAAAGCTAAATTTTGTGTCTTGTTTGCAAGACTCGGAAGGAGGGAAGATGCTGGCGGAGACATGTTTAGCTGGATGGCTGATAATTGTGAGTACAGTTTGTCGCTTGGCTTGGTTTGCTGATGAAAAGGCTTTTGACGATGTTTATTTCCCAGTACCCGTCGTCGACCCGGTAGTTCTTCGTATGCAACGGCGAAGAGCTCGCAAGGTGTCCACACTTACACAATTGGCAGCCATTTTATGCTCGGTAATCTTGTTGGTGGCTGTACCATCTCAGATTCATCCAGAGTATCGCTGGGTGTGGAGTCGATGATATGATACCTATCCTCATCCATGTACATAGTTCATGTATTAAGGACAATTGATTTTATAGATGGTTTCCTTTTTAATAGAAGCGTATTATAGGTAAGATGTGAGTAGTAAAAAGGCAAACATGAACCAAATCACATGAGAGCCAAAGTTGAAGATTTAAATGATTGGTTACTGGTTGGAGAAATTCAGACGGTTTATCATCATTGGCATTCCTTTCGCGATATTATGCATGCTCTTGACGTTGAACACAAGCAAGAGGCGATCGTAGAGGGCCTCGAGTATGCTCATCTATTGTGATGTTCAGTTGTTACTCTAATCTCTTCGCAATTAAATGGGTAGGCAGCAAGTATAGGGACCCATAGCTTTGACAGATCCTTGGCCATTTCCAATTCCGAGATACACCCAAACTCCCTAGCACATTTTTGCGTGCTCTCATTATCCGTCATATGCTGACACCCCAAAGTGCCGTGACCTCTGCATAAGACTTTGTTCGAGTGACTGCTCAAATGACAGGTCAAGACTAGGACCAGACCTAAAATTGCATGTTGACATCTGCCCGCTAGCCACAGCTTGGAGACTGGGGACTCTCAGATATTTACATCGTAAATCATGCTAATGCTATGATTTTGACCCATTCCACATTTTCTTTCGATCTGGCTGCAATAACCAGATCATCGACATAGAGCACAAAGGGCCATATGCATTTTGAATTATGATGCGCAACGTGGCAAGAATGGATCGATTCCCTTGAAATCTCACTATCTACTGGTAGGATGACACCGGCCATTGGATACCTTGCATGGTGAAGCGGGCGATTGTTGCGCATGCTGCACAGCCATGGCATGGGCGCTAGAATGAATTTGTCGCTTTGATTGCGCGCAAGTCCCGGCGCAAGAATCGGCCGCCCTTCGCCCATATGGGCGCCGCAAGTCATTCCACACAAGGCTTTCGCGTCGGGCACTGGCCACACACCAGCCACTGCCTATCGTAATTCGGCTCAACTCTTGCTTTGCGAGAGTGTAGATCGTTCATTACGAATTGTATGTCTTTTGTTATTGACTATGCCTGCAAACTTCATACCTGAGGTCAGCACTCCATAGCAAGAATCCTGCGAGCTCCTCGCGACATCACCGCTCAACGTCCAGCATGGGACGTACAAACCCTTTGACCGGGCGACGGTTCATGATTCCTCCAACGAGCCACTTGAGCCCCACAGAAGCTTCTGTATTGAAGAGATGTTTCCCGGTGGAGGACATTGAGATATTTGACGCTGGGTATCGACATAGTTTGAACCAGTATGGTGACAATCATGAGTATGAGGAGTTTGACGGCAGCTTTCTTGGGTTTGGTAAGCGTTTTGCACTGTCTAGGCACGCTGTATTTGATGTTCATGATATCGGTTGGTCTTTTCAGGCCCTCCTATGAGGAAAAAAAGGAAGAGCTCAGACGCAGCAACCGCAGATACCGATGCCTCCCCTGAATTCGTTCCGAAGATAGCAAGGGCTGTGAGCCGGTCTTCTTCTGACTCTATAACCTCAGCCCGTGGTATGGATGGAACATGTTTGAACGTTCATTTTAAAGGCCTGTATTAAATCCTATCGTTAAAGTATCACCACCAAAGTCGTCGAATGAGACGAGCACGCAACCAAACCATCCATCAACAACCCAACTTCCAACGGCGTCAAAATCACACGAGAAAGGTGAACGGCACGGCATTTCGTCATCATCGAGAATATCACCAAAACGCCCATCTGGCAACAAGAGCCAGAGTCCATCTATTTCATTCATCGCATCGCAACATTCGTCGAAAGGACAGACTACCATTGGCTCAAGCACTCCATCCGGTTCCTCCTTATACCCTCAGTCCTCTCGTCATCGTGTACAAGATATCAAGCATTCTTCACCCATTTCACCTAGTCTTCATACAAGCAATGTGGCAAGTCCACCGACCAAGCGGTCATCCAATAACAAAAGCCCTGCAACCTATACATTGCCCGATACTCCACAGTCCAAAGTAACTGATGCCAGCCGATCATCACCTACTCGACTCGGATCTCCCAGCAATAAAAGCCGACTTGCCAAGCAAGCAGAAACGGCTGGAAACCTCCCTGCTAAAGATAAGGGTGATATACCAGAGTTTCTTCGAAAAATGATGCAGCGAACATCGCGACCTACCCTCTCTGCATTTGCGGGTGCAACCCGATATCATGGTAAACCCCGGCTGGCGCACGGAGGCAATCGTATTTCGAAATCGACAACGATCCAGCCGCCAGATTGGTTGACCAAATACAAGGATGGAAAGGTTTCGAGGGTTAGCATTGAATCTACCTTTTGCATGCGACAAGTGGAGCTTCCTGATATTCTCTTTCATATTTAGATTGAGAGATATCGTCAAACTCATGGATTTCCAGATTTACTGCAGATCTGGAAAGAAGCAGGCCAGCTGACAGCAAGGTATGCGTCAGTCAGTGAGCCAAGAGAGCAGTATGGTCCGTTTACGTGTACCTCTATGTCAGGATGGCATCTGTAAATATTAAAAACAACAAACGGCACGCAAAACTCGAGGACGAGCAGCGAAGGAAGTCTTCACCTTTCAGAAAAGCTGGATTCGGGAGTTCAAAGTAAAAACCAACCCTGTAAATAAACAAAGCATGACGCGGACGCGTCCTTTATGAATGGAACCACATCTGATCGAGTCGAACCGAATCCCGGATATTTTCAAAACGAAAGACGCAACAAACCCGACTGACTTTTCCATTTTGTCCTTTTGCCGGCCCATTAGTGGTCTTTTTTGTACAGGCGTCCGCCCATCTTTACTCCCATTCACGCCTCCTTTTTGCAGGGAGGATTAATAGGAGTTTGGTCGTTCACCAAGAATACAAAGGCATTCGCACGCAATTTGATTCGTGCTCCGTCCTCAAGAATCCAACCGTTAGTAACAAGGGACCACTGTTCTCGAACACTACCGTCACTTGCCCACCAACACCATTATCTTTTCCCTTGCAGTGCATCGTTGGACTTTAGGCAGAGATTGAAAGTATACAGACGCTCTGCTCTGGCACTTTGGTAGGTTCATATTCCTGGTGCATTGCGCCCTCTGATTTGAAACGAAAGCTATCCTGGCTGACTGCGGAGTATTTGGCTGCTTTGCAGAATCGAGTTATCGGTGTACAGTTATTTGGAAGTTGCATCTTAGATTAACACGAGGTGGGTGTCGTGGGCGGCTTCTATTCGGTTTTTCCAGCCTGCGTTTTCCAAAAGCTGACAAACCCGACTGCGGTCCTAATAAAGCAGCATCCCTTTAAAGTTTTGCATCGTTGATATTAAGACGTTAAGTCTGCGCGGTAGGTATTTTCGTTCTTTGTAGACGGTGTAGTGCGTAATCCTGCCATTTACTGATCATTTTGGGCCTCTCTTCACCCTGTTATTTTTTCCGCATCACCTTTCCTTGCGCCTTCCGCCTCGCCCAACCCTTTTCCGGACTGTATCCTTTGGACGCATAGCCAGATCACGAGATGACTACGTGGGCGCAAAGAGCATCTGCTCCAAAAAAGCCAGCGCAAGCGGCTCCGACTGTGAATGTAGGGAAGGGTAAAACTGGCGGCGGTGGGAATGTGAAAGCAGGATCTCCCACAACTACAGAAAAGTCTCCTATTGCACCAAGCCCTACCAACACGACACCTACTTCATCCGCCCAGCCTCCACAACCGGCACCTAGCCCGGTTGCTAACGGACCTGCTAATCCCAACACAACATCCGCTCGTCCAAAATCACCCCAAGGCGCCGTCAAAACACCAATGAGCTTTGCAGCTATTTTGGCGAAAGGGAATCTTCCTACACAGAATGCGGCTAGTGCTGGAGGAAATGCCCCACAACAGGCAGCAGCTGAGGGTCAGGTGAACGGTAAGGCCTCCGTCTCAAAAGGTACATCTCACGTCAATGGCAAGCACACTGGGAAAGAAGCGCGACACAAAGACACTCAATCGAGGTTAGTATAAGTTGATTGCCATGATCTACCTTTTTCATATTGACCGATTTCGTACGTTTCCTGCTGCTGCAGACAAAGTGCGAGTGGAAACGGAGAGGCTGTACAATTTAAGGGAGCACTGAAGAATAAGTTGCATAGTGTTAATGCGCCAACGAAGCGGATGTCTTTTGGCTCTTTTGACTCGGAAGAGGCGCCAAATGGTGCACCTGCAACCGCAAATGCCCCTAGGGCAGCATCACCTCAGGATGCTGCGTCACCGGTAACATCGCCGATCGACGCACCTGCACCGGTTGCTCCCTTGGCGGTGAAGGATGCTCCCACAGCCACCGCGGCGTCCAGCGCCGCTACACCAACACCAGCTACTGGCACTCCAGTCTCATCTACGGCTCCGACGACGCTTTCTCATCAACCCAAACCCGTGAGTATCCGCTGAGGCAAAGAACATGTTGTTTCACAGAGCTCATTTATATATCCTCTATGAATATAGGTATCTGCAGTTGCTGCACGTGCTGTTCCCGTTCAACCTACCATTCCGCGCACTATGTCTGCTCCCCCGACGATGAAGCAGGGTGGCAAGGGGCCCGCAGTTGGACAAGTGCAAGGACAACCATCTGGGACCTCGGTAGCTGGGGAAGTTCAGCACACCGTTCCTGTCACTGGTGTCAGTGCACCGGGACCTGGTCAAGTTTCCCCTGTGACCCCAATGCAGCAACACGTCTCACAGCCGCACGTTCATCCCGCACATCCGGCAGGTCACCATGCACAAACTCACGCTCCTCACCACCCGCAGTTCCATCAACCAACGGCACAACACCATCACCCGCAACATCATCATCAGCAGTTGCACCCCGCTACTCATCAGCAGGCGCACACGTATGCACCTAGACATCAACAACATATGAGACCACCTGCCATGCCCAACGCTGCGCCATACGTGAAACAGTACAAGCCACATGGTGTGGCGGTGAGTTTCTTGTCACCGTTACTTTCTTATTTGCCCCCCTGATTGACATTAATTTTGATTAGCCCAATGCTCACGTGGCGGCAATCTCGCAGCCAGGAGTACCGCATCAAATGTTGGGCCCGACCCCAATCTCGGGGCCGAATCCTACAGCCATGTACGCGTATGTCCAAGGAGTCCCACAAGTGAGTAGGCTCGCTGACTTGCTGCCTGCTGCTTGCTAATAATTGTATCATTATGCACACCAGTATTATACGTCGTATTATGACCCACAGATGCCATACACACAATTCACACCCGCATACATGCAGTATCCGCCTCAAATGATACCTCAAGGAGGTATGCCTTCGACACCGACGGGGCAAAGATTTACCGGACCCAATCATGCACCAACTACACCGACAAGCACTCCTGGAAGTGCTCGCAATAGTAAAGCAAGAGTGCCTGTTACCATCAAGCGGCCGGACACCGATGAGCCAGTTCAGCTTCCTCAAGCCACAACAGCATCCTCACCTGCACCACGGACAAGTGCTCCAGCCATTCAGCCAAAGGTTGAAACTCCCAAATCTAAAGTTCGTATTGTGTTGAAGAATCCTGAGACAGGCGAAGAGATCTTGAACATCAAAGGCGAGGAAGCACAGAAGAAGGAGGATGATGTCGTGACAAAGACTGAGAAGAATGAGGATACCCCGGTAGCTGAAACGAAAGAGACACCGCAACCCGAAGCTCCAACTGCCGTCCTGAAGGAGGCAGACGAAGCTCTTCCTACCGCGGAAGCGAAGCCGGTAGCGGAAGTCAAGGTTCCAGTTAAGGTAGATACTAAAGAGGCGAAAAAACCAGAGGTTGTTCAGATACCTAAGCCGGAGACAAAGGAACAACCCAAACCTGTTCCGTCGAAGGAGGTCACGGAGGATGTTTCCGCGGAGCCTGCTAAAGTGACACCGCCAGCTCCGGTACCCACTACGGCTGCTGAGATTTCTACTGAGAAGACAGATTTGGCACCTTCCCAGGAGGCCAAAGTGGCGCAGGCGAAGGAAGACGTAGAAAAGGTGCCGGATTCGAAAAAGGATGTAGAAAAGGTTCCGGAATCCAAAAAGGAGGAAAAGATTGAAGCTCCGAAAGAGGAACAGGTGACACTGAAAGAAGCCGTCTCGGTAGATGAAAGTGCAGTCGCAAAGTCGGAAGTTCCTGAAGCCGCGAAACCAGCAGAACCTGTGGAGCCTGAGCTGGAAGATGGGGAAATTGCGGAGGATGACGGTGCAAAGGAGTCCGCCCCGAAACCTGAAGCACCAGCGATTGATGGCGCGAAACCAATTGCCACATCCGAAGATGTTCCAACGGACGCTAATCTGCGGCGATCTGCCTCACCTCTAATTGATGAGGAGGCTACCAAGCCAGCTGGGTCCAAAGGAGAGCTGCCAAGTAAAATTGACACACGACCAGCCATGAAGCGCTTAGAGTCTTTCGAAGGTGTCAAGTATCCCAGTACCGTCCCATCGCCTTCCCACGAACCTGGGAAGCCCTTCCGGTATCAAAGGGATTTCCTTCTTCAGTTTGCAGAAATTGCCAAAGAAAAGCCGCAGGGCTTGCCGGCGCACTCTGACATTTACGGAGATGATAAGGGGACATCTCCTCGCGGCGATCGTAAAGACTCGAAAGGTCCTGGTCGTCCTCTCAGTATGTCTCGCCAGGGATCTTCCAGTGATGTCCGCATGGGCCCACCAGGTAAAACAAGCGAGGAAAGATGGCAGCAAGCGATGGCATCAAAGCACGGCGGTGTTGGCGTACAAGGTGTTATGAGTGGTGTGGCCCCTCCACCTACTGCACGAATGAGCCGTACAGGTTCTGGCGGCGGTGGACGCATGCCACCCATGATGCGTCAAGGCTCTTTCCGCGACGGCGTACAGTCTGGTAGAGATAGTCGAAGTGGTCGTGGAGGTCGCGATCGTGGACCACCGCGCCATGCGGCTCCTGAGCCACCAGGCGAACCCGTTGAGCCACTCGTCAAGTCTGAGACTGCTTGGGCGCCTATGTCTGTGAAAAAGTCGGCCAAGAAGCCCGCCGATGGGGAGGACAAGGAGAAGGCCGAGGAGGAGCTGATATACAGAAAGACAAAGGGTCTCTTGAATAAGCTGACCATTGAGCGCTTCGATTCCATTTCATCCCAGATTTTGAACATTGGCATGACAAGGGAGAGCATTCTCAAGGGAGTTATTGCCCTTATATTTGAAAAGGCGTTGGATGAGCCCAACTTCGGGTCCATGTATGCTTCCCTTTGTGCTAGACTGTCGAGCGAGCTACCAAAGGTCCAGAGCTGGATTGATATAGATGCGAAAAACAATACCTTCAGAAGAGTATTGTTGAATCGGTGTCAGGAAGAATTCGAAAAAGGTGCTAAATGGAGCGAATCAGAGGAGAAGCTCCTCGAACAGCGGCGGGAAGCCCGTACCAGATTGGAAGCCATGACTGACGAAGAGAAATTGAAGATCGCTGAGGAGGATTACCAACGCGGCAAAACGAAGCGGCGGGTGCTCGGTAACATCAGGTTCATTGGTGAGCTTTTCATACAGAGCCTTATTACCGAGAAAATCATGCACCAGTGCATACAACAACTTCTTAAGAACGTGACGGACCCAGAAGAGGAAGATGTAGAGTCGCTGTGCAAGTTGCTCACTACCATTGGTGCACGCATGGACCACTCCAAGGCTAAGGGTCACTTTGAGGCATACTTTGCGCGTATCGAGGAATTGACCAAGAACGCCAAGTTGTCTGCTCGTATCCGATTCATGCTGCTTGATCTGATAGACCTTCGCAAGGAGGGCTGGAAAGCACGAAACGCGCCCACTGGGCCGAAGACTATTGCTGAAATCCGGGCTGAAGCTGAACGTAAACAAGCGGAGGAAGCACAAAAGATTCAAGAGCGAAACCGAAGCTCAGGGGGAGCCCGGGGATTGCCAACACGGGATCAGCAGTTCCGGGATCGTCGGGGAAGTGGTCGGGGCAGTCAAGACGGACGTACCGGAGGTGTGGCCCAAGTTAGCGGGGACGGATGGGTCACACAGGGATCAACGCGAGGCATGCCTCAGGCATCGCGGCAAGTTGAGACCTTTGCCAACTTTGGTCAGATCAAAAAGGCTGACCGTACGTCGATTACGTTTGGTCCGGGTGGTGGTATGGGCTTTGGACAAGGTGCGAAGGGATGGGGTGCCAAGAAGACCGAGGCGAAAGAGGCTGGAGCGCCCTTGAGCAGATCAAGCAGTGCTGGAGAGGGTGGCCTTGCTGCTCCCAACATGTTCAGCGTGTTGGAGGGTATGGACCGAAAGAAGTCTGTTGATGAGGGACGCAAACCTACTGCGCCTAAAGCGGTGACGCCAAGCAAGGACGAAGAGCAGCCCAAGGAAGAGGAGGTCAAGAGATTGACAAAGGGTCAGGCCAGTGCAAAGCTTGACGGAATCATTGAGGAATGGTTCACCCTTTTGGACGTGAACGTAAGTTCCACTGGGGGCTTTTATCATGGGAACATTTAGAACTAATGTTCCTGTGTAATTTATAGGAGGCTTTTCTGTCCCTAAAGGAATTGGGAGCATATGAGTATCACCCGGACTTTGTGGATACCGTCTTGAACAAGAGTTGGGAGAATAAGCCGGATGTGATCAAAAAGGCTGTGAAACTTTTGCTCAAGCTCCTGGACGAGGGCCTTGTCGCCAATGAGGATTTGAAAGACATGTAAGTGTTTTCACCGATTTGTAGTACCGTATCTTGTGGCAGCCACTGACACGGATTGTGGCCTACAGCCTAGCTCCCCACATCGAGGTCATTGATGATTTGGCAATAGATGTGCCAGACCATTACAAAAATGCTGGTCATCTATTGGGCCGCCTTGTGGCTTCTGATTTCATAAATCTGCAAACCGTCCTTGAGCTATCCGCTCCTCTCCTCTCAATATCATCCATGAAACCCCCCGGCGCGCGGCTGTTGGCTGAGACACTCAAAGATATCAAATCTTTGGATGGCGATAACGCCCTAGTTGATATCGTCACAAAGGACGCTGTCGATCTCAAAGAATGGTGGCCAAAGGAAAAGCGTACTGATGAGATTCTGGCAGATTGGCTGGATGCGAATGGGCTTTTCATTTTGGCCCCGGAGCTTGAAACATTGAAGGGGTTAAAATGGAGATTAGGAAAGGATAATGTGGAATCTGTGGCGGCTTGGTTGAAGGTAAACAAAGCAGTACATTGACCTGCTCATTTGAAATGGTAAATTTAACGAGTGGATGTTTCGTAATTGTAGGAGCCGAGCAATGATAAAGTGCGCGCGTCGCCGGAATTCGTGCGAATCTTGACAATAGGTGTTTTGTCACACATTGCATCGCAAACAGTATTCGCGAACGGCCCCAACAAACCAGTAGAACCCACTCCCGATTCCGTGCAAAAGCAAAAGGAGATGTTGACATCGCTCAAGCCGTTGTTTGATCCATACGTGGATGGGTCTAAGAAAGTGGATGTATTGTTTGCTATTCAAGCGTACTGTGGCAATATTGGATTCCCTACTGGTTGGTTGAAGCTTTATATTGCCAGCAACTCGTTTTTCAAACTTCTAACGATGCCAAAAATCGTTGCAGAACTCTTACCCAACATGTTCCGTCATTTCCGAGAAGTCGGCATTGTAGACAAGAGCGCATTTGAAGCATGGAAACAGGACACATTGCGAGAGCAGAGTACAAAGAAGGAGGCCCTTGCCGCCGTCGGAGACATGTCCTAAAATTGAACGGATCAACACATAAACAAGGGGGGAATCACGTTTTTTGCATATATAATAGTTGGGTTTTGTTTATCTTTCCATTTCTGCCGGATTTCTTTTTCTGCACGGATGGATGGCATCAAGGTGTGCAGAAGGCATCGCATATGGCTGTTTCTTTTTTTCTTTTGTTTTTTGTTTGAGGAGATCTAGTTAATATATCCATTTGGAAAATCGTTTCATCAAATTGTGCTCGTTTCGTTCTACCTTGTTTTTATGGTATATGGATTATTCCAATACTGCGAGTCCCATTGCACCTTTGTGATGACGATGTGCGGTTTTGCGGGGAAGCGCTGTTTTACAGTCGAAAAGAATTCTTTGTCATTGTTTCAAATGTTTGCCGTTGAAGATGTGCAGCAGCATTAGATGCAAGAGCTGGAATACTTTATACGCAGCCCAGTATTGTGTAATTGTTCATGTTGTGTAGTGTAGAGGTGACAGAAAATGGCACTAGCTACTACACCAGGGAATAAACCGGCGACAACCGGTTTGGAAAAGCTAACTAAGCTACTACTAGGCAATTATACACGCAATACGTAACGGTTGGTTCTAACCGGATAATTGCCCTCCACCACACGCGGTCCCTACTAGGCCTTGATCCAGAACTCTTGATGGCATTGAAGCCAGACTCTTGCATCCAGGAGCGAATCGACTGGGCAGCGTCACAAGCCAGAGGATGTTCAGTGACAAGGCTTGGAGACTAGAGAAAAAAACTGCATGTCAGAAGATGACCCGATGACAAGAAATGCAAGAAATGCCATCGATACATACCAACCAAGCTCAACTAATGTGGCAGCATAATAGTAGGTTTTGTTATCAGATCCGATTGGTTGCCACTGGTTCTGGTCACGGTTGCTGTCGGGCGGTCGAGGTCCTCGACACCACCACATCGGCGTTCTCATGGTTGACCGAGTCGCGATGAGGTTGCAATGTGGGTCGCAATGAGAGTTGTGCAGATGCAGATGCTTTGAGAGTCGAGGATGGGTAAAGAGGAAAGAGGGAAGAGACAGAAGGCTCCCCTTTTATAGACCTTTGGCATGCGCCTCACCGCAGTTTAAAAAAAAAACATTAGCATGCCACACCAATCTGAGCGATAGATGGGGGTTCTCATTATGCGATATGATTAACCGGATTCATCCGGATAATAATGAGTCCTAGTGCCATTTTCAATCGCCTCCACACTATGTGATGTGCTTATGTAATCCAGCCCATCCAATTTCAATTCTGCCTTTTACGACACGCATGGTTTGCTTTTGTGGTGAACTCACTACGACTTTATCCGCCTCTCCAATTCCCAACGTGATCAGCTGTGTGGGGAGTCAAACCACATGCTAAAAGGGCCATAGCAACCAAAGTGTGTGCAGTGTGTGTGTGTGTCGATACCGTTCTTTTTTTTCCTTTAAAATGGAGAGATCATTCATCATCATCATCATCATCTTCATCATCAGCTGTGTTTGGGGTCTTGACTTGCTTTTCCTTTTGCCTTTAAAGTAATTACATACATTATCATATGGCTCCCCCGCTTTCTCTTTTGTACACACACATTCAAAAAGGAAACACACACTCATTCCCCCGTTCAGCTTTTTTTGGTGGTTGGGGGCGGTTCAAACTTAACAACGGCTACTTTGGAGAGAGAGACTGCGCCCCACCGCCCAAACTAGAGGCGATTTTAGGCTGACTGTTCAAACGGACCCTCGTTGAACCGCTTTCTCGTCGTCGTCGTTTTCCTTTCATCTTTGAGACGCGACGGCAATTCACCTGTTCTATTTAGGTACGTTATCCACACATGGGATTTAGCTTGGAAGGAGGCTTCTACCTATTGGAAAAGATGGAATTTACACGACGGGGGCGTGTATTTTATCTTTTACATTGGCGTCCCCAAAGGACCAAAATATCCATTAGGAAAAAAAACAAAAACGAGAGCGGAAAACCGCGTAGGAAAAGCTATATACGACACTTTTACTGACACACTTACACACACACATAACTTTTACACATACTTACATTGCTCTTTTCTTACTCTTTGACATTGACTTGCACAATGCAGACAAACCAACTGTACCCATTGTCGAACGACCATCCCTCATCTTCCAAGTGTGCAATTGCGCCATGTCGTTCCCACGCATGGGCACTGGTCATGGCGACATGCCCGAGGAAGAACATAATTTCCAGAAAGCAATACGAATAAAAATACCTTTCAACAAGGAAAACCCAGAGGCAAACGTCTTCGACTATGCGCAGCTGGTTGCGGCTCTGCATGGCGGTGCATCGTCCTCCTCGGGCGGAGACATGCCTAAAACCGACACTGGTTCAGCTGGTTCTGATAGCGAGGAGGATGGAGAAGACGAGAACGGAGTAAGTTAAAAATTACCACTGTCTTATAGTTCCTTGGTCGTTTAAGCAACTGGGTAGTAATATGTCTATCAATATCTTTCAGCAGCAACCTCGCAAAAAGAAGAGTGCTGCAAAAAAGATACAAGAGGACTACGATTTTGAGGACGACTTTATCGATGATAGCGATCTCTTTTACAACGAGGTCGGATATGTCCCTCCTAGCGAATGGAATTATGGTTTCTTTGCATGGCGAGGACCAGTGGAGAATTTCTTCGAAGAGTAGTACGTATTGTCTCGACAAGTATATATGCACTTAATAGACCGTCATCTCATGATCTTCTAGCCAAACAGACTTATTCGACAGAGATGCACCAGCTACTGCTGCAAAGCAGAAGGGCAAAAAGAAGGCGACCGCTGCATCTGCGGAGAAGAAGACAGTAAACGGAGCCGACAAAAAAGCCAAAGGCACTGGCGAGACCAGCCGAAAACGATCCAAAAAGGCAGCGGTTACCGCGCCAGCCAGTAGTGCGCCAACCTCACCAAAGGTGAAGCGCACTAACATTTCGCCTCCAGAGTCAGCAAAGCTGGGGATTAGTATAGCATCACCCGAGCCCGCAAAGGATACAGTCACTTCTACGCCTGAAGGCGCACGGGCTGGCGGCACCACCATCACTTCAATCCCGAACTCTTCCGCTCCAGAACGGCGTGGCCCATCACAACCTGCAGATTCTGCTACTACTGGAGCACCGGACAACCATCCACTTGGACCATACATCATTGTCCCAACAAGGACCGATAGCGAATTGTCAGAGGACGATATGCCACTCGCTGATTACGCCCGGATAAAAACCACAAAAGACGAACCACCGGTTCCACAACGAAAGCCCAGCCAACAAACAAAAAAACGAGACAGAAAGGAGGATAAACACACGACTTTGGGGCCGGCTGCAATTGCGGACGTAGCAGTGCGACATGCATTTTCAGAACCCTCCAAGAAGAAGCAGAAAAAGAACAGAGAAAAAACTGCCCAAGAAGGGCTACTTGCTGCGCCTCCATTAGCTATCTCTGCATCTCTTCTTGAGGTTTCTATGGGTCTATCGGATCCTTCCGGATCGAAAAAATCCAGTTCAAAGAGCGAGAAAAAATCTTCGTCAAAAAAGAGTTCCAAATCCAAGCGATCAGAGGTTCGTATATTTTGGTAGTTGGAGTACAGCGTCCCGACGAGGCTTTGGGTTGTATACTGATTGAAGCATTATAGACCGGGTTCCCCCGTAAAGTTGAGCAATTGTTGCAACATCTTGAAGAGAAGGCATACCTGTTACGTGAGTACATTTATGGCTGTACTCTCTAGCTCATGTCTTCCCAATATTGATCGTGACCATTGTTGTATTAGAACCACCGGCCCATGAGCCTCTCACGGGTGAACTGAGAGATTGCCTCCACCAAGCCGCCCTTACTGCGTCGAATAACAGCTGCTTGAATGCCTCATTCTTTGCGCGAGTTGGAGCCTTTTTGCCGTACCCTGAATATTATCTAAGAGTAGGTTGCAGTATAACGTTGAGGTCGCTCAACTTCCAGCCAACTGTCATATTCTGTCATCCAGAAAATCATCGGCATACACGTTATACCCAAAAAGCTGGAAAGAATGCAGCCAGCCATAAAGCAGATGTATGATCATTTCCGCGCGCTCATCAAGGAAACTTTAACGCAAAATCCAATCGCAACCCAACCCTCTACATCGTCTGCTGCCTCGCCAGAGGGGAACGACGGCAGTTCTAAATTCCCTTGGACCGAAGATCTGAGGACGCTGTTTTGGAATTTGTTGTGCAGTGAATGGGAGATGGCCGAGTTGGATAACGAGTATCAGTGAGTACTGTCATCTTTGTCTCTATATGTGATCTCCATACTCAGCATTGCGTTAACAGCATACTTACCGATACTAAACCCGAATTCAATGAGAGCGCTGTGCGCAAAGCTGTTTATGGAAAGGTCCGACTCGCATATGATGATTCTTTCGCTTGTGGTTTGTTCTCACTATCCCTGTTTCTATTATTAAGGTATTAAGTTTTTGGCCCGAGGGAATGATGACGGTCGAGACGCTTTCCCGTACATATAGTCATATGAAAAGAAAGCTGGAACGACGAGCAGCCAGTGGTTACGGCGGCGGCAGATACCACGGTGCCAAACCCGATCCTTTCAAGAATAACAAAAGATTGAACCCTCGCAAGTCCGCTCCGCCGATACTGGAGGGTGGTCCGCTGGGGCGAGATGAGGACGATTCACAAAAAGTGTCCGTGAACCTTGTCTCTTCAGTATCAGCTATGACTCCGGCAAAATCTGATGGTGGAGTATCTTCGCCGCTGTCGTCTCCTTACGCAATGGGTGGTAGTCAAACACCAGAAGCTGGACCCAGTTCCACCCCTTCCAATGAGATTCCCCCCCGACCCCCCATACCTCCCAAACTCATATCCAAGGTTCCTGCTGCGGGCCATTTTACTCCAGACGGGTGGAAAGTGGAAAAGGACAATGTGAAACGCAAAGGATCTTTTGAGCCCCCAAATTTTGAGCATATCCCTCTGGACAAGAAACAGAAAATCTCGATCATGACATCAACAACTGAGTTCGCGACGCCGACTCCATCAGGTTCAGCCGGAACTGCTGGAGGAAGTGGTTCGCCAGGACCAATAGGAACCACACGGAGGGCCTCCGACGTCAAAATTCAAGTTATCATCCCTGTTGAGAGCCACGATTCTGTGACAGAAATAGCATCGCCTGCGCGGAAAACGTCTGATGCTACGAGAGAGAATTTGGGTGGGAGGGCAATGTCGGTTGCAGAGTTGATTGGATAGGATAGCCATTATCACCGATGTCTTTCTTTGCATCAGTCTTTTTTTCGCTGTACATTTCTTTTTTAACGGAAATTTTTGATATACGCAGTACGATTGTCCAATGCCAGAGTCAGGAGGGTCAACATCAAACAATTTAATTAACGTTTTACTACAATTAGACGATCCCAGCCTCTACAAAATCCTCTTTCCCAAACCTATGTCCTAGTCTCACTCTTTGTACGCCATGTTCCACGTAATCTCGTACTCCACCCGGCACAACGTACCCGCCAACCTCCATAACGTCCTCTCGATCAAAGTAATCCTCGTCAGCTAGCACAAACCTTCCCGCATGTGCCATTTTTGAGTTACACCGACATTGATCCCTTCCATATGCATCCTCGTCCACCTGAAAGTGAACCCAGGTAACATTCGCCAGCCACCTATCCACAATCGATCCAGAGTTGATCTCAGGTTCCTCTTCCAAGGCCGGCGAAGGACATGACCCGCCTGTTAACGTTGTACTCTCGTCACCGTCCACGTCACTGTCGCCAGTAACACTGCTTGACCTTGTTGATATACTTGTGCGAGGTGGTGAGGCGATTCTGCCTACGATAGACGCTCTGGGTGGGGAATGGTGGGCGAGTGCTGCGAGACCGAGATGTTCGTCCTGATGTGTTGTGAAGGGAGTGAAGCTGTTTGTATTTGCTGTTGTTGGTTTGCTTGTTGCTGGGACGGTATGGAATGCTGTGGGATGTTCAAAGTAGTCTTCGTCACAGGACCAGCGATATGATAGGATGGTAGCCATGGTCGCCCTTGTTCGTAGCGCAGAAAGAGCCCACAACCTTGCAAGTCAAATGAGGTGGTCAAAACGAACAAAGGCAAATACAACAACGGGTGCGCGCAGCAGTGTGATCCTTGATGTGGCGCAAGCTGACAATTGCGCCATCTTACGCGAATCAGGTGGCCAACAGACCCAAGCAAACGACAGCAAGTTTGGAAACTGGTCAGTACAAGTAGCCAAAGATGGCAGCAACAACCGATTCTTACGCGTCTGACCCATCCACTACCTACGCCCTCCCACTGCGCAAGGAGTTTCAGCGGGGACAGGCTCTATACCAGAAGCTCGAAAACTCGGAGCTTGCGTCGTCAGATCCCGCCTTCCAAGTAATACAAGCTGCGGACATTTTCTTTGGCCCACATTGTATGTCTCAACGCCGTGCTTCACGCAGGAAGATGTGACGGAAGGGATCAATTCTCTCTTGCGCTGCGCGGCGCTCGTAGAAACACTTGGAGTTTTTAGTTCAAATGAACTTTTGGAAGATATCAACACGGCTGATCTACGGTAGGTCAAGCAACATAGATCACCCACGTCAACAATCATTGATCTTGTCAAGCAGGTATCTTTTAGTCAATGCTTATCTTGCGGTATTGATTTCGAAACGCATGGGGCAGGATCGCCTCGAAGTATTGCAAACTGCACAGGTATAAAATTCTTGCAGAATCTTCCTTTAGTCGAAAGTGCATACTTATCAACAAGTCGATGCATACACAGCATCATTATGAACGATTTCTGGCGGCATGTGAACAACATGAGATACTTCGGGCAGATGACAAAAAGTTCTTGGAAACCCAAATGAAGGGCGGTATTGCGGACCCCGAAAGGAAAAGAATGGAAAAAATTGCACGATATAAGCGGGAGAAAGCCACAAAGGAAAAGCTAACGGTACTTTCCAAGCTCGTCTACTGTTCCGAGTCTGAGTAACTTGACGTTTGCGTATCATGATTCAGGAGCTCCATGAACAGCTTTCCTATCAGGCCAAGGCAACCCCTAATGAAGATGAAGATGTCGATGAGGAATTAGACCGCGAAATCATTTTAACAACTATCGACTTGTTTATACAACGAACGGCTGAAAACCTTAAGCTCATTCAGGATGAGCGCAAATTGTTGGAGATGGCAAAAGCAAAGGGGACACTTCGAGGACCCGATTCAAGAGATCAAACCACGATCATTGAAGGAACCCCCCCACCACGGATGAACCACCAAGGACCGTTATTAGCCTCAGATGGGAAGGTGCGCATTGTGACTGCTCAACTTTGGACATTTACCCAACACTGACTTTTTGTCGCTCAGATCCTTCGACCGTTTGTAATCACATCCAAACGTGAAGCTCTCCGTCAGCAAGTATTCCGGCCCGGTCATAATTTGCCGACAATGACAGTAGAAGAATATATTGACAAGGAAATCGAGCGCGGGAACTTTCTCAGTGGTGGAGGGTAAGGGAGTATATATATCTCTTGTTCCACTACCTCGCTAACTATACCTCCTTTATCTATATCCAGCAAAGAACCAGAAACAAAAATAGCTGACGATAATGACCATGAAGCTCTTGATGCTGAGACATATAAAGCCCGACAATGGGATGAGTTCAAAGATGATACTCCCCGCGGATGGGGAAATCGGTATAATAAGGGTTAATAGTCGGAGTTGACTAGCAAGTAGACTAGCTTCCGTCTCTCGATGTGGATGCGTGTTACCTCCAGTATAGAACGACAGAGTGATGAGATTATTCCTGTGGTTCCAACGATGCGACACCTAATAAACGCGTCTTAGGCTTCAAAGTTTATCCGAAGGAAAACTACAAGCGCTATTTGTTGATACTTTGTCATCCGATAAAGCCCTACCTGGTGCATGACTTGAATATTATAGAGGGACCATGCAATGGGGGTGGCTTACACATTCAATTGGTTTTTCAATCTGGTTTTTCATCGAGAATCACATGTGGTTTGTGGTTTATCAACGCCTCCTTGGCTCAGTTGGTTAGAGCGTCTGCCTAGTAAGCAGAAGGTCCCGCGTTCGAATCGCGGAGGAGGCATCAACTGGTTTAGAGTTATTCATTTTACTCCCGGTGCCAACATCAACAGGCGGCGTGTTCTTTGCTAGTGTAGAGGTGACAGGAACTGGCACTAGCTACTACACCAGGGAATAAACCGGCGACAACAGGTTCGGAAAAGCTAACTAAGCTACTACTAGGCAATTATACACGCAATACGTAACGGTTGGTTCTAACCGGATAATTGCCCACCACCACACGCGGTCCCTACTAGGCCTTGATCTGGAACTCTTGATGGCATTGAAGCCCGACTCTTGCATCCAGGAGCGAATCGACTGGGCAGCGTCACAAGCCAGAGGATGTTCAGTGACAAGACTTGGAGACTATACATGCATGTTAGTGACAGAATAACATGAAAAGAGATGATGCCATTGGTACATACCAACCAAGCTCAACTAATGTGGCAGCATAATAGTAGTTTTTGTTATCGGATCCGATTGGTTGCCACTGGTTCTGATCACTGTTGCTGTCGGGCGGTCGAGGTCCTCGACACCACCACATCGGCGTTCTCATGGTTGACCGAGTCGCGATGAGGTTGTGTGGGTCGCAATGAGCGTTGCACAGATGCTTGCGAGTCGAGGGATAAAGAGGAAACAGGGAAGAGGGAGCAGGTCCCCTTTTATAGACCTTTGGCATGCGCCTCACTGCAGTTTAAAAAAAAAACATTAGCATGCCACACCAATCTGAGCGATAGATGGGGGTTCTGATTATGCGATATGATTAACCGGATTAATCCGGATAATAATGAGTCCTAGTGCCATTTTCAATCACCTCCACACTATGTATGGATGGTTGTTGGCATTCAGGCCATGTATATTTCTTACTCTGTACAAATACAAAAATATCGCAAAGAGAGTGCAAAATGGGATAGGCATACTAAACATAACCCGGACGACCCCGCCAGATATTCTTGTTTTTTTTTGCGTTTTCTTCGCCTTATGTCCAAAGGCCAACACATTCATCTCATATGTAAAAAAGTACGACATCTACCTCCGACAATGGCCTATGTTACATCCCAGAATCATATGCACGATGATCGTCGTCTAAACTCATAACCGCATGTGATGTTTTTGCTACAGATGTTCATCATACAGCATATTGAGCAAATCAGATACAAATATATACAGAACCCCGGAATCCTCACCTCACACCTTTCCAATTGAAGTCTATGACGAGCCACTGGGGCTGTACGCAGCGCCATTTGGCTTGGATGTACTGCTACCAGTGCCCGTTGAAGGGTTTGCACCAGCTGGAGCATACCCCCCGCCAGCGACCGGTCCTGGAGAGGTTGGGCTGAATGTTGGGGATGTGGGGGAATATTGTGGAGACGTCGGCGAGTATTGCGGCGACGTCGGGCTATATTGAGGTGATGTCGGAGAGTATTGAGGCGAGGTTGGCGAATACTGCGGTGAAGTGGGCGAGTATTGCGGTGATGTGGGGCTGTAGCTCGGACTCGTAGGTGAGTACATGGGAGACGTTGGCGAGTACTGAGGTGAAGTGGGACTGTAATTGGGCGACGTTGGGGAATACGTCGGGCTCGTTGGACTGTATTGCGGCGATGTTGGCGAATACGTTGGACTGGTAGGAGAGTAACTAGGGCTTGTAGGGCTGTAGCTTGGAGACGTTGGCGAGTAACTCGGCGACGTAGGACTATAACTCGGGCTAGTCGGCGAATAACTAGGACTTGTCGGACTGTAACTGGGGCTAGTTGGCGAATAGCTGGGTGACGTCGGCGAGTAGCTCGGGCTTGTCGGACTATAACTGGGCGATGTAGGGCTATAGCTCGGACTGGTCGGTGAGTAACTCGGACTCGTTGGGCTGTAGCTCGGACTTGTCGGACTGTAGCTCGGACTGGTGGGCGAGAAGCTTGGCGACGTCGGCGAGTAACCAGGTGACGATGGACTGTACCCAGGACTCTGCGGACTGTACGATGGCGAGAATCTAGGTCCACCGGGTCCGCTCCAAGGCTTGCCACCATCGGAATCCACCCCGTAAGGTGAGAAAACCACAGGTCCAAGTGGGGAATAGCCACCCGCTGGAGTCATTGGCATTGGACTTCGATCCAAGTACGGAGTATGCGCCGGACTCATAAAGCCTGCCTGGAAACCAATATCCATCGCATGATGGTCTCGCATAGGGTCCATGATGGAGGGCGCCTTTTTCAACATGTCCTCGTCCAAGATAACGTCAACATATCCAGTTCCCATAGGTGCCAACTGTCCAAGAATGATATTCTCCGACACACCCTTACAGTCATCAACTTCACCCATGCCAGCTGCTTCAATGAGTAACTCGACCGTCTCTTCGAATGAAGATCTGGCCAACGCTCCAGCTTCCGTTCGGTTGATACCATGGCGTGTGATAGCCATCAAGTGACCACGTTGCGTCATAATATCGCAAAGCAGCGCCAAATGCCGATAGTTGACGTAGGAACCGTCGAACTCGATGACCTTACGCACTTCTTTCAACACTGCCGCACGAGTCGCTTCGATGCCAAACACATCGTTGATCTCAACAGTGAAGTTGGAGTACGTTCTTTGGGCATCAACTCCATCATGAGCGAGCACGGCAGCCAATGCTGTCCCGTCCGTCTCAAGGAACCATTCTTTCTCTCCGTTTGCATTAAGTCGTCCGTCGTGATCATAGGTAGGCCGGTTGAATTCAGAAATGAAAGCTCGTTGGATACCAGGGACACCAGCCAGAGTAATTTGCGTTAGCATATTCTCTTCAACTTTCTTCAAGAACTGGTCTTCATCCAGTTTGCTATCATCATCCTCCTCCCCCTGTTTTGCCTCGCTCACGATACGCGCAAGAATGACCAACTCCTCCGCGTTGTCATCAGAACACCAACACTTCAAATCGCCTTGGAACTCATCCATAATACGGGCACAGATGGCTTCGAGACTCAATCCCTTATCGAGCTTTCGTCTGAAATCCAACTTAATGCGCAACACCCACGGTGAGTATCTGCTGAAATCATCGTCCTCCATGTCACCATAAGGCTGCATTATAATACGATCTCCTTCAATGACCGAATTCAGTGGGTCCGGATCGTACCAAATCTCCGTCTCCGCCGTAAGGCTCATCAAAGTGGTATGTGGGAGTGTACTTTGAATCCGTTTCGCTCGGTCAACAGACGTACGATAATCTGCATCCAAGAATACAGACACACTTGGGGTCTTTATATTCTTAGCAACGTTGATGATTTCCTTCAATCGAGGTACACCTAGCGTCACGTTTTTGGAACTGACACCAGCAAAGTGAAACGTGTTCAAGGTCATCTGCGTTGCTGGCTCTCCGATGGATTGTGCGGCAAGAACTCCAACCATTTCACCCGGGTTGACGATGCATTGATTGAAGCGAGTGTGGATTTCATTGATTATCCAATCAAAGGCTTCGGGGTTCAGATGGAACTCTTCGATGACACGTCGGGACGCCAACGTGCTTCGAATAAGGATCTGAAACAAAAGTGTGGCATTCTCTTGCCCTTCTCTACTGAGATCATCATTTCCGCGAACGACGATCAGCTTTTGCAAGAGATCCTGAACACTGTCCATAACCTTGACAGGATGCAGGCCCGTGGGTTTATTGCGATCAACTTTGAAGGCATTCTGCGCATTCCATATCATCCGACGAATATTCAGCGGCAATGGCCATGTAGTGGTACTATTGTCACGGAAAATCTGTTGTCGAAGAATGCGGCGGTCTTCCTCAAGCTGTTCAAACTCGGCGTCAAACCGTGCCTGCGCTTCGCTTTTGATCAGCTCTTCGGAAATACGGAAGTCCAGCGTATTCGGTTTCCATCCATGCGGACCATCAGCGACATCAACCTTGTACTTGCTGCGGAACTGCTGGTCAGATATCTTCATGGTGTCCAGGCTCTGCTTTTCCACCTTTGCTCCGTCCATGCCGTCTTCTCCGTAACAAAATTGAACAATTTCACCTAATGCATTCCGAACCGTGCCATCATACTGTGCCATCAAATCCTCCAGTGCTTTCACAAGACGGCGTTGAATATACCCAGTTTCTGCAGTCTTCACGGCCGTGTCGATCAAACCTTCACGTCCACCCATGGCATGGAAGAAAAACTCTTGCGGTGTCAGACCCCTCAAGTATGAGTTTTCAACAAAACCTCGACTTTCGGGCGTATGATCGTCCTTTGTAAAGTGCGGCAATGAACGATACTTGAACCCAAATGGTATACGCTTTCCTTCAACGTTTTGCTGTCCGACACAAGCTGACATTTGCGAAATGTTGATGTACGATCCTTTGGATCCGGCAACCACCATCTGCTTCACATTATTGTATTCTTTGAGAGAGGCCTGAGCGCTCTTACCCGCGTTGTCACGGGCACGATTGAGCTCCTTGTTGACTAAGGACTCGAAACTCTCACGGATCGTCATACCAGGCAAACCTTCAAGTTTATCAGATTGAGCTTTCTCAATGATTTTGGTCACCTCCTTCTTCGCATTCGAGATAGTTGAGGTAATCTGATCAGATGTCGGCCGATCTGCGATGGTGTCACCAATACCAATAGAGAATCCGTTTTGCAGTAGCCAATGGTTAACAACCAATTGAGTCCCATTGAAAAACGCCTTTGCCGCCTCCGGTCCATGCTCATTCATTGTGACGTGAATGATACCATTCGCAGAACTACCCACCGTCTTCTTACAAAGAATGCCGGTGAGCAACTCCCCGTTTTCAATCAGGACCTTACAATCACTCGAGCTTCCGTCATCTTTATCAGTTTGCTCATCAAATGCAGAGTGGTATCCAGTGACGTTGATTTTAGGTGGGATGACCAAACTCATGATTTGCTTTCCAGTCCACAAAGGTACCGGCTTAAGAATGGCCGGCTGAGGAACTGTTCCATCCCAATCCGGTACCCACATCAAAAGGTTCATGACAAAGTCCCGCCGTAGAAAGGTATCGCGCTTTGTGAATTTACGGATACCACAAAGCGTATCCTGAACGATTCCCATAACAGGTGCGTTTTTTTGCGGTGATACAATTTGCTTTGGTACCATGCAAAGCTCCATCAGCTCGGCTTTTGTCTCATACGACTGCGGCACGTGTAAGTTCATCTCATCTCCATCGAAATCGGCGTTATACGGACTTGTTACCGACAGATTCAGACGGAAGGTGGAGTAAGGCATAACCTTTACTCTGTGGCCCATCATACTCATTTTGTGTAGTGACGGCTGACGGTTGAAAATGACAATATCGTTATCCATCAAATGCCGTTCCACGCGATAGCCGTTTTGAAGATGAATATCTCCACCACGGCGATTATACCGTAGGTCGATTCGTTGGCCATCATCTTTGATGACGTATTTGGCCCCCCCATGTTCTAAAGGTCCCTTTCGTACCATCTCCTGCAAACGGTGAATATTGTACGGCGTGACTGTCTCGGGGAAAGTCAAGTTGCGGGCAATGCTCCGGGGTACCCCAACCTCGTCAATCGAAAGATTGGGGTCACCAGTGATGACAGTACGAGCTGAGAAATCTACACGTTTCCCCATCAAGTTTCCACGTAAACGACCTTCCTTTCCTTTTAGACGAGCTCGAATGGATTTCAACTAAGACACAAACATGAGTCAACCACAAAACTGCTCTCGTCGAATGACAAGACGATAATGATCTTACCGGTCGCCCAGACTTTTGTAAAGACGGAGGAAGCCCGGCGATGTCATTATCCATGTAAGTGGCGATGTGATACTGCAGTAGCTTTTCAAACTCGTTTATGACATGTGCTGGTGATCCTTCCGTCTCGTGCTTCCGCAGAAAGCTATTTGCCAGGACGATATCACGCAATTTATGTGTCAAATCATCCTGATTTGTCGCCACACCATCCATGCTGACAGCCGGTCGAACTGCCATCGGTGGAACAGGAAGTACAGTGATAATCATCCACTCTGGTCGAGCCCAGTCTGGATTTAACCCCAAGCTCATACAATCATCCTCGCTGATCTTCTGGAAAAGCTGATGGACCTTTTCCGCCGTCAACGGTTCAGTTTTCGGTTCTTGGCCGCTTTCCTCCTGCATAGAAAGGACACAAGATTAATTATGTTGGGAAAAATATGTGAACAAAGCATGTCCCTTACCTCATCCTTGGTGGCTTTCCAGTACGTAGCTAGCTGCAACGGCCCCTCTTTTTTGAAAATGGGCTGCCTTCCGCCGCAGCCTCCATGAGTGGGCTTTGACTTGTAGGGATCCTCCATGTCCATCTAGTTGTCAGGTATACTAGGTGAGTTGTCCCAGACAAATGGCAGATCAATGTCTAGCTTTACCATGTCATCATCGTCTGGAGCAGTATCGCTGCCCTCGCACACCATTTTGGTCTTGCAAATCTCCCACACCGCATGAAATCGCCGCTTTTTGTCTTTAATGATCCTTGCCTGGCGAAACCGCTCATTGCTGTGACCGTGGG